ATAATAAATTTATTTTACTAAATTTAATTATAGTTATAAGAGTTGAATTAAATATTTACACTTTAAATAGAAATTTTATTTTATTAACTAAAAAAAACTAGTAATATTTCTAGAGTATTTATCTATTCTATAATGCTATTTTTTTTTTTAAAAAAAAAAATTTGCTAAGTTATAAGATACTATTATAAGTACTGCTAGTAGGCCTTCTATCTATATTACTAGGAGGAGGAGTATGCAGATAGGTCTTATTAATAATATTTCTTAGGTTAATCTTACTTTAGGAAGATTTTGCATCTAGAGACAGTTAGAATTTAGCAATAATTAATTCTAAATTAGTTCTAAATGCTACTTATAACATACTGCAGCCTTTTTGCCTGCCTCTAGGTAGTAGTACTAATTCTAAACTTAGCAGCCTTTCTGCTATTCTAGTAGCAGGCAAGAGCCTAACTATATATTATAATAGTTACACTTTATGCTTTCTATAAAGCAAGCAGCAATTTATATAGTATTAATATTAAACTATTGTAAAATTCCATTAAAATCTAGCTAGAATAAATTATAATTTAATTATAAATTACTTACTTTACTATCCTCTTTATAAAGCACTTTAGGCTTAACTAATATCTAGCAATTTTAAGATAACTTTATAAATATATAGAGATTTATATTTTTATTAAGTGCTAGTTCCTTTAAGTTTTAGTAGAACTCTATATATAAGTTAATTAGTATAGAGTTCAAATTTAATACAAATTAATTATTAATTAATATATAAACAGCTGCCTAGTTATTAGCAGAAGAGAGAGCACTAGCACTTAACTATAATACCTCTGCTCTATATACTATAATAAGATATTTCTTTAATAAATAAGTTAAAGAAAAGTATATATCTTATAGAGTATTAGTATTAAACCTAAATTAAATAATAATTAATTTTAATTAAATTCTAACTTATAATATAATATATATAGCTGTTCTCTATATTTATATAGTAAAAAATCTTACTAACTCTAATAATAAGATTGCTCTATATATTAAATTTATAGTTAGAGAGACTAAGCTAATACCTGCCTCTCTCTCTACTTATATACTACTAAAATGCTTTCTAGTTTAGAATTTAATTAGAGTTAATTCTAAGTATATTTAGAATAAATTCTAAAGAGAATACTTATAGATTCTCTATAATATAATATTATTTTAATAGTACAGCCTTAGTTTAATAAGAGAGTAAAGCATAAAGAAAAAAAAAATTTAGAAGAGAGCTGCAGCTAATATATTAAAATTTCTAAACCTACTTTTTATAAATATTCTATATAATTTAATTACATTCTATAATAATTTTCTGCCTAATTAGAACTTATTTTGCCCTATCTTTTACTCTACTAAGAATAGATTCCTTAAAGAAAATTCAACTAATTAAAATCCATTATGCCCCCTTGTCCCCCTATAGCAATAGTCAGGTCAGGTCAACTACAATGGTCAGGTCAGCTCAGGTAGGCGAGCAATGGTCGGGTCATCTACACTCTCAGTTATGGACGCAGCAGCATCAGCGGGCCGCTCCAGTGTATTTCAGCCTCTACTTGGTACTGTGGCAGCACCAGAAGCCCCAGACCACAGGCATCCAGTGACCGGCCTGCGTTGGCCAATGGATGCATGGGGCCTACGGGGCACATACCTGAGTGCTCGAGCCCGCAGCCTGCACCAGCCACTGATGGCGTGCCCGGCGGCGTGTAACTTGCTGACAAAATCATGATGGCCTGGAACCGCCCTGAAGCATCCGCGGGCACGCCAACTACCTGTACCTGTAACCTAGCAGTTAGGCCAGCGGCATGGACACGGAGATTGATGTGCAGGGCTCGCGGCTCCCTGGCCCCTTTTCTCCCTCGGTTCAATTTTGACGCTGAAGTGGTCTGTTGACGTGCTGAGATTGCTCCCACCTCCACCAACCACGTCACCCATCTGTCACCGCAAACGCCCCTCGTTCTCGAGGTCAGAACCGCGAACAGCACAGCTTGTGCCGTCGTGCCAGTCGGCTGGGTACCCTGCGAGCTTGCAACTTCCACGGTTGTCAGCGACTAGTTGCTAGTGCGTTACCAGTGGCCAACTGCTCAAGTACCTACCCAAGGTAGTCGTTATCTTCTAATGAAACGCCCACCGCCACCAGGTGAAACGGTTCGAGCGGCTGGGTTGTGGTGGAGGCCCCACCACTCTGCACGTACTCCGTACGGAGCACATACAGTACGTACAGTACAGTACAGTACGTACAGTACAGTACAGTACAGTACAGTACGTACAGTACAGTACGGTGCAGTACACATTGGGAGCACAGTGCACATGTACATGCGTACGGAGAGCACCCCCGTAAGTTATCGCAATGCCTCTTTTGCTCCCTGGCCCAGAGGTCAGTCAGATCGGTAACCTCATTCGAGACGCAGCCACACTACAGTGCGATGCGACCTGCCCGTTGCTCTCGTTGCGACTCAACTGCTGGGATGTCGTCCATCCAGGGAGATCCCAAAGCTGCCAAAAGTCACCGGATCCTTGATGCTCATGCACCAACCGTCTTCCACTCCCACATGGCGGGAAGACGACGGCTCAACAGCCACGACACCACACCGTCATCACCGTCCGCCGTCACCGCACCGTGGCGCTTGGGGCCTCCACAGGTCCAGGTCCGTCGATGTCTCGATTTGATGCGTCTGACCTGAGTGCTTCTGCGTCCGGACTCCGGAGCAACTTACCAGACAGGGACCACCCGTCAGACAGACACGTTTCGGGTATCGCCCAGAGAAGATGCTGCAGTCTTCTTTTATTTACGGAGTACCAACGATCCATGTCGCAGACCTGACTGGCTGGATCTGGCGTCACCCTGCGTGCCTGGGCTTTGGTGCGCCAGGTCGCTTCTTCACACACCATCTTGTTGCCGTTGGGACCAATGGGCTTTCGTTTGGAGCCTTGGCTTGCCCATCATCTGATACTTGTCCAACTCTGTACTCGGTGTGCAGCAATGGACCAAACCCTATCCTTGCAGGGTACTCTCGTCGTTGATCATGGCCACACGATGCTGCCCACAAGCCATCAGTGTCCTCGAACCATCACAGCCCTAGACAGGAGCAGCGGATAAGTCATGTCAACCACTTCCAACCCTTGTTAGAATGCATTGATTGTAATATGGAGCTCGTTGCCCTCGGAAGGTTGGCAGGGCGTTGCTGCAACACGCAAACTGGTACACGACCAAGTATTTTTGGTCAGGCTAGGTCAGTCAAGGTTGAGTTTGCGTCTTTCACTGTTGCCTACTCCATTGGACACCTTTGAATGGCACTTCGATGAGCATGAAGCATTCATGTCTGCCAAGAGCTTTGATCCACAACCACAATGGAGCCGGGGGCAGGTCGGGATGGTCCCGTGATAGAAACAACCTCCACGCAGCCATGCCGCACCGACAAGATGGGTCTTGTGAGGCATGGCCACCGCTCCCTGGCGACAGTTCAATCCCGCCTCGGTACGGAGTTTTCGTTCAACATATCCTTCCGACCCAAACTACCCAAGGTATCTAGGGGTATCTGGCAACTTACTAGCCAGGTGTAGTTGTTAGTGGCCAACGCCAGATAACGCGAGATAACCTATTGGCTCAACACACCAAACCACTGAACAAAAGTGGGAAAGAATCCTGTACCCGGGCCCCATTGTCGTCTCCTCCCGCCGAATATGCCGACTTGGCTTCCCGTGAAGATACTTGTCCATTGCCGGACTTATGGGGTCTGGGATACAGGGTAGGATAGACAGAGTGTGACGGATTGAGCATTGAAGGCCTCAACTTGTCTACCGATATCGTAGCACCATCTTTGTTGAAGTTGGGGTTGACTCTACAAGCCTTGAAGGAGGCATTTCCCCCCTTCTTTTGGTAAAATTCTCCTTCCACGCTCCATCATCAGGGAGCTGACTAGTCATCCGCCGTGCCCAAATCCAATGTCGTACACCGCTCTTTGTTGGACTTGGGAGCCTCTGGCGGCAAGGATGGTGCTTGCACACACGGCGTATGAGAGTGACGATTTGTTGGGTTAGTCCTTCTTCTAATGGGAGGCACTTCTAGGCCATCGCATTACGTATGTACATGGATGGATGGATGGATGGATGGATGGTTGCCTCGCAGGCTCACAGTGCCAGTTGATTCGAGACAAAGGGGACCCCGACAAGACGGTCTTGATGCTCCGTCCAGTTTTCTGTTTCCCGGACCAGCACAGAGTCCTCCAAATGGCAACGAGGCGGGCAATGCTCGCCAACCTAGTGGCAGCAGTTCCTTTCGATGTGTGGTTCGCACAGAGCCGCCATTCCGCATGGTCCTGGCGCTCTTTTATTGATTTCGAGCTGATAGCGGTGGCGTTACACCAAGCCTTCGTGGGATGCTGGGACTGGGCCCGTCACTACCACCAGCCTCTTACGATGCGAAGCCCGGAGTGGACGGAGCCGTCAGGTTGAACTTGATGTCGTGGTACTCGGAACGTACGGAGGAGCACTCGGTACACCGCCGGCATTTTCTGCGACCGACAGTTGGCGCCGGAGAGACACCCCTTGAAGAGCGAGCATTGACGGCCCAAGAGAGAATGGGAGTCGGGACGATTGAAGATACTCATGTCTTGCCGCCACGGTCGGGTCTGTGCCAGCCATTTGCACGTCCACAGCCACGCACTCGTCGCTCGGCAATCACTGGGTAGTGTCAGCATCGTGAGACGTCGCCTCTGCAGACTTGAATACCGGGACAATATCGACGACAAGACCCGTGGATTTTAAGACAGAAAAGGCACGGCACCCAAGACAAGACCCGACCGAAGATGCTCAACGCCACAGTCCCGGGTAGGCGGAGCCTCGCAGACTTCTGAAACCCAGCCTAGCCTAGCCTAGTTTCTTCGGGCTGGGCGACAAGTCTCAGTTGCACTCGAGAAACATGCTGCCCGGATCCTCGCATAGTCTCGTAGAAGGGAGCACACCAATGACCAGTGGAAATGTCGGCCTTGTCCCAATCACACCACCGATTCCGCACAGCCCGCGCAGTCGACTACGCCCTCCTCACAGGCGCGGCATGCCTCTATCTCTACTTCCGCATACGACCCATTCTGAGCCCCGGGGACCCCGTGAAACCGAAGAGAGTGATCCGCTCCAGAGCCAGAGAAGAAGCAGCGACGTCAGCAGCCGCAGATGGGACGTCGGCCTCCCGCCCGGTGCCGTATGCGCCCGACGTGTTTCCCGGCGCGAGGGACGTGGAAACCGCCTACGGGACGATAAAGGCGTTTGAGTGGGGTCCCGAGGACGGCGACAAGGTCCTCCTGCTGCACGGCATCGGGACTCCCTGCGTCGCGCTGGGAGACATGGCGGCCGAGTTCGTCGCCAGGGGGTGCAGAGTGATGCTTTTCGGTGAGCCCGCCGCCTCTCCCGCCTCGCCGTGCCCTTGCCCCCGGGGCGAGAAGAGACGGATCCAGGAACCCTCCCGACCGCCTGCTCGCCCGCTCGCTCGTAGTCGCCCCTGAGAGAGGGGGGACAGGGGAAAAGGGACTCGCGCGTACGTAGGGAGGGAGGGAGGGAGCGATGGAGGAGCCGCTCGAGATCTAACCGTGGCGCTGTAGACCTGTTCGGCAGAGGGTACTCAGACTGCCCGAGCGACCTCCCCCACGACGAGCGTCTGTACACGAGCCAGGTGCTCCTGGTGCTGGCGTCGTCGCGCGTCCCCTGGACCGGCCCGTCGTCGTTCCACGTCGTGGGCTACTCCCTCGGCGGTGCCCTCGCGGCCGCCTTCGCGGCCTACCACGCCAATCTCCTGCGCTCGGCTACCTTTGTCTGCCCCGGCGGCCTCGTCCGCCCGGCCCGCGTCAGTCTCGGGTCGCGCATCCTGTACGCCGAGGGCCTGCTGCCCTCCTGGCTCGTCGACGGCCTCGCCAGACGCCGACTCGAGCCCCGGCCCGGCACGGCCAGCGTCGACGTGGCCGAGGCCTCGCAACACGTCGACTTTGACCAGGTCCCCGTCCGCGCGGGGGATGCGTCTGGCCCCAAGGTCGGGGACGTGGTCGCGTGGCAGCTGCGGAACAACCCGGGCTTTGTGCCCGCATACGTGAGCACCATCAGAAACGCCCCCATCTACGGGCAGCACGAGGCCGTGTGGAGGCGGCTGGGTGAGCAGCTCGCCCTGAGGCGGGCGGACGAGCACGTGCCCGGCCTACAAGGAGGCAGGATATGCTTGATTCTGGCGGACAGAGATCCGATTGTGGTCAAGGACGAGTGGATAGAGGATTCGTTTGCCGTGCTCGGCGAGGACGCCGTCGACGTCAGGGTCCTCAAGGGCGGTCATGAGATTGCCATTTCCCACGGAAAGCAAGTTGCGCATGTTGCCATGACGGCCTGGACACGATGACGCACTAAACGCGGACTCACTTGGCCTGAAATATAAACTCGCATGAGAGAGCCATCGGGGACGACTATAGAGGACCCAGCTCCCTTTAGAAAATAGATATATTGTACCCTTGTGCCATCTGCATTTCAGTCGGCATGTGCATCGCTGTGAAATGGTATGAAACCCACAAACTCCTTGGCGTGAATGAACAAACTCCTCTTCGTGTCCAAAGCAATGACGCCGCAACGCCGTCCGTCCGCTCCTTGCAAGTATGCGATACCCGCCATGTTTCTCTACATCCCAGAAGAGAGGTGAGGGGAAAAAAAAAACGCACACACAAAAACACAAGGCTTCTGAAGAAACTTATTGGAACGTCTAGAATTTATCCAAGCCCCGCGCCTTGACAAAGCGGTTGATTTGCTCTCGCGTCATTTTTTCATTGTATTGCTCGTAAAACTCATACAGGGAAATCATCTCCTGGGTGGCGTCAACCATGGCCGCGATATCAACAGTGCTCTCCGCTAACCAGGCGGCAAAATGCTGAACCCTGGATATCCTGGCCTCTTGCTGCTTCTCCTTGGAGTCCGAAGCCGAAGGGGGATCGGGCAGGCCGTGACGGTTGCCGCCGTTGCCCCTTGCGGCTTGGCTGAGGGCGGCTTGGGCGGCTGCGAGGCCGGCAGCGGCGGCAGAACCTGCCCCTGCTTGGCCGAGAGTGGCGGAATTGGGCCGCAGGACAAGCGCGAGAAAGATGGCCACGAGGGCGATGACGTGCGGTGCGCACAGGAGCGGCAGATCGCTGTTGAAGGAGTCGTTGATGATGGAGCGCGCGAGTTGCACGTCCTCATCTACCAGTGACAATTCTGCCCGGAGCGACGTCAACGTCCTGTACGGCTGGTGCACGATGAGCTGCGAGTTCATTTCGCTAATCATGTAGAACTCGCACTCTCCGATTTTGGACGTGTCCAGGCCGATGAAGTCTTGCCAGAGTTGCCTTGCCTCGGTCACGATGAGACGGATATGCTGCGGCGCTTCTTCCATCTTGCAGGCCAGATAGAGGGAAGTTGTTATGACGAGGTACGGGTTTGTGGATCGCACAGGGACCTTGATGTAGAATCGCTTCAGGTAGACTTGGGCAGTCGCCATGGCCTGTTGACGGATGCTGAGGCGTTTTGCCAGGCGGAGTAGTTCTGGGTTGGAGGTCAGCCCCGAGGGCATGCCGCGGCGGAGAAGAGGGGAGAGAGAGGGAGGGAAAGTGACCAACGCTGATTGAAATATATGGCGAGATGGCGTGGCTGCGGCACGGGAAACATGCGCACGAGGTCGGCATTCTCGTCGTCGAGCTTCTGTCGCATGCTGGACAGCTGGTCCTTGGTAAACAGCCAATGCCGCCTCTGCGTCGACTCCCAGTAGTTGGCGGCCATTCGGTAAAGAATCAGAGCCGTGGAGCATCCTGCAGACTCTGGGGAAGCAGAGCAGTGGGAGATGACGAAGTCGAGCGAGGACGAAGTCGAGCGAGATGCCAATGTCGTTGGTTGCATCGCGGAGATGGACGGCTGGTGCCACACGGAGTTACATGGGCTCCGTACTTGCATGTGGCTAGCAAGTAGTGAGTACCTGGCGATACACTAGGTGCGCAGGTAGGTACTTGAGTAAGCACTAGGTCCTAGGTACCCTGGGCACCCGAGCAGCCGAGCACCTGAGCACCTGCACCTGAACACCTCAGCGCCCGAGCAGCTGAGCGGCGCCTCCACAGTGCCACCCCTTTCATTGACCAGTTGCTTTTGCCCCCGTGCTACCGATTCGGCAGCTGTGATTTTGGAAAGCGAAGCGAGGCGGATACGGCATGTCCGACTCTCAGCCTCTGAGACTCCCGGATAACTTGGTTGCGTTGCGTCTGCGGTTGTTCGTACTTGAGAAACCCGAGTCCTCTGGACATCCGCCGACCTAGGTGCCTGCCCAGATGCTGATAGGTGATGGGACTGAAGAGCTCACGTAAGTTGAGTATTTGAGTACATACTTTGAGTACCTAGGTACTTGCATACTCAAGTACTCAAGTATGCGTACTCAAGTCGCGCACGCAGGTCCCGCACAACTTACAGCAGGGAGGCACCGAGGTTACAGGCGTTGGTTTAATTGACATGTACCACCAGCTACTCGAATACCTGCGCTGCTTCCACCTTCCACCAGCGTGAGACCGCTCCTCGGTGCGGAGTACCCAAGTCCCTTGCCCGTGCGGAGTACCTTGAGCCCTGATCTACTCCTCCGCCGCCGCTCCCCCGACGTCACTGTGCTCGTCTTCACCTCTGCCTCAGCGTTGCCTCTTCGCTCTCCCTCCCGTTGCACATTTTGCAGCCTTCAGACACCCTCTCTGCCTTACGATGCTGTTACCATAAATCACCAATTCCATCACGCGCGGGCGACTGCTTCACCCAATCCCCCGTCGCTGCCCCTAGCTGCACGACGGACGCCTCGATGCCGTCGCCATGAGCACCCCCAAACTCGTCACCGCCGCCAAGCCACGGCTCCAAGAGTCGCCCGACGAACGCGAAGCCAGAGTTGAGCGTCTCTGGTCCCGATTGGATCCTGCCGGCAAGGGGGAGTTGGACTTGAAGGGCCTGCAGAAGGGTTTTCGCCGCATTGATCATCGTGAGTCTTGCTCCGGCCATCACGCCGCTTTCGGGATGCGCGGCAGGCAGGCCTTTTGCTTCGCTGACCACGGGACGCAAATACGCGCCCACCAAAACAGCTCTGAAGAATGCCAACAATCTGCTCAAGCAGATCATGAAGGAGGTCGATACGAACCACGATGGGAAAATCCAATTTGAAGGTGTGCCTTGGGTCTCGTCATGATGCTTTGTTGAATTTTTTTCTCCCCTCCCCTCCCCTCCCCTCCCCTCGTCCTCGTCCTCAGCAGCTACCACGTCCCGCTTCCATCCACCGCAAATTCGGAGCCGCGCTTCAAAGCTTCAAGCTCTCTCTGCATGTGTCGCCAGACACACCAACGCGGTACCTGATATTTACGCGGCTCACCCTGTAGAGTTTCGCAACTTCGTCGAGAAAACCGAGCGGCAGCTGCTTCTGCTTTTTCAAGCCATCGACAAGGACGGCAACGGCAAACTTGACGCGGCCGAGCTCCAGACTGCTTTTCGCACAGCCGGTCTGAGCGTTTCGAATCGTCGAGTCGCCGACTTCTTCCACGACTTGGACAGGAACAATGACGGTTTTGTCAGTTTTGAGGAATGGCGGTAGGTCCCAACCCCGACTTCACCGCTGGGTCCCGTGCCATCCTTTGGGAGTCGTGACGTTCAAGTCGGGTGCGCAAGTGACCCGTGATTGATGAGGTCGTGGGGCAGCATCACTCACCACACCGTCACTTCACACGTACATTCCGGAGTCTGCCCTCTTACTATTGGCAAAAGACGGACTCCAGCTGACCTCTGGGACGGTGCTGATGCTTTCACACAGAAACTTTCTCCTCTTCATGCCAGCCTGCGAACACGACTCCCAACTCCAAGCCGTCCTATCCTACTACGACTCCGTCGTCAGCGTCACGCCCGAGGGAGACTCTCTTGTCAGTGACGAAACTTTGGAAGGTCTAGGTACGGATGAGTCATCCTCCAGCTCTCTTTTCTATTCTCTCTTCGGCTCTCTAGTTAGAGTAGCGTCTGCGTTGCCCTCCCCGGCAGGATCGTCTTCCGGGTCTCCTACGGGCCCCGTACGAGACAGTACGGCACCTACATGTACAGACGCAGATGCCGACGCTGTGCATGTCCCACCAAAGCCTGGAATGAATGCCGTGGCGAGCGCACATGAAGAGCGCGACAGCGTCCCATCCACGACAACAAAGCGGCGGCGGTTAGTCGCAACAAAACCCACACGGCTAGAACCTTCAACACCTACACAGTCTACACAGCACGTTGGCGATGGCACCTCAAAAGAGCACATGGAAGAACCGTCACAATCTTGGGCGGGCGTGGAAATCAGAACCCGACAAAAGTTTAAACTGACAGATTTTGCGCCTGATCCAGGTTACTTCCTAGCGGGTGCCATCGCCGGCGGGGTTTCTCGTACGGCCACTGCGCCACTCGACCGGTTAAAGGTCTATTTACTGGTCAACACCAGCACCAGCCCCGAGACTGCAGTTGCCGCCATCACCCAAGGTCGCCCCATAGCCGCCGCGGTCAAGAACGCGCTCAGACCCATCAGCGATGCCGTTGGAGACTTGTTCCGCAACGGCGGTATCCGAAGTTTCTTTGCGGGTGAGTTGTTGAACCGGTGGCTACGGCACGGCAGATGCTGACATGGACCGCGCGGCAGGCAATGGCCTGAATGTGATCAAAATCATGCCAGAGACGGCCATCAAATTTGGGTCGTATGAAGCAGCCAAGCGAGCCCTGGCCAACTTGGAGGGCCATGGCGACGCCAGAAATGTCAAGTCGTATTCAAAATTCACCGCAGGCGGTGTTGCCGGCATGATTGCACAGTAAGTTCTACTGGCCTCCTGGTCGAAGCGGAGTAAAGCCGCCCCTCAATGGATTTTGCTGACCGCGTACCTGCGCGACAGATTTTGCGTTTATCCACTAGATACCCTCAAATTCCGCTTGCAGTGCGAGACTGTTAAAGGAGGCCCGACGGGCAGCGCACTAGTCCGTCAGACGGCTGTCAAGATGTACGCCGACGGCGGCGTTCGAGCGTGCTACCGTGGTGTGACCATGGGTCTCGTGGGCATGTTCCCGTACAGCGCCATAGACATGGCCATGTTTGAGCTGCTCAAGAATTCATACCGAACGTACTACGCCAGGTATGCCGGTTGCAATGAGGAGGATGCCAACCCTGGCAATATTGCCACGGGCATCATCGGCGCAACATCTGGGGGGTTCGGCGCGACGGTCGTGTACCCGCTCAACGTGGTGCGAACACGGCTGCAGACGCAAGGAACCGTGATGCACCGAGCGACGTATACTGGCATATGGGACGTGGCCCAAAAGACCATTCAGAAGGAGGGATATCGTGGTCTGTATAAGGGATTGTCGCCGAACCTGCTCAAGGTTGCACCTGCGCTGAGCATCACGTGGGTGGTGTATGAAAACTCCAAGTCCGTGCTTGGGTTACAATGAGAGTCATTGGAGAGACGACGAGACAACCTAGAAGAGCGACGGTGTATGAGTACATTAAGCAGCGGTCACGCGTCGGAGGACGTGCTCGGATAGCTGCTCGCTGCCTCGTACATGCGGGCGGACCGTCCTCAGACAATGGCCATTTTCCCCCCTTTGTTGGAATCACCTGAGTGGTGGGTTTTGTCTGAAGTGCGTGGCCATGATTTGGCTGGAGGGCATACGCCGTTAGAGAGGAGGGACTTGTGGCTCATTTGTTTCACGCTCTGGAAAGCGCGCTTCTCAGAAGAGAAAAGACTGGAATTGTGCGAGAGCAATTGCGAGGCTCTCGGAGGAACAGGATACAGGATGCCCAGGAGGAGGAGGAAACCTGAAAACACAACACACCACCGACCGGGGTGGAACTTGGACAGGGTCGACATGCAAGCAGCATCTACCTCGACACGCGAGCATGACGGCGTGCTTTGCGTCGGAACGTGAGCTGTGCAAGCTAGCACGAAATGACGAAACTTTCGTATGTAGCTTCAGACTCGAGACAAGGGTTTACTTACAATCAACGACGTCGAGTGCACATTATTGCGCCCGGGTGCGAGGCTGCTGATCGGCCGAAAGTGGATACCGTGCCGGAGTGCCGGCACGGGTACGGCAACCGGTGCGGGGATTGGGTCCGATGTCCTTGGCTTGGCTTCCTTGTGGCCCTCGACTCACCGGCGTGCCATCGAGCGTAATTCATTGCGTGCGCGCTGACGAGCAAAGTGAGTGGTGGCTGACGGGCTCGACGCACTGCTACGGCGTGCTCGGTCTCGCTTATCCTTTGAATGGAACTCTGGAGCTTGCGCCGCCTGTTCGAACCGACTGGCTGCTCCAATGGGGAAGTCGCGCCCGAGCAGGGCGCCTTCCGCAAATACACCGAGTCCTACTCCGTACACACACACTGACGATAACTTACGCGTCGTTTCCTACGCCAGCTGCTCCGTAGCCCTGCATTCGTCACCTCGCCCACTCATCATCATCATCATCACAGGCGTAGCGTCCGAGACAGACGATGGTGCCCTGCCGCGCACCGGCTACAGCACCCTCCTCCTTTATTCATACCCTCCATCCGAGACGACAGCAACTTTGGCAGCGTCAACTTCTTTAAATCAGCCCACGGCTCGGTCCCTCCATCACCGTCACTCTCAGGTGGCCGCTCTCGACGCCATCAGACATTTGCCCCTCCCTCGTCTGGCAGCTGAAACAACAATCAGGGCCCAATGACCATCCCCGAGGAACATCAGGCACTGCTGCCTCGTCAGCCCGAGTCTGTGGGAGGCTCACCCAATGGCCCGCCTGCCTCTCGACGGCAGCGAGTTAAAAGCGCCCCTCACTCGCCCAACACGAGGGAGAGTATCAAAACACTTGTTGGTGTTGCCGCCGTCCTGGCGATTTGCGTTGCTCTTTTCGGGGGGGTATTCTTGAGCGGCAGCAGATCTCAGCGTCCCAAAGTAAGTCAGGCACGAGCGTCACATGAGCAGCCCGTACTCCGTACGTCGCATTTAAATTTGCGAACTTGCCCGTATCCGCATGGGGGTCTTTGCTATCTTTGGCAGTCACATATGATGGACGAATGCTCCAATACTCGAGCTCGCCTACTTGTTCCCGCACACACACTCACACATTCACATTTCGTCGGATCACAAATCACATGGGGTCCTGCTACATATTGGCATCACTCCTCCCATTTCCTACCACATGGACTGGCTCAATATTGCGTTGTTGGCCGCGCCGACAGACTAACTTGCCTGTCTTCAGATCCCTGAAATTTTCGACAACGATCCAGTTAAAGAATCGAACATGGGTGGCCAACGTGACCTTGAGTGGAGGCCCAAAGTGTCTTGCAGAAACACCCCTCACAGATTTGACAAGTCAATTGCACCGTTTCAGTACGGCAGCGGCTTCTCTTTAAATATTGCGCAGAGGCCGGAAAGGAACGAATTCAAGAGAGGCCGTCAGCCTCATGTTTCTGGAGGGCTCCTGCTCCGTCCATCCAAAGAGGCAGGAGGCAGTGTCGAGATCGAGGTCATTTCCAATGACGAGAGGCTGAGAACCAGCACTGAAATACATGTCCGCCAAGGCCTTCAGTCCATCGACATCATCTCTCCCCGGGTTCTGGACTGGTGGGACCCCTCAGGTCCTGCACCTTGCATCCAAGTGCGTGTCACGGTCTATGTACCTCATAATGCCTACCTCGATAGCCTCCACCTCGATCTCGTCCATCTCGACGTTGACATTGTTGAGGGCCTCGTCATGGGCGTGGTGGACGGCCCCTCCATCAAAACTGTTGTTGGCGACGTCAACACTCCCCGAGCCAGCAATGTCGACGACGGCATTGCGCCGTACTCAATGCAATCGCGCCGAATCAATGTTGAAACTGTCAGTGGCAACATCAAGGGATGGTTCCCTCTGTACGATCTTCTCCAGATCAAGTCTGGCTCCGGCGACGTCGAAGCCCAAGTTGCCCCCAAGGCTGCTGACAGGAAATCCGTCAACGAGGCCAAGCTCAAGGTTGAATCCATCTCTGGGCAGGTCAGACTCGAGGAGCCGTTAGCATCTACCGTCAGGAGCGGCAAGCTCGGGAGGAAGATGCCGCCCCGCGATTACCAGGTCGAGATTGGCACGGCATCCGGAGACATCACCGCTGACATTGCCATGACATCTTCCGCCAAGATTGGGTCTGTTTCCGGCGACCTGACTGTCAATGTTGTTCCCCTGCTCGCCAAGAGCTCCGACAGGGCGAGCTTCAGCACCGACACCAAGAGCGGATTGACCACTGTCAACATTTACGAGGCTGTGGCAATCGAGATGCCCGCCGACGCCCAGTCCCACGCAAAAGACTCTGAAAACCGCAAAACCGGCAGCCTTGCCATGTTCAACTTTGGTTCCAAGCATTCTTCCGTTAGCGGCGATGTCAAGCTCTTCTACCCCGCCACTTGGGTGGGCAGATTCCGCGCCGAGAGCATATCTGGCGATATTTCTGTGGCGGGAAAAGATGTCAGGATTACTCGACGAAGCCGTGGTTTTGGCAAATTCGTAGAGGGCGAAAAGGGCGACGGAGCATCCTTTATCAAGATGGGTACCGTGTCTGGTGATGTGCAGCTGCAGGTTGGCAAGGCGTAGGTTGGGTAGCTACCTCGCGGTCAACATTTTCTTCCCGTGAAACATGTATTGGCGTCTCCGAGACTACCGTGTACCATGCATGATACGCGGCACTCATCACAAGTATCGGCTACAGCTTCCCAATCGACGGACACACTGCTCTTGGAAGAAGAAATTAGTGATATTTGTGTCCAATTATACTATACTCATATATGCATGTTCCATCTTCATGTTCATATTCGCGCAATTGCGACCTAATCCAGGCTGACACAGCCCTCTACGTACCCACACGACATTACTAAAATTGACATCATGTTTCTGTAAAAAAAAAAAAAAAATAAAAAAAAACGGACTGAAAGAGAAAAAAGTTCAGCCTAGAAAGGGTATCCTGGTAAATGGAATGTAAAAAGATGTGCCACCTGGGCAGCTGGTTACGTTATTTTCGCACCATGACGTACATATCTGTTGTTCGGCTGGATAGAGAAATGATGACTGTTCAGAAATGAAAGAAAAAGTAATGAAATAAAATAAAATAAAGTAAAACCAAAGGCAGAAAGCAGCGGTGAGTAGGTAGTCGCCTGGCCATCTTGCTGGTGATGGAGATGCTGGTATCATCCTTCTACAGGCCACGGGAGGTCACGATTGCCCACGGCCGTGCAAGTCAGGTAGCTGATTCCCTCCGAGGTCCTGCTCGGGCCGGCCAAATCGAGCTCCAGCCCACTTCCAAGAAGGGGGCGAACGAGGTCTCGTGCCATGGCCTTCATTTCATCCATGCGTTTCTCGAACCTGCGCAGGTTATCGCGACGATACAGCTCCGGCGTCAGTTTCAAAAATCTCTTGCAGTCCTCGTGGTTGAGAAATGAGCTCGAATGTCCCGACCCCAGGGTTCGATAGGCCCGCCCAATGGAGGTCAGGGGCGGGACCGGTGGCGGCGGAGCGGAATGATAGTTGCTGCTTCGGCCACTGCCATGTCGTTCAGGTGATGGCTGTGGCGATGTGTTGTCTGCAAGCCATTGACGGAAGAGACTGACTACGAGCCAATCCAGGTAGTTGTTTCCGGGGGTGACACGTTCTCCTTTTGCACTGGTCAGGGTGAGCCGAAAGAGACGCCCTTCGACTCGGCTGATGATTTCTTCGAGCTCGTCTACTTTATCTTCTATGATGTCAAGGACGATATCAGGAAGCGCGGCACGAATACTGCGCTCTCCCACCGGCCATTGGCCAACAACATGAATCAGGGCTTCTTGAAATATAACTTTGCTTCGAGCAAGATAGCCCAGGCGAAGGTAGGAAATGGGGTATTTGGCGATTTGCTTCCATACCCGAGATTGGAACTGGAGCAGGTGGTGATCGACTCGAGGCCCAACGACGGCCAGAGCGTCGTACTGGTCGGCCAGGGTGAGGAGCGACTTGCACTGGACGTAGGCATCTGCGACATTGACGCCGTCCAAGATGGGCGGGTAATTGTAAAATATGCGAAACAGATTGTCGTAGTCGCGTAAAAGATCTTGGTGCTCTTGGGACATGGTGGGAGTCACGGCTAGGTTGGCGACAGAGCGCGAGAAGGAGGCGTGGCTGGTGGTGGGTGGGCCGTGTTTTGATCGTGAAGCGGATTTGGTGTTGGATGCAGGAGCTGAGCCAAAGAGTGAAGGAAACGATGGCTGTGAGTTTGCGGCTGGCGCTGTCTCTTCCTTCTGAACCAGCATGGGAATATCGCCTGGACCGACACCAGTGTCGAGTTCATACCTCCACGTCTTTGTCGGGGTCGAGGCTCCTGGTGATGGCGAGACACCACCACCAACGAAAGCAAACCGGACCGCATCAGCGCAATCCAACGCAGACGACGGCTCCTCACCGATGCGGGCGAGTTCATTGCCTCCGGCTAGCAAGGGTCGCGGCTTGGACCATTCCATCGAGGTACTCGCTTCAAAGAAGCCGCTGCACCTTGTCAAGGTGTGCCGGTGTAAGAGATAGCGATTCGATATGGCATCTGGACCTGGACGTGCACCAACGCGGATGAGAATCTCGACATCGCCGCTGTGCGAAAATACTGGAAATTCATTCTGAGGAACATGGGAATGACCGCCCGTGAGGGAGCGATTGTATCGCTTGGTGCGGGAGAGCGACGGCCGCGAGACGACGGATGCGGAAGTAGAATACTGGTGGCCGCGACGTGAGGAGACGAGGGGAGCTGGGTTGTAGCCTGAGCCTGGAGAGGGCTGATCTGGTTGGGAGACCATGAGCGGCGACTGACGAGTCACGACGGCGTGTGTTGGCGACTGTGTGTGCGAGAAGCCCAAGAGATGAACTTTAAGGAGAGTCGCGCCCGGCCTTGTCGCGTGACGATGACGGCATCAAGGTGTGAAGATGGCGGCGCAGGAGCGAGTACGGAGAAGGCGCGGTTGAGTTGGTCTGCAAGGAGTCGAAGACTTTGCCGCACGCGGTTGCGGCGATGATGGCAGATGAAGCTCGATGAGAAAAGGGATGGACAATGGCCAAGGCAGGCTGCGATGCGATGCTGGTGCTCCAAGCTGGGATGGGCCGATTCATAGGCAAGGCAAGAAGACCACACGGCCGTCGTCTGCCTCATGGGAGCCAAGACAGACAGACGGTGGTGTGTGGTGTCAACAACAATGGATGCTATGGCTGGGCGATGGCTTAAGTTCGGACGTGACTACTGCGTAGAAATGGTCGACTGGGAGGTTTGATCTTGTCGGGGCAACGCACATGTGAGTGGACGAGCGAGTCCGTTGTGAGACGTGAGAGGGCGTGAGGGAGTGAGCGAGCGATGAAGTGAGGGAGGGTGAGCGGCACCAGCCGGCTTCGAGGTGCTCGTGGAGCGTGGAGCTTGATGCTCGTCCAAGAAACGAGGAGCGAGGCACGCTAGCTGCGGCAGCTAGACAGGGCGTGGCCCAACGATGGATGACGGGATGACGGGGCTGTGGTGCAGCTATCCTGACGACGAGATGGAAGAAGTGAAACAATTGTCGCCATGGTCCAGACTCCAGATAACTTACTCTTTCTCTTTCTCTGCAACTGTCACCCGTGCCTGCCGGAGGAGGCAAAAACGAACACGGGGCAGGAGCCAAGTGCACGTGAGAAGGCGAGCTTGACGCTTGTGACCTGCGCTCTTGCCACCGGGATCGCGCTCCCCAGTAGGATTACCCAAGTACTACTCAACTACTCCGTACTCAAGTACCTAAAGTAGCTTGGCACCCACAAGAAGTACTTAAGTACCCAGGTACTTAATGACTTAGAAGTGGGCACTTGACAAGACACTTACGTACTTTAGGTGCATCAAGAACTGACTCTCAAAGCACTTCAGTTACTCAAGTAAGTACTTAAGTAGAGATAGGTAAGTGTGCAGTCAACTGGTCAGCTTCGCCGAGGACATGTCGGTTGACCAGACATCTCCTGTCCCTTGTGACAGCTTGCTTACTTGAAGTTACACCTGACCCTTCACTGACGCTGCAAGACATTCGGCAGCAATCAATACCCTTGTCGACCACCCGTTCCACACAAGTGGCGCCGGTCTCAACAGCTTCCAGCTTCCAACTTCCAACTTCCAACGTCCAACCACCAACCTTCTGCATCTTTCAGAGTTATGCCCGACAGCCTCACGTCTGCCCGGCCAGGCCGAGCTGACCCAGACTTCGTGAACCCTCAAAGCTGGCTACCAAACCGCCAAGTCTCGATGCTATAATCGCCCCCTTACCGCAAACTGCGATGGAATGAGCGTTCCGACTCACGTCTTTCACCATGGCGCCAAGCCCATCTCCTTGACCGAGTTTCGGCATGCCCTCGACGCCGTATGCTCGCCGCGCTTCCCAGCGGCTCGACATGCACGGCCGCGCCGGGTTGGTACGTCATATTTCTGCCAATAGGCTCAATTACAAACCAACAGCTAACTGGCGTTCCGGCAGCCCTCGCCATCAGCGGCGGTGTGGATTCCATGGCCATGGCTTTCCTCTTTTCCAACCTCATCAGAACACATCGGGACATCAAAATTGCCGACAACCCGACCGACGGCGTCTTTGGCATCATCATAGATCATCAATTGAGGCCAGACAGTACGCTGGAGGCTGCCGCTGTGGCTCAGGAGCTTAAGAAGTTAGGTCTCAAGGCAGTTACAAAGTCTCTTAGCTGGAAAAATCCAAGTAGCCTCACAAACATCGAAAGTGTCGCGCGGACGAAGCGATACCGCATGCTTGGCTCGACTTGCCGCTATCTCAATGCCACCAGTCTATTCTTTGCCCACCATCGGGACGACCAGTACGAAACCGTTCTGATGCGCTACATGAGTGGACATCGGTACCGCGGGTACCAGGGGATACGAGACGCCAATGCCATCCCGGAATGCTACGACTTGCATGGCGTGTACAAGAGCGGCTTACTGGATGATCAGTCGGCGCAATATCCGTATTTGAGCTTCAAGCCTCCCAACAAGGAAATGAGGCGCCTGAGGTGGATGCTAAAGGACAACTCAGAATGCGAGCCCCTGAATCATTTAAAGTACCGTCTTGGTGTTCATGATCTGTCAGCCCGCTTCCCGGGCCATATAATACGCGAAGTCGACCCGCGTGTGCCCTACTTGACTCCGCTGAACTGCGAAGATGGTGGCGTCATGGTATACCGACCGCTGCTGGAGTTCGATAAAGATAGGCTTGTTGCCACTTGCGAGGCCAACAAGATCAAATGGTTTGAAGACCCAACGAATGCAGACCCAACTCTCACACCCAGAAACGCCATCCGGCACATGGATCGTAGTCTACTCCGACCCGAACTCCGCAAGGAAGCAATTCTCGACATGTCGCGAGAAGCAAAGCGTCGTGCAAGGTTGGAAGATGCTGAGGCGCGACGTTGGTTGATGCGCGAGGCTGTCATACAAGATTTTGACCCCAACGCCGGCACGCTACTCGTTGAACTTGCGTGCTTCAAGTCGAATACCGCACATTGGCGGCGTCTTTCTGCCAAGCCAAGAGCTGGGGCTCGCAAGCCGCACCAGCGACTCATAGCAGCTATAGCTGTCCGCAAACTAGTCGAATTTGTCACCCCAGACATTAATGTCCCTCCTCTGGCGAACTTGGACAATGTCGTTGACCGACTCTTTCCAGAGCTTGCTTCTCAGCCAGATCCATCGCCACCAAGGGCATTCACCATCGCCGGAGTCGTCTTTGACCCCATTGTGGGCCCGTCGCCAACCAAGTGGTTCCTATCGCGAGCTCCCTTTTCATCCATGAAACCTCTACCAGAGCAAAAACTCCCCGGCCATCTTAATTATCACATCTCCCCCTTGGTCGGTCAACCAGGCGACCCAAATTCTCGCCATCGCCACTGGCGTACCTGGAAAGCCGCCAAGCTTTGGGATGGACGGTACTGGATCCGCGTGAGTGCCTGTGTTCCGGCAAGATTCCACATTCTACCTTTGCTACCGCACCACGCAAAACCATTCCGGAAAGCACTACCACCGAAGCAACTTGCACGGTTAGAGCAGATTCTCAAGTATTACGCACCGGGCAAGATTCGATACTCTTTGCCCGCGCTATACAGTGTTGAAAAAACGAAGGCAGAAGACGAGCCCGATCCAACCTTGACACTACTTGCACTCCCCAGTTTGGGAATCCATATACCTGGCTTAGAGAGATGGGTCAGGTATGATGCAAGGTATAGATGGATCGATGCATCACTCCTTGGACTCAAGAAAAGAGGGACACAGGCTCCCACGATAATGTATCATCGTCCACGGAGGAGATCAAGGAGGTTGCGGAGACGGAGATTAGCGGAGTCCATTCTGATAAGGAAACACAGTGCGTTGTAACCACCATGTGCTCAAAAAAATGCTCCCACTAGGAAGATGAATCTATCCAATAACTCATATCACATTCGTTCATATTCATACATGATGCAGGATAAAAGTCTCGGGCAGCTGCTGAATCACTCCAAAGAACCTTGAGCAGGAGTTAGGTAGGTGAAGGGGTTCCACGCCTCGTATCCGCCGTATCAATTTTGGGCAACTCATTGTGACGCTTGCATTGTTGACCAGAAGCGCAGGCGTTGGCTGGATATGATGGCAGGACTGGTTGTCAATATCTTTACAGGATTCTCCGTTGTGTCGGGATATGCGAGCTTGGACGAACGGAGTTTCTAAGGCACGATTTGCTTCGAACCTGAACAAAGACACTAGTCGAAATCAGACCGAGCACTGCTACGCTGAACAAGCTGATGCGAGGTGGTGTATCTGGGTCGGATACCTGTTTGCTTAAGCCAGCCGGCCAAAGTAGCGATGGTCTGTTGGGCGGCGACCGGTGTCTGGCGGTTCGTCCGGGAAAGAGGAGCAAAATTGCCCCGTGTTGAAATTAACAGACGCATGTTGACTCAATCGATTTGACGTTGACATGGTCCGGCGTCGCCAGCATTTCGCCATGCAGTGGCCCGCCCTGTCGAACAAGGCCACCATGGCCAATGGTGTCAAGGTTCTAGAGTGCACTGCGCGCAGCAGGGATACTAATCAATATGGCTGGCTACCCAGTAGCCAATGAATCGACGTGGGCTTTGATCGAACTGGAAGCTCGTGTGGCAATCTGTCTCACGCTCAGAGAGTGAGGCGACTTTATGTGCGACGGCCAGTTTTCTCGGTAGGGGCCAGGATTATATTCCTCGACGACACCTCGCCCCTGACAAGCAGAGGTTTTCATTTAGCAGAAGAGGAATGGTACGGCCAATTCTAGACTCAAGGACAACTTCATCATCTGTGTTAAAAATAATGGCTTGCATCAATGCCATGATACAAACAAACAATCTGGAGTATCGTGAGAAATTCCCAATTCCCAATCCCCGCTAACTGATTAGCAAACTAGGCTCTAGGCGGCCGCGCCTGCCCGACTTGACCGCTCCGCCCTTTCCCGGCCTTTCGAGTCAAAACCCAGCCCAATCCCCATCGAAAAGAAAAGAAGGTCAAGGTCATGTGCTCTTTCCCAGACACAGTTGAAAGAAAAGACACCAACGAATCGGGAAGACTTCATTCTCCCTTGCCAGCCCAACAAGCTGCCAACAGCACGAACCAAGCAAAACACTGCTCGCAACGCTTATACGCTTGCTGTTCGTGACCTCGATGGTCTCACTGCTGTGGCCTCACCGCTGTGGTCCTCTGCCCCTCTGGCAGCGCCGCCCGAACTCATGAACCAAAGTTTCAATCCTGACAGAATCAAATGCCAAGATTCAAATAACAAGCTGCAAAATAAGCGACGGCTTCCATCTCGGCAAATATTCGTTCTAGTCAACGACCCATGAAGCCAGCCCTTCCTGGGTTTGTCGCACGCCTCACTTTCGGCACCAGGTTCGCATGAGTCTCAGGCCTATCTAGCACGGCCTTCCGTCCACGAGGAGCCTCGACACCAGGTGAATATGCCGGTCCGGTCCGGGTATCGTCCGGCCGAGGCGAGGGCGAGCTCCCATTCCCGTTGCCATCATACGTTGGATACAAGTGAGCGACATACCCCCAAGCCTTTTGAGGTAGCAAGCATGCAGATAATCGAGACCAAACAGCGCAATTGGCCGAATTCGTGCGCTGCGGCACTGGCAGAAGCCCTTGCCTTGACGACCTTGGTCAACATGATGTCCGGCATGCATGGTCTAATGTCTGCGACGGCTTGACGTGGCATACTCGACATGCACCTCATGCGGACTTTCCCTAACATGAGCCTCATCATAGGCGTCGGGCAGCATATAACCATTTGGAAACTCGCCCCGTGTCTTGGCCCATTCAAAGGTCGGCTCATCAATCAAATAATGGTCATGTAGATGATCGAGAAAGTGGAAGTCTGGCCGGATATTTAGTGCTGTCATGCCATTATCGAAATGGCGAGCAATGTGGTACATTCTCCTGCGGAAACATGCTCTTTTCTCCTCTCTTTGATTTGAAGCAGACCTGAACTCGCCTTCTCTGCCGTCGCAAAACCAGCAAATGCTGAATTTAGGAAAGCACCCGTAAAGATGCTCGTCGATTATGTGGTCAATCCACAAGCTCACGTCTTGCAGGGAGAAGACCGCGTTGCAACGAGAATAGTCCTTGAATTCACATGGCAGCCAGCTCATGACGATGGGATCCGGCACCGCGGGACGTTGAAGCCCCGCCGGCTCCGGACCATATAGTGAAGGGGGGCCCGTGGAGCTTGAATATGCTGACGAATCGTCAAATTCGTCAAACGCTGGGCTCCTTCGCGTCGCACTTGTCGCCAACGACGAAGAACGTTCAGTAGGGGCATCTCTTGGACGTCTTGCTTCCGGTATGAACAGTTGCGGGGCATAGTAAGACTCGCTAAGAAGGTCAGGACTGACAAACTGACCGGTATCTCGACATCTTTGCACTAGATCCAATGTGTCCTGGATATCTTGCAGATTCACCATGATCTGGATTTCGGCTGTTGCCCTAGCTCTCGGTTGACGATAGAGGGTGGGGTATCAGACACAAGTCAAGGTCCCGGGAGTAGGACTCAACAGTGAGAAGAAGGGAAAATCAATATGCCTCGCAGCTCACACAACTCTGCAACTCCTAGCGGTTTCTTTTCAAGTTGAATATTGAACCGCGAGAGTGTAGAAAGTTGTGTGGTCAGGGATCTGCTGCGGATATTGTGTCGCCCGTCCCGGATCCACCGCTATGTTGGCGCGTGCAGTGCTCCCGTCGATGAGTCTAGACCGGAGGGCAGGGTTGCCAGAGACAGCCGAATCTTTTTTTTTCCCCTCTTGAGACGGATCGACGATTTAGATCGTCGTAATTAACAGATTTTAGACAAAGAAACTGGTCCAATTGGTCCAACTGGCCCGAGAGGAGGCGCCAGACGATTTTCTCGACTGAGCTTGTGACGTTGAACAAGGACCAAAAAAGGGCGCGCCCAGCGATAAGCTGGATGGTATGTGGTGGGGACTTTGTCCGCTTTCTCACCACCTTTGGCCATTTTCTTGAGCGAGTAACGAGGGCCCGAAGTTCGTCTTTCTGATGAGAAAGAATCGTTTTGAGAGATTAAAAAAGACGAAGTTGAAATTTACAAAAACGAGGCCAGCATCGTGATATGGGGACAGAAACACTACACTGACAACCATACGCTCTCATCGCAATGAACCGTCTACCAGTCTATCGGTCTCGAATCCCATGAGCAAGCACTTCTCGCAATCTTTCAGGTTAAACTTCCGCCCAGAAACGTGTGCTATTCGGAACCACGTTGTGTTACAGAAGATATATCATGTTTGCTCTACACAGTGGCTTCGTACCTCCGGTGTGCTGTCTGCGTGACCATGAATACGTCCCATCATCAGGAAAAAGAGGAAGAACGAATAGAAGGGCACAGTTACACCGAATCTGCCACCTGCCACCTTCCACCTTGTGGCGCTTTCTTTCAAACGGATTTTTCGAATGGTATGACAAGACCCTTGCAGTCTCACCGGAAGTGTCAATGGAGGGTGGCCAGTGCACCTGTATATTGGATAGCAACAAAGAAGACCTTGACAACGACATGAAGACAGTTCGGGACCGTTGGCGCCACAGCCGTCTTGAAAAGCCACTCTGGACGCTGGAGAGTATTGGCTCGTGGGCCACGATGGATGCCATCAATTTTTGGGCCGGAATGGCTTTGGCCATGGAAGCAGCAGAATGATACTGAAGCGTGATGTGGTATTGGCGACAGTTCCGGACTCGGGCAGAACAAGATGGGACTTGGCTGGCTGACCATCAAAGACCTGGCAGAGGCCCAGGTTCAACGCTGTCTGGCCAAGTCGAGCGGGGAGAGAGGTCTGGCACGGCATGACGTATGGGGGGGGACTCGCTGACCCGGAAAGATGAGGCTCCTCAAGCAGCAGCGCGGGCATCCCTGCTCTCGAGGCAGTGGGCCCGCTGCATGCGCTGTCGATGAGAAAATGTCGGCCTCGTTTCGCCAATTTTACGTGAGGGGCGGCTTTCGATCTGAGTATTCATCCGTTGTGTGGCACGTGGTAGGGCAAGTGTTCGAGCCATGGTTCCCTTAACCAAGACGCAGACGTGTTGACGGCTGCCATGTTTGCAAAAATTGGGAGCGCCAATTTGTATGCATAGTGGGCTGCACTGCACCCTGTGCCTATGAATGAGAAGTTGGTTAGAAGTCAAAATCGGGACATGGACTTGGACAGAAGACCATTGATGGCCTTGATGGCTTCGAACGCTGTAGCTTTTGACGTTGAGATGAATGGTCAAATTGCGGAGTCGACTCCACGATTCGGCACTCGGCATAGTGGGATCAGGCCGAGATCAAATATACAAGGAACCTAAGTGCCTGGGTAGGTGGTGCTACTCAATAACGGGTACGTAAGTACTCAGTAAGTTACTTGGATTACCGTACTCAGTACTCGGATTACGAGCGCGGGAGCTGCACCGTTTGAATACGAACCAGTCGACGGGATGCCAGCTGTGCACCAGCTGCACCAGCTGTACGCTTATCCCGACTAAGTAGCTGCAACACGAGGAAGCCTCGAGCTGGACGGATTCCGTCTCGTTTGATCCATCATCTGCCGAGCACATTGTCCAACAAACCTCGAGTCAAACCCATCTCTCCTGTCAGCAGAGCACCGCGCTGCACGCAGCACTACTCGGCAGCATAATGCCTCATCGGGAGGCCCCCTCTCGAAACCTGAACGTGGAAAAGACCAAGACCAAGACCAAGAGACATTGATCGACGCAAACAAAAACACTCGGCCGCCCGAGTCCCGAGCTCCACGGCGGTCAGAAGATGGCACCGCCTCTCCCCATCCCACTCGCCGTCGCCTCCTCCAAAGACGGCCGCCACAAGCGCAAGCGCGACGACGAAAACGACGTCAACCTCGGCGTACTCATCCCCCTCATCATCATCCTGATCCTCGTGGTCGTCCTCTTCTTGGGCTGGCTGGGGCTGCCGTGGCCCAGAATCATGGCCTGGTGGAAGCGCAGGCGCCCACCGCCCACCGCCGCCCAGAGCGAGGGCGACCACCACACACACGAGCTGGACGACCGGCCGCCCCCCGACCACGACGAGGCCCTGGTGCCCAGCCACACCGGCGGCCTGAAGCTGTCCGACTCCAAATCCAAAGAAGGCGCCGGGGCCGGGGCCGGGGCCGTCAAGGAACCCAAGATCCGCTCCGGCGTCCAGGGCCTCTTCAAGCGCGAGCCGGCGAACCGCCCGCCCGCCCCGCCGCCGCCGCCTGCGGACACGACGCCGAGCGGTGCCCTCACGCCCGACCTGGCCCCCGGCCAGATGTCGCCCGGCCAGCAGAGCACGCTGAGTGCCGTGCCCGAGAGGTCCGCCTCGCCGTGGGACCCCACGGGGAATTCTGGCTGAGGGGGCCGCTCCCTCCCGCCTTGGGCTCCCTTTCGTCCACGGGTCTTGCCTCACTCTGCGCCGCCGAGGCCACACCAAGTCAAGTCGTCCATCTCAAGTACTTTGCGGGCAAGAAAAGTCGCCAAAAAAAAGACAAAATACGACGCCCCCCAAACCAAGCTCTACGTATCGGGAGACAACAGGCGCCACATGTGGTGGTGGTTGGAATGCGAGGAACGAAGACACATGGTGTGGTATGACTGGCGATGGCCTGGGCCGTAGGTAAACAGAGCAGATATTGTTGCCACCAAGTTGACCCAAGCTCGCGTGCTACTAGACGGCTCTCTTACGGAAGCCGATGCTCGCCCCCGCAGTGATAAAGACTGTCAGTCAGTCAGTCAGTATGCGCACCGCGTCCATGACGGACCAGCCTCTGGCCGCGGCAGAAGAAAATGCTGCACAGGCAACGCGGGAATAGACTTGCCCTGGTCCTGAAATACAAGGCGAATTCCAATCGCTATGGACCGCGTCCGCAGCGCCCTTGCCCGTCCCTGTCCCGCCTTGAGTCCATTCCAAGTTGCACAAATCAATCGCCACGAATAAATGTACCCCCGAGCCCGGAGTCGTGTTCAAGGCAACGCTCCGTCAACACTCGGGGCTACACAGGACCCTTGCCTTGGCAATGACATTTCGAAACTGCAACTGGCCGCCGTTCTCGTCGCCGTGCTTGATCACCCCCGGGAACACGACACACCAGACGTCCCTTCTGACGAGAGCCTCCTCGTCCTCGTCGCCTAGGTCCTCCATGGTGTCCGGCTCAAACATGACCTCTTGATGGGGGAGCACCTCGGGCATGTACACCCTCAGCACGGCCTTCTGAGCCGCCAGCAACCTCGCTAACTCGACAGAATTGTTGACCAGCACGCGGAGCGCCGAGTCTCGTGCTTCTGAGCGCGACGGTGGCACGGATGACGTGCTGCTGTCGGTGATTGAGTCCAATATCCGATTTATTCGAGAAATCACGCTCTCGACGTACTCCGCAGTACAAGACTGCAGGAGTCGAGGGGCGTCGCGTCGAACAAGGGCGAGCGTGGACGCGCGCCATTGATTTATCGACTCGTCCGTGGCTGCTACCGAGCTGTTAGTTTGGGGCCTTTGACAGTCAAGGAGCGACAAAAGAAAAAGGACACACAGAAACAGGACAAGAGCTCCTCCATCTGGCGAAAGCACCTCGTCTGGTCGTCTGACAAGCCCACAAAGTAGGTATTGAAGACCATTTGTACCAAGATTTTGGACACCACCGACTGTAGCAAGTGCACCTTTGCCATTTGGGCAAGCGCCTCATACATGGGGACCAGTTCACCAAGCTCGGCGAGCGTTGCCTCGTCCACTTTTGCAAAGTCGACTACCGCCCAGATGCAATGTCACGTCAACAAAAGCCATCCAAGACGCCGGATGAAAAGGGAAAAAAAAAAGGGGGGGGGGGGGCAAGGGAGCAGGCTGAGCAGAAAGCTTACCCAGTTTTGTCCTCCGGAAATGCGTAATGACCCAATTCTGAAGCCCGTTTCCCAGCCGCGCCATGCCGTCCCCGAAAACCTCATCGCTCGTCTGCCCATCCGTCCTCGTGCTCGTGCTCACAAACTGCTTCAGCCCTCGGATCTGGCTCCTCAGCCCCCTCACCTCGTCATTTCGCTCCTGCAGCTCCCTCCTCAGCACCTCCCACCCCTGCCGCAACTCGTCCCTCTCCGCGTCTTGCACGTCAACCTCGGCCCGGAGGAGCCGCAGCTCCGTATCCGTCCGCAGGTACTGCTGATTCAAGGCGCTATGCTTCGCCTGCCAAAAGGTAGCTGTCTCGCTCTCGTTTTGACTCAGTCTATCCAGCTCGCGCTGGAACTCGCGCTCCATGATGTCCATTTCCCCTTGGAGATGGGCTATGCGCTCGTCCTTTTCCCGCATCAGCGCCGCACCGCGCTCCTTTTGCTTCTCTTTGGACGAGGAAGCGGTGTATCTGACGGATGCTGACCCCGCGGGGCCGCAAGACCCGTCCTTGTCCTTGTCGGCGACGAACACGCCGCCGCCGGACGTGTTTTCGTGGCAATCTTCGGGCAGGGCTGCGTTGCTGCTGCTGTTATTGTTGTGATTGCTGAGGATTGCTGCGCGGGGAGGCATCACCGGCATGCTGCTGCTGTTGCTGTTGCTGTTGCTGCCGCTGCCGCTGCCGCTGGTAGAGTCTGTATTGACGGCTGCGGTGGTGCCTGACGTGGACGACGTTGAGTGGTTGCTGCGTCTGGAGCCAGTACGCAGTGCGTGACCGCCACCGCGGCGCTTTTCAGGCACGTCCATTGAGGCCGAGTATAGCGGTATATAGATCTCGGAGGGGTCGTTTGTCGTTTGTCTATGCTTGATGGACTCGTCTTGTCTTGTCTTGTCAGGTTGTCAGGGGAGAGCTTGGGTGCCGCATTGTTGCTACATGCTCCGTTCCCGTGCGCCGGCGTAGCAATGGCAAGAAGCGTGACAGATGACGCCAGGCGCAAAATGAATGCTCGCGGCGATGGTCGCAAGTCGGCCAGGGTTGGAGACGACAGGGGAAAGAAGACAAAACGCCTCTCCCAAGGTCCTTGGTTGCCTGGCTCGGCAAGCCGACAGGTTGGACGTTGAAGTTGGAGTGGCGGACGGACGTGGAATGTGTGGGGGGGCGAGGGGTGAATAGGCGAGGAGCGGCGCGGCGCGGCGGGGGAGGCAGGAACTGCACAGACCGTGCAGCGCCGTGCCTGCCTTCAATGTTGCCTGGTGCCTTGATACGTGCAACATGTTGTCGTTGGTACTCCGTACTCGAGTACTTAAGGTAGGCATGTTGCGTGGCGTGTTACGTACCCTGTAGTGTCGATTGGACTGATTCCATATTTGATAATCCGTCGTCCGTCTCTTCATTGCTGGCCGCAACATGCTCCGTCCGCTGCTCGGATTATCGCCTCGCCTCGCCTCGCCGCAGCCGTGAGACGTTCTGGTACAGCATCACCTCTTCAACCAGGATTCAAATTTCAGACTCTGGACAACATCCGTCCCGCTGCCCCTCACATCTCAATCTCGCCCTCAACCTCATAACGCTCGTCGCCATCCACCTTCTTCGCGCCCATCCTACAGAGCGCCACCCTGCTGACCGGCATGTCCTCAGCCCACACGTAATCGTCATACCTGGCCATCAAATCGCCCGCGTCGAGCATCAGTCTTTCTCGCCTCCTTCCGCCTCCCCTCCCCCTGACGTATACCGTGTTAACAACCGTGGCGTGCAGCAGCAGCGGCCGGTCCTCGCCCTCCATCAGACCCGTCTCGCGGAACGGCTTCTGCAGCTCCCGGCAAAAGCTGTAGAGGAGGCCCTCCGCGTCGGCGGGGGCAGCGTAGAGCACAGATGTCCTGGACGCGCCCGTCATGGAGTGTATTCCACGAAGAGATATGGACAGGCCCCCGGCCGTACGAGCCCCAGGTTCCGAGCCCGCCGTGGACGCTGGAGCGTTGTCGGCAGCCCTCAGACCGGCCAGGATCTCCCTGGGCCTAAGCCTGCCCAGCACCTCGAGCGTCGGGCGAATATCGTCTGGTTTCAGGCTCATGACGCCCAGGGTAAGGTGCAGCGTGCCCGGCGGTCTAACAGCATCGGCAGGAACTCCGAAGCCGTTGTCGCCCGTGACGTCGGCCCGAAATTCAGCCAGATTCCTGGTCAACTGCGGACTGGCGAGCTGCAGACACAGGAAATGCGTCGGGCTGGGGCGCCGAGGCATCGCTCGGCGATAGTAGCGCAGGTGTAACAGAGTGAGCGCTCCCATGCAACGACTTGGCATCTTCCGGTCGAGACTTGGCGGGGCAAAGAAAAATCAACTGCCAAGTATCGGGGCGTCGAGGAGCTAGCTACGTAATAAGCCTGCGATCCGGTCACTACGGCAAGTGAGAAAGACAGACAGACAGACAGGGTACGAAATAAAGAATATTTTCTTCACCTTTTGTCCTTCGTCAGCATGCAGCGAGGTTTGATCTCCACGCCGAGTTCATATGGCATGCGGATACGCCTGTCCAAAGGTCAGCGAGGCTTCCGCACGCGAAGCTGACGTCTGGAGGCTTCGAAAGTTTGCCATCTTCCAGGTCCATGCCGTGCCACGCCAACCGCCAACCGCAGGCGAGCGAGGAGGTCCACATTTGACATTTGTTGGCGCGTCCACATCAGACATCATTGATCAACATCCACACCAGGCTCAACAAAGTCGATGCTCTCCTCTTGCACAAGACACAAGACGCTGTCTGGCACACCGCTCACCACTCTACCGAGTGACTTATTCCTCTCGAGACTAAGCCCATCCCCAGAAAATTGACACATCTTGTCCATACATTATTCATCATGCATTCAATGTAAGACGTAGCTTTTCGTAAAACCCTCTAGCAGGTATCTCTTTCCCTACCATTCATCCACGGCAAAGCCACGATCAACTACGTAGTCATACCTTGGCCATCGTTGACCATGATGGCAAAACGACCGGCCTTTGTGCCAACCCAAATCACTCATTAAGGAATGCAAAGCCCTTCCACCCAGCCTTCAATGGTAGATGCTGTGCATCTCCAGAGAACCGACAAAAAAAAAAGGAAAAAAAAAAAAAAGGTTGGTGGAGGGGCCGAGGAAAGCACCAAGACGCCAAGCATATGCCCTCTGATTACGAGACGGTCTGTCGTGACTGTCACACTTTCCCTCAGAAAATTGCCGGAAAGCGATTTTGCCAGGCGTCTCTGCTCCTCGACAACGATTTCCCCGCGTCTGGGGTTTGTTGGTTGTCGGGTTTAGTTTGCCCCAAGGAAGAGGCTTTCCAATGCCGTTTAAGCATCGTCCCCCTTGTCATAGTACGCCTTCAGTCTCGTCTCGACGTCTTGATAGTCCGCCTTGACAGTCCCCAGTGCCTCCGTGATCCGCTTGAGACATAGCTCAGAGTCGGGTTCTGAAGATCCATCCAGATTCTCGTTCTTGCCATAACGCTGAATTTTTTCACAGCCGTCCCTGACCTTGAGCAGCCCCAAGGTAGCAGAGGAGCCCTTGAGGAAATGACCGAGCTCCGACAAAGTCTTCAAGTCCTTCTCTGCTCTACTTACGCAATGGTCTCGGTCAGCTCTCTTGTTACAAGGGAGGAACATGTGTGAGCTGCAAATGACAGCAGGGCCACGCTTTCCAGAGCATGGAGTATGGAAGCTGCAAGTCACTTACAGAGCTGTGTCCATGTTGCCAAAGGTCTCTTGTGCTTGGGTGAAGAAGCCAAAAACAATTGACGAGCTGAATTCATCACTTCCAGGATCATCCATTTCCAGAATCTGGTCAAAGATGTTCATATCGATGGCGTCTCCAAATGCGAGCTCGGCGGAGCCTTCCGCGCCCGTCTGTTTGCAGCGTTAGTCCTCGAGCGGAGGAGCCCTGACATGTTCAACCAACTGACCTTGTCCTCAGAAGGTGACATGTTTCAGCTGTGTTGTAGAAACGCTCTGATATTTACGATCTAAAGGTCTCGGACGGCAGCCCGGAAGAAGTCTGGAAACGGTATAGACCGCGATATAATACGCTGGTATTACTCTACCCTGAGACGCTCAGAGTTGCGACAAACAATTATGGCACCTCGATGTCGATGGCCCGCAAGGTCAGTTGGTCAAGCCGGCGCAGGGAACGATTTTCCGGTCCGGTTCGAGTGTTTATAGCGGCCTCGACGCGTGGCACCGAGTCGTTCCGGTTGGAAAGCCGAGCTCAGATGTGCCGATGAAGTTGTCCGCTCCTCATCGGTCAAGTCTGAGAGGAGGGTCGGGGCGAGGGCTGGCGGGTTTGACTGTGTGATCAGGTAGGCGTAGGCGTAGGCGCTAGCTAGCATCGAGCGAGGACAAGGACGACAAGGTCGGGCCAGAGATGGAGGTTTGGCAGATCAGCAAGAAGCCGGCACGCACAGCCGTCTGGATTAATAAATTTCTGCGAGGAGGATCCTCCGCGTGGCCGAGGACGAGTGTGGGTAGAAGGACGTCTCTGCAAAGGACGTCAGTGGATGAGCATGGAGAATTGGCCTCGGCGGGCCGCCAGTGGGGAAGAGTGGTCAAGGTGGTGGACGACGGTTGGACCATGTGGGCTGTGGGTGGCGCGGGGAGACGAGGGAGAAGAGGCAGACGAGCGGCAGCGAGGCTTGGGACGGCAGCGACAGCCACGACGGAGAGAGAGGCTGGGTACGGAGTAGACATCTCGAGGCTGGAGGCTCACGAGCACGGTCTTCAGAGGCCAGTGACGGCCGCCCGTCCGAGGGGGCTGCCCTCGAGGCTATCTCTCCGTGACGAACTGGACCCAACAAGACGGAGCCGGCGCATGGGGGGCTCCCGCCATGGACGAATGAATGATGACATGGCTGAGCAGAGAGGCGCCTCTGGAATAGTCGTCGTCGGCTCGGCCATGTTGGCGAGCCCCGGCTGGCCCAATCAAGCGTGTGGCATCACTTACAACAGGAGGCCAAGGGCCGAGACACTGCGCTCTGCACCGCAGCTTGGCGGACGGATGAAGCGTCTGGATCTTGGAACAGACGTGTGTGGCGGCGGGCGACGGCTGGCAGAGACAGACAAGTGATGAATAGATGAATGAGGCCAGGGCCAGGCAGACAAAGAGAACAGAGACGGAAGCGGAGACGGATGCAGGTGCAGGTGCAGATGCAGACGGCAACCCGACGGTTCGCACGCTGCGAGCGAGACGAATCAATGATCAATGGCAAACCGGACCGAGGAACGGAGAGCAGCAGCTCGCTAACATGTCAGGGAGAGGAATTTGGGCGCGACGTCTGCGCGGCCCTGGCCTTGCCCTGCGTCCCGTTCTTTTGGACGCTCGGGGCCAAAAGTGACAAGATGACGACGGGGAATGCCTGGATGGATGGATTGTGATTGCCTTAGCGGCAGACTGGCGGATGGATGCCTGTCGAGTTGCTGGGGGCGTGCAGGGAGGGCAAGATTGGACCAGGGTGTGCGGATGTTGCGTGGTGGTGTTGTACAGACTCCAGGGTCCTGAGGTTATTCAGTTGCGAGACCGGGGAAAAAAAAAGGACGGGAAAACCCAAAATTGGCAGGCAAGGGAGAGCCAGGGAATGGATTGAATTGCAGGAACAAAAAGGGGACTCGGGAAAAAGAACGGAGCATTTACTCAAGTAAGTATACTTAGGTAGGTAGGTACGTACTTCTCAAGCACTCAAGTACCTAGGTACTTGGCACTACTTGGTAGCCAGTCAATGGATTCGCAGGGTTGTCGGGGAAAGAAGAAGAAAGAGGAAAGAAGGAATCGAAGCGTGCGCACCAACAAGGCGGAGAGCGACAACTGGGGGAGAAGAGAGCTAATACGTAAATGTATGTGTGGGGGTCAACTGGGTTGGAATGACCGACTAGTACTATTACTACTGGGAACTCGGGCAGATAGACCGGCGTCTGTTGGCTTGCAAGATCAAGGATGACTGAGAGATGCAGAGTGGCAGAGTGGCAGGCGGCCAAGCGGGGGGACGCATGCTCACACTTGACGTAGGACTATCTGGCTACAGAGTGCGGAGCAAGGTGCGTGCTTGGTAGTAGTACTAGTATCTGTTGTTCATCACGACCAAGACGAGAGAGAAGAGGCGAGTTGACGGCGACAATGGACGCCTCGAGTCGGGGAGCTCGGAGACAAAGGCAGGTGTACGAGAACATGAGCTCTAACATCAGAGGCACGGGGCGACTGAACTTTGGGGCTTTACTTTGGAGCGCTTGTATTTTTATTTAATTTTATTATTATCATTATTATTTATTTATTTATTTTTTTCGAAGCTAGATCGATGGAGTTGCAACAAAAAGTGACGTCGTCTGGTCCGTGCCCCTGCCCGTGCCCGTGCCCATGTCCCAGCCTGAAGTCGCGTCCCTGTACCGCCTGCGCCTGCGTCTGCCAGGCGTCTGCCAGGCGTCGGTGCGCCTCCCCCCTCGCGCCTGGGTGCGTACTCCAAGTGGTGATGATGGCAGAGCGGTCTCGTCAAGTCCCTCATCCGTGCTGCACCGTGCTCGGGCCTTGCACAGGCTGCGGAGAACAGACGACGTTCATCCACGTCACGCTCCCAAAACGTTTGTCCTCTGAGCCGTAGTTTCGGAGCAAAGCTCGTCAGCCTCCTTTGTCGTGAGACCGTCGGGGGATGCCTTCAGACTGGTAGTCCATCGCACTTTCCACCGCCCAACGGCCTCGGAGGGCGCCAGCTCCTGACTCATCTCCGCAGAGGCAACCAGGAGTTGATCTCTTGTTGGTCTTTTTACTGTTACCCCTTACGTCGTGTTGGTCAACTCGCATCCTTCTCCCCAGACCTCCCTTCGCTCGTTTGGCTTTGTCAAACATGCCAACATCCAACATGTTGCAGTTGCCATGGTTCGCATGCCTGGAAATTTGCTTTGCTGCCACGCTGACGCTCGCCAGCACCGGCCCATAGCTGCCCATGGCCGCCCGCCCAAAAGCCGCCGAACGGCGTCAACTTGGTCTGTGGTGCAGCCATGATCCCGGCCTATCGGATCCGGACCCTGGACCCCAACAACCGTCTCACGAACATGGGGAGCTTGTCGCAGAAAATCACATTTCCCAATGCAACGTGTTCCGCCAATGCATATGGATGACGCAGTCCCGAGAGAAGCGAGCGTCGACTTCGTCAGGGACTTTGGTTTGGCCCATTGGTCGCTCACACGTCCAGCGAATGGTTCTCGGTCCAACAATTCGTCATGAAATTGACAGCTTTCCCGTGATGGTTCTTGGATGACGAGGAAGGAGGTCGTGTCTCCAAGCCCGACCACCTGGACGCGGAGAGGAAGTGATTTTTCGACCCAAGTACGACGCAATTTCTGTTATTCATGGACCTACCGCCAACTTTTGTCAGGTTCTGACTGTTCTACAATCAGTCGTGCCGTTGACGATTTGATGATCCTTGTGCGTGGTGTCTTGCCAGGCCCGGCCGATGCCTTCCGGAGATCCATGGTGAACGGCCATAGCCGCAGCTCACGGTGCTTGGCTGGGCAGGCAAGCCAGTCAAATTACCATTACGCCTGCCTGACGCCCGGGAAACACGCGAGGCGCTCCGTAACCCCCATCTCGAATGCAACCACAGCATGTAGCATCATGTACGCCGTATTTGCCTACCCATGATGAGTATCCGGTGATGTACCGCAGTATATGATGGGTTAGTAGGTTTCAGGGCGCGGTAGCCTGGCATTTGACTGCTCTACTCACCTGGGCAGGCAGTTGAATACTTTTCCGCCTCTCGTTGACCTTTCAAATGATCCCGTCAACCGAGTCAGTCTGGCGCTCAGATCCCGATTGGCGTATGATGAGCCAATATAACGTTGCCGCCCAAGCCAGACCCCAAGACCCCCAGGACCCCGGGGGAAGAAAGGCATGACTAGATCCCTGACGGCCTTGTATATCCATGTCAAGGGACTACTAACAGAGATGACGCCGATGCACGCCCGGCCTTGGAACCCAAATAATGTCATGATATCGAGACCCGATTCTGGGGCCAGAGCTCTGCAACCAATCATGTGTACTCCATATTATAGTAATTAACGCTCGACTATCAAATGCCGGCATCGACTCTTATCATTCCATGCACTTGCGCAGTAATTGGTGTCGGTGGCAAATGACACTCGATAGTCGCATCTGCAGAATGGTGCATGTATTTTGATTAATCGTTGACACATGATATCAGCCGCGCGAGGTTTTTTTTTTTCTTCAAAAAAAAAAAAAAGAAAAAGCCTGGACCAGCGAACCCTCGCTCAACCTTTGTTGTTGCTCGACAGGCCACGCTACTCAGACGCAAGGAGCATAATTAACACCCCAATGCCAATGCCAATGCCCATGCCCCAAGCGCAGGCAGGCTGGCTTCCAGGCCCTCATCCAACCGTCCAGCCTCGTGCACGGTGAGTGCGGTCCCAAACCGGTTTGTGCTCCAAGGGGTTGAAGCCGAGCACGCGTGGAGTGGTTTGTCGTCCGATTTGGCATGGACAGACACTCTTGCGATACCTGGCCAAAAATCGAACGACACCACGGGCGTCTTGACATTGCGTTGGAACGAGCGAATGAAGCCAAGGATGGCGGTGCAACTTTCGAGGCGCCACCGCCACTGCCACTGCCATTGCCTCTATTGCTAACGGTTGGCCACGCGACTCGAGGGCGGTGAAGGGGGAGGGGCGAAGCGAAGCGAAGCGCACAAGGAAGTTTCCGCGCGGCTTCGAGGCAACGGGTCATGCATGACCGACCAGTGGCCACTTTGTGTGACGGGACCTGCCGTACCCCTGCCGCCTAGTAGCTGCGAGTCGCGGGTCTGCGACTGCCCTCGACAGGTGCTCTTTGCTTGCCGCGCGAGGACTGACTAGTTGACGGACGGCGCGTGGGCAAACTCCTAGCTTGTTGCCTCCAAGTAACCACCTGCTTAAACGGAGGACCCTGGCGTTAAGTACTTGGTACTCAAGTACTTAGGTTGGTGGCAGGCAGGCAGTTGGGCAGAGAGCCCGACCCTACTTGACAAAAGCGACACTGACACCGTGCCGCGGGAAACTCTTCGTACCAGACGTCACATGCCCGTTTATGCATGTACGCCCTTTGCAGCTAGTCATCACTGGGAAAAACGGAGGAGGGGGGGGGGAGGGGGCTGGAGCGAGCACAGAAACCAGTTGAATTCGCAGTGTACTGTAGTGCCGTGCGCGACAGCACAAAAGTCTACGGAGCAGGGGGTCCAGAGTTCTCTGTCAAAACATTACTTTGGAGGCCACACTGAGCAGCCAAGCAGCGTCCTTCCACCCTCCCTCATCCGAGGTTGGGGGCGGCAACCGTACGGCGGGAGCGTGCAGGAGCCCTTCAAAGTGCCGGTGGGAGCCGTCCCCGCGGCCAGCCGTGCGAGCCAGCTCCTCGTCGTCGTCCACGTAGTCGTCATCGTCGTCGTCTTCGGAATCCTCGTCGTTCTCGTCAACCTTGAACAGGGACCAGCCGACGACGTTGCTGATCCACGAACCTCGACCGACGGTGCCGTGCCGCACCAATCGCCGCACCGTGGCTTCGTCGTCTTGTGTTGTGTCGCGCTCGAGCTGCTCGAGCTTCTCGTCGAGGTTGATGAAGTCTGGGCCGGCAATGGCAGCCTCCGGACTCGGGAAGTACGAGTCGTCACCTTCTGCGACGGCTCGCTCGAACGGGGTGCCCGAACGACTGCTTGTCTCGCCCATGCTGTGCTTTCTGCTGTTGAAACGACTGCCGTTGGGAGCGGCGTCGTCATCGTCGTCGTCGTCGGCCATGGCTGAGCTGCCGCGGCGGCTGGCGCGTTGACTGGCCACTTCCCGCTCCCGGGCCAACTCCTGCTCGAATGCTTCCTCGTCGGCATCCCGCATGCCGGCCAGGCTCGTTGAGCTCTGCCTTGATACGAGCCAGTTTTGGCCTTTATATTCCCTGGCCTCGGAGCTGAGCAGCGCGCCGGCCCTCACGAGCCAGCCACTGTCGTTTTCGTTGCCGTTGGCACCGCCGAGCATGTCGCGTCGTCTGGGCGTTGCAGTTCCGGATCTCGACTTCATCCCGTAGTAACCGGGGGCGGCGAGATATGTGGAAGACTTGCTCTTGGACAACGGGCCGCTCGGAGCCGAAGGGGCCCTGTGGTGGGATCGCGAGCCGGGCGTCACAGGGCCGCGGGAGAGGAGTCGTGGTGTCGTGGGGGCCGACCTGCCCTGCAGGTACGTCGCATGGGTCTGGGAGACGAGCGAGTCGGGAATGGCGTCGCTGTCGTTGATGGGTAGCTTGACGGTGAGAGGCGCCAGGGAGAGGTGGTTGATGTTTGTGGTTGATCGGTTCTTCCGTTTCGCGCGGTCAGAGTGCTGGTTGTAGGCGACGTCCATGATGGGAGCTGGGCGTAGGGCGTCGTCTCAGGTGCGCCGCGGCGGACGGAAAAGCTGGGGTGGATGTAGTTGCAAAGGGGGAGCCGATGCGTCACAGCAAGGAGACGGCAGACGAGAGACGCAAGTTCGGCGTCCTGAGTACGGGATAATGACGGTCTTGTACGCCGTACCGAGCATGGAAGGGTAGGACGGAGTAGATGGCAGCGCAATGAGATGGAAGGGCTGGTATCGCGACTCGTTGGGTTGAACAAGAGAGATGTCGACTGGATATTCGGTTGGGGAGGAGCCGATCAAATACTGGTAGAGGTTGAACTCTATCTAACCTGATCCAGATCAGAGGCGGCTCACTGGCTTCATTCGCTGAATGATGAAGCGGCACAAGGTTCACGGGACGCGCTAGCCGTTCTTGACCAGACGCTTCTGTGACCTGTCCCAAGGTCTCAAGGTCCCAAGGTCCCAAGGCCCAAGGCCCAAGGGGCGGGCCACGGCACACGGCACACGGCACACGGAATACCAATCACGCAACGTGGGCGTCGGTCGGCAGGCGCCCAGTTCAAGGTTGAGCCTCCGATACCGGGCGCCGGGTGATCCGGCCTCGCCAGCGCTGGCCTTTTGGTGCAGCTCTTTTTGCTGCTCTCGGGCCTGTCGTCGGGCCTTGTTCTTTTCGAGTCTCTCGAGTTCCTTTTTGATTCTGCATCGAGCTGCGTGTAAGCACACCGTCTCTGGCGCGACCCGAGGGCAGGTCGTCAATCCACATACCTAATGCCCGCAAGGCGGTCATGGTCGGCATTGCCCGTAGGCCGGGAGCTGTAGATGCTGTGGAGAGGTAGACGTAAGCAGGTGCTCGTAACTCCAACCCAACGTAGTCGGCAACAGCGCCTGGAGACGGCACTTGTCGTCTCTTGGGGCCGAGATGCGTGTGACCCAGGCACGCCCACTTGTGAAGCGCCCTGACACGTGACGGCAGCCGCTTCCAGACCCGGGGGGCCTCCCCGCGGGGCCTGCATCGCATCGTCTTGAGTACATACTCCTTAAGTTCCAAGTCTGCCTCGGTTCGCCGCTTCATATACTGCGAGATGACGACGGGATCGTGGACGACCTCGGTTCGCGTCTGCGTCGACCCGTCCTGCAGGCGGACCTCTCTCGTGATGCGGATGGCTTTCTTGACATGGCGACTAGCCGATGTGAAGCCACTAATTTGGCTGGTGCCGTCGTCGAATTGCGCCGGCGTCGCGGCGGCGTGAACGTTGAATCGATCATCCTCGTCTTCCGTGACTGCCACGTCCTTGTCGTCGTGCTCCCGGGCGTCGGACAGCGTTGCCTTTTGCTTCTCCCAAATCTCCTTGATGCCCTCCTCGTACATTGCTTGTTGCTTCTTGACGTTATAGGCGTGGCCGCCGTTAGCGCGCTTCTCACGCTCCATGGCGTCGGCCGACGTGGCCAACGGGCCCTGAACAGCCTCAATGTACCCTCCCTTCATGGACGTTCGGATGAAACTGAAGCCGAGGCCGTGTCCAGTCGGGTCACCCTCGCCGTGCAGCTGGAGCATGGCCTTTTGCGCACAGGCGTCGATGAAGGCCTTTGTAGTTTTCCAAGGTGCCATCTTGTCGGCAAGTGTCTCTTCCTGCTTTTCGCCAGGCTTCTTGGCGCCCTTGGGCGCCTTGCTTCCGCCCTCATCCTCGTCGTCTTCTTCAGCATCCATGTCCATGACGTCATCGTCAATGTTGGCATTTCGGGGATCGTAGCCGGCGTCCTCGAGCTCCTTGATTCCCAGCTGCATGGCATCCAGAAGACTGACCTCCTCAGGCTTGATCATGGCGCGAATCGCATTTTCGTCGGGCAAGATCTCGCTTGGCTTCAGGCGCCACATGCCTTTTTCGCCACTCTCCCTGTCGTACTGTAGAAATTTGGGACGAGAAGGGTGTACATTATAGGCGAAGAGGTTAATAGCGTTATTAGGTTGAAAATTGGCCCGCCTTGGTGTCCGGCCCGCCTTGCTGTCGAGCACCACCTTTGGTGGTGAGGGCTTTTGCTAGCCGAACCACATAAAGTGGGGCGGGCACGATTACTTACTTGAGTTGCCATCGTCAGGTGCCAGCAGCCAGATCAACATCGGCACGCAACGGACGGAACAAAACGTCAAAAATCACCTTCTGCTTCGGCCGACCCCAGCTTTCTGGCGTCCTGGAATCACACACGGCGCCCAGCCAATGCAGCTATTTTTTTCATTGATTCATTCTCTCCTTCGTTTTCCTTTGTCATGGTGCATATTTGCCACTGCACTCTTGGTTCGCGTGCAGCAACTGGCCATCAGAGAGCCCGACGAGTCGTCCCATTTGTGTGCGTTGTGGTGCGGAGTGGTATGTTGACTCGCATGTTTAGCTAAAGCTTCGGCGTGCGATACCGTCTTACGTTGGTCTGACCAGCCGTCATGGGGTGATGGCTACAAGTAAGATAGTGAGTTTCCATTTGAAGAGGGTCTTGCATCATTGCAATACGTCAGTGACCTGGTAATCGTTCCATCATTTGATGTCATGTCGGAACAGGAATTAGTCTGCTGATGATATTCCCGCCTTGCCGTTTGACAGTATGAGATGCATTCGCTGCTTGAAACTTGGGCCTCGACGGCCCTTTTCCGCAAAATCCACGGGTCCCCAGACATGATTCCTGCTGCCGTGACGCAAGACTTGGATGAAGCAGAGGTTAGGCGCCTGCTGAGGCGGAGAGCTCATGACGCCTATTGTACTTTTTGTGAGCATTTGCCAATACCACTGAGATGTGAAATTGCATGTCTTCCTTGCAAAACCATATTCCCGAATGTCTTGTCTTTAGACATTCTTCTAGGATGTCACGCCTGCAGAGATGCTTCCGGGGTGAAGGAAACCACAGACCAGCTTAGAAAAGGAGACGGAGAAGGAAGAAGAAGTTACCGCCCTTTTCAAGAGCAAAAAAGAAGAAATCACGTCCCATATTCTTTCCTCGACACCTCCCTTTCAATTTTCAACGCGCAATGGCTCCTTCCCAATCAGTGCCCACCGACTGGCAAGCCAATGACAGCCACGCTTAATCCCAATGCATCTGCTCACAATTTGTGCATCCCTAGCGCCAATCTCGTGCAAAATTATTGACACAAAAATTTAGTCGCCCGCCCACAAGGCAACATGGCCGTCAGGTAAAGGAACGATAAGTTGACACTACTTCTACTGCCATTTGCAAGCCTCACCATCGTCCATAAAGCAGAACTACCACTCTGCTGGCCGCAACTGTGTTGTTGCATTCTTGATGTGTTGATTTCGTCCACCATGCGCAACCTTCGCCATGTCCGCTTTGGGCGCTGGAGTCATCCCCATGTCACGTCTGCCTGCTGGGACCCCGAGAAGGATGAAGTTGTTTGCACGATTGGGCCGACAGCGGACACCTCGACTATTGAGCTGGTAAGGGTTTCGGAGAATGATATCACGTAAGTCCGTTCCAAGAGCGAGATGCCCGCATCCGAACGGCTTTGACACGGGCACTGTGGACATAGGCCTCACACAGAACACTGAGCAACAGTCGAGTAGGTCATACAAGTCAGTAGCAACCTGGGATGCTCCCAGTCCAAGTCCAGACTTACCGGTAGACAAAATTGTCAACATTCAGTATCTCAGCGGCTCAGGAACGACATGTCTAGTCCTCGAGGGCGGAGACATCATTACTGTCCAGGATGACCAATTCTCACGCAATGGCGCTCACATAGAAATTATGGGCTCCATTGACGCCGGTATTTCTGCTGCCCGATGGTCTCCTGATGAGGAACTTTTGCTGGTGACCACCAAGGCGAACACGGCCATTTTCATGGGTTCCTCCTTCGATCCCGTGACCGAAGTCGCCATGACGCCTGATGATCTCAAAGCCTCCAAACATGTCTCTGTTGGTTGGGGTAAGAAAGAGACCCAGTTCCAGGGTCGAGGGGCTAAAGCGCTGCGTGACCCTACTATTCCCGAAAAAGTTGATCAAGGACGGCCCAGCGCTCACGAAGATGGTTCGACAACGATCAGCTGGAGAGGCGACGGTGCCTACGTAGCTATAAACTCGGTCCAGGACTGCAGTAGACGACTTGTCCGCGTCTACTCTCGAGAAGGTGATCTGGACAGCGCCAGCGAGCCTGTTGATGGACTGGAAAGTGCACTTAGCTGGACACCATCTGGCAACCTGATGGCAGGCATCCAGCGACTGGCTGAGCGGATCGACGTCATTTTCTTTGAACGTAATGGCCTCCGACATGGCCAATTTACTCTTCGATCTCCTGGGAGCTCTGTTTTGTCTCACGAAAAGATTCGCTTGGAGTGGAACTCGGACTCAACTGTTCTAGCTGTCGTACTGAAGGATACCATTCAACTTTGGACCATGGGCAACTATCACTGGTATTTGAAGCAAGAGATACCCATTCGCGCAGATTTTTCATTCCTGTCGTGGCATCCCGAGAAGGCCTTGAGATTCGCCTCGGCTTCGTCCTCTGAGACTGCCATCTTCGAGGAAATTTTCCATACAGCTAGGGGCCTATGCTCGTCACCACATGACAATGGCGCCGTGGCAGTCATCGACGGCGAGACTGTCAAGCTCACACCCTTCCGAACCGCCAACGTACCGCCGCCCATGTCTCTGTTTGATATCACTGCCGAGTCGTCCGTAGTCGACGTTGCTTTCGGGCCCCGGGACATGTCATTCGCTGTCCTGCACCGAAAGGGCGTCGAAATCTACGACTGGCCTATGAAGAATGGACGTTTGGCCAAGCCCAGTCCGAGGCACAAATTGTCATTCCCGTCCCCCAGTGACGGAGTGGAACCTCTACGCATCTGCAGCACATCAGAGAGCCATTTCCGATGCCTTGTATCATCACAAGACTCAGACCTGGCGCATCTTTCCGTCAACGCCCATGCTGGCACGGTTGGCATTGTCGACAGCCAGGAAGCCTTGGTGTCCACGTCAACCTATGAAGATGCGACGTCTGTGGAGGGCTACGGCCAAGATATTTCAGGAAACTTGTACAAACTCACTGACACGTCGACCGACCAAATCCCTATCCGATTTCCTACTCATCTGCCCTGGTTCGAATTGGTCAAATTTGACGGAGACCTAACCGCCTTTGGGCTGTCAAGAAACGGCCACCTGTATGCAAATTCGAGACTTCTAGCCAAGAACTGTACTTCATTTGTCCTCACAAGCAGTCATCTTATCTTTACTACGAGCAACCACTTTGTCAAATATGTGCATTTGGTGCCAGTTGTCGAGGGTAGGTTGGAACACAGCTGTTTTCCATTTACAAGTACAACACTAACGTGATTTAGAGCTCGAGGTACCCGGCGATGATCCCGAGACGGATGAACGATGTCGCAGTGTCGAGAGAGGGTCGCGCCTCGTTGCTGCGATCCCTACCAACATGAGCATCGTGCTGCAGATGCCCCGAGGCAACGTGGAGACGATCTTCCCGCGAGCCATGGTAGTTGCTGGTATTCGAAGCTTGATTGAAGAAAAGAATTACTCACGGGCGTTCGAGTACTGCCGCACACAACGAGTTGATGTGAATATTTTGTGTGACCACCAGCCGACGCAGTTCCTGTCCAATGTCGGCTTGTTCTTGGACCAGCTGAAGAACGCGACATATGTTGATCTCTTTCTCTCATCATTAAGGTAGAATATTCCACCCCAACCAAGTTTGCCGACTCGGAATAATCACTCTAACCTCGCTGTAGGGAGGAGGATGTCACCGAGACTATGTATAAGGATACCAAGAGATCACGAACCCAAGTCGGCATGGAAGATGAATCAGTACCAAACAAACCCTCGTCCAAGGTCAATGCCGTCTGTGACGCCATTCTCAAGGCGCTCCATGCTCGCAAAGCTACCAATGTCCAGAACATTATCACCGCACACGTCTGCAAGTCCCCGCCGGCCCTAGACGACGGCCTGATGCTCGTCGCCGAGCTCATGCGAGAAGACGAAAAGGTGGCCGAGAAGGCAGTCGAACACATCTGCTTTCTCGTCGACGTGAACCGCGTCTACGAAAATGCCCTAGGCCTTTACAATCTCGACCTTGCTCTCCTTGTAGCACAGCAATCCCAGCGTGACCCCCGAGAGTACCTCCCGTTCATACAAAATCTTCACACTCTCCCCGAGTTGCGGCGCAAGTTCGAAATCGACAACCACTTAGCCCGGCGATCAAAGGCCCTCTCTCACCTCCACGCCCTGGACACCTTTGACGAGTTCTGCACCTACACTACCAAACACTCCCTCTACCAGCACGCCCTGCAAATCTACCGCTACGAACCGGCTCGTCTCCAACCCCTTACCAACCTCTACGCCGCCCATCTCGAATCCAAATCATCCTACCGCGAGGCCGGTCTGGCCTACGAATCCCTCAGAAACTACGCCAAGGCAACCAGTTGCTACCGCGCTTCAGGCGCCAGCTGCTGGCAAGAGTGCCTCTACACGGCAACGCAGCAGTCACCCCCCCTATCAGCCGAGGCAATGACCGACCTCGCAGCCAGTCTCGCCGACGTGCTCTGGGAAGCCAGGGACTACGCCGCAGCAGCAACGATCCACCTCGAGTACCTCGCCTCCCCCGAGACTGCCATCAAGTGTCTCTGCAAGGGCCACCACTTCGCCGAAGCCATGCGCCTCGCCGCCCAGACGTCCCGCCCCGAACTCCTCGGGTCCGCCGTCGACGTGGGTCTCGCCGAAGCACTCGGCAGCACGACCGAGTTCCTCGCCGACTGCAAGGGCCAGCTCCTCGCGCAAGTGCCTCGGATCGCGGAACTGCGTCGCAAGGCCATCGAGGACCCGCTGTCCTTTTACGAGGGCGAGAGACCGGGCGGCACGGACATCCCCGACGACGTCTCCGTAGCAGCCAGCTCGCGCATATCCACCGGCGCATCTCTGTTCACGCGGTACACCGGCAAGGCGGGCAGCGTGGGCACCGTAGGAACAGGCGTTTCGCGCGCAACCAGCAAGAATCGCAGGCGCGAGGAGAAGAAACGCGCCAGGGGGCGGAAAGGAACCGTCTACGAGGAGGAGTATCTGGTGAACAGCGTCCGGCGGCTCGTCGAGCGCGTGAGCGGGACGAAACCAGAGGTGGAGAGGCTCGTGTTCGCCCTGGTAAGAAGGGGCATGGCCGAGCGGGCGAGGGCAGCCGAGTCCTTGATGAATGAAGTCGTGGGGGCGTGCCACGCAGCTATTCCAGACGTGTTTGCCGCACCCCCCAATAATGACGACCAGCAACGGCAAGCAGAGGACGCGGGAGAACTTGCATGGAGGGCCAGGGGAGGCGATGCCGTCTTGCAGGAGTGGATGGAGGGACGGGCCAAGAAGCAGGATGCGCCTGTCATTACGGGCCTACAAAAGTTGACCCTGTTGGGTTAAAGTAAAAGAAGGCGAGGCAAAAAGAGTGTTGAATACGAGCAATATATTTCAAAACACACTCTCACAAAATTTGAGTCCCAAAGCATAGAGACGACGTTGTGACTATGATACGTCCATTTCGCTTGTAGTTTGCCCTTTGCCCATGTAGACGACAAATATCGCCACTCAAGGTCGTGCCATCCGTGACAAGAAAAAACCAGTTCGCCTCCGCTATGAAACTCCATAATCCTCCACAAGAATAAAAAAAAAAAAAAAAAGTCCAAATCCACAACTACTTATGCAAACAGACAAGGTACAATCCCGAGCCGAATAGAGCAATAATTGCTTGAAGGACAATATACCCTAGGCATCAGTCTCAGCTGCTACCGGGGCCTCATTTTCAGTCGCGGGCGTCGGTGTAGCATCATGGAATTCCTCGCCATCAGCAGATTGTTCGGCCGGTTCTTCTCGCTTCAACTCCTCTTCTCCAATTGGATTCTCAGGGACAATACCGTTTTGGCGTTCCCACACTTCGCGGCGAATCCTGTCATCCTTGGCCTTTCTGGCGCGTTCCACCTCTTCAAAGCCACCCGACTTCTTTAGCTTGCCGTCTTGGACGTAAGTGGTGATTTCCCGCAACATGGCATTGCCTCTACGGCCCTCCAATTCCTTTTGCCTGAGCTTCTCGGCTCGTTCGATGGCTTCTAGCCGGTTCTCATGATTCGGCTGCAGAGCTCGTACTTCTCCCAGCATGTCCTCCTTGGCGGCGTTTTGATCCAGGCTGTTGCCGAGATTTGATAGACCCCTGGAGAACTGTCGTGCCGTGCCTGCACTAGCACCAGTGCCGTTGTCTTTCATCTGCTCCTTGGTGGCCTGTTCAACCAGAGTAAAGGTCTCTGATGCCTTGTCCAAATCGTCCTTGAGGTCCACAATGAGATCCTCCATAAGGCGCAGCTCGTCTCGACCTTGGCATACATCCTCTAGCTTCTTCTCCCAGATCTTGGTCCAGATGGGCTTTTCGTTGGCCATGTAGTCCTCCATTCTCTTGAGCTCCCTGGTCAGATTTGTAATGTCCTTGGCAACACTTTCCAGTTGGCGGGGAAGAGGGCGGACTCCGCGATGAACAACATCCTTGCGCAAGTCCTCGATCAAATCTTGCAGGTCATCCACCTTGCCAACCAGACGATCTGAATCCGAGTTGAGCTGTTTTCGCCCAGAGATCAAGTATGAATAGCCAGCGTTTCCTTCGATATCAGGGATGGCGGCCTTGGACGCAGCGGACTTCACGTTGGCAGCCTTCTGTCGGATGGCCGTCATCGAGTTCTGAACATCTGACTGGAAGGAAGAATAAGTCTGTCGCAAAACAGCCAGGTCGCGGCGCAGACTTTGAAGCTCGCCAGCCTGACCAGGGTGCAGCTTACGGCCGGCGCCAGGGAGCATCCTCACTCCGCCTTCTGCCGCCGGCGAGACAGGTGAGGCGGTTGCCAAGCGAGCCAACTCCGTTGCTGTTTCTTGTTGTCTGTCAGACACTCGCTGAAGTGTAGTTCCTTGGTCATCGACATTCTGCTTCATGGATTGAACAATCTTGGTCAGGGCCAGAAGTCCGTCATCAAAATGTCGCTTGACCTCGTCAAGTGGTTCCACATTAAGAACTAAAACAGTCCTATCCTTGATATCTGATAAATCTTCCAGCTCATGTCGAACACCGGACACGGGGTCTTGAATATAAATTTCAGGTAGATCAGTGCCATTATGTTGCGTGTTCCATGAAAACTTTTCAATAAATGCCAGTTGCAACCTGCCGATTGATAGCTCGTCTCGTCCTTCGGCGAGGACAATCTTCTTGACCTTGGATTTGTATTGGAGGAACAACGTCAGGTCTTTGGTTGGAGTTAGCGGAGGGGACACATGGAAGAATGATTCACCAGGTTTGGGCTCTGTGGGATGCGAGAGGGTCGGTGTCTCATCCGGCTTTGGCTGTAGCCTCGTACGCTTGACGTCGGGCCCTGATCGCAGACTCTTCCCCGTGAATGGAGGATCCTGTAGAGGGCCGTTCAATGTTGAACTTGGCGCGTAATCCTCTTGCGGTGTTTGTGCAGCTGGACTGTTACTTGAGTCCACAGGGCGGTTGGACTGCCGAGGAGGCGAAACAGAGTCTCCCAGAACGCCTGGCATACGAGATGGAGGAGACTCCACAACAGCAGGTTTTGGCTGACTTGACAGGCTGCGTTTATGTTGCACAGACTCCCGGGACTGTACTGCCCGTAATGATTCTCTCGCCTCTCCTCTCCCTCTGTTCGGAATGGGCGTTGTTTGTGACGGCAGGATGGGCACAGCGTTTGCAGCACCGCCCAAATGTTTTGAAATCTGATACTGAGAGTATCGTCGAGATGCTCGACGCTCCAAATCACCCCCCTTCTGTAGAGCCGCTAAAGCGCTTGACTGCATGTCTGGTGGCGGTGGCGGAGGCGGCGGGAAGGCGTCGATGTTCAAATCGCCAGCAGAGGAAGATGGAGGCATGGTGGTGTTTTCGGCTGGATAAGGTGGAAGCGAAGGAGCATCCTGCATTGTAGTCGGCTGATCTGGCGCATTAGGGGCAGGGGCCTGGTCCCGCTGGGGATGACGACGGCTCAGCGATGTGCCGTTGTTCGTTTGTTGGCTGGACTCCCCACGCTGGGACGCGTCAGGTCGATAGCCGTTTTCGAAACCCTCGTCCAGCAAGTTCGTCAAACCACTGGTGCCGCTCGCCGCTGTACTGACGCTTGTGGTTCTCTCGGGCAGACTAGCATCCCGCTCCCTTCCCTGCTTCTGCCGTAATCGCTGCTGCTTGCGTTTCAAGCCGTGGAGCAAATTAATGATGATGTCTCGAATGCGTGGAAGATACTTTTCCAGACTTTCCGCGCTAGCTTCTTGGCTTAGGGTGGCCTCCAAGATGTGTCTTAATGAATCAGGAACATTCCCCAGGTCGGAGGTATCGACATTGATGGCAGTGAATGCCCGGCATGCCATGTTGAACTCGTAGCCGAGGCGAACGTAGACGTCGGAAACCTGCGTGTCAGTGGCCTGGCCACGGGACCACTGTGTCAAAGTTTCAAGCAGCTGCTTGGTGGCGACAAGTAAATGTGTGACACTCTTTTCGATTTGTGACAGCGGCATGTTGGATGAACTGCCGCCAGACGCCTAGATGACGGGAAGAGCATCGGTCAGCACTCTGGACAGACGACGTCCTTGGCAGTTGGCTTCTCAACCAGGAAGGGCCAAGGAGCGATGCGCGGGACGAAATACAAAGCTCACCTCACGATTTGACCGCCTCGACAGACTGCCCTGACCAGACCGATTCGAAGCTGTAGATGATCGTGGTTGGACGCCAGCCAAGCCGGGAGAGCTGGGTCGCACACCGGGCGGCGGACCCGGATCTGCACCAGGCGAGCGGCGTTGTAAATAGCCTCGCTGGGACAGGCCGGGCTGAGCTTGCATCATCGTTTCGATGATTCTTGGGTCCGTTTCTGCCTGTAAATGAGGGCTGAGAGGCGGTCGGGTACTCGAATCTGTGGCGACGACCAAAGGGTGTGGTGCAACGACACGTGGACGTGGACGTTGGACGTGGACCGAATTGACGGTCTGGACAGCAAAGATGACGGCGCACGAATAGGCTGTAAACGCGGGCGGTCCGACAAAGCAGGAAGCCCTCAAGGCCTCGGGAGAAAAGAGCACAAGCAAGAGCGAGAGCGAGAGCGAGAGCAAGAACAGGGTCACGGCCCAGTTGTAAGGATGATGTCGGTGATGGGACCCGGAGGTGAGGTTGGGTTGATTTGGTGGAAAGGAGGAGGAGGTCCAGGGAATCCAGACCCAGATGGCCCAGATCGGCCAGGGCCAGGTCCCGGTCCGTCCAAGTGTCCAGAAGGTGCCTGGCATGAGCCCAGGTGGCTGCACATGTGCTCATTGCGGCGAAATAGTACGGAGTACATGCTTGGTACTTGCGCGTAGTGCCTAGTCTGGTAGTAGCGCTGCTGCTAGTGACTCAAGTGCCCGAGCAGGCAGGTGGCCCGTAGGCCGGTAGACGTCTCTACCTTGTCGCTAGCATGTATCACCTCGAGGACGTCAGCCGCTGTTGCATGCTGGAGCCTGCCGAGCAAGTGCTACTGCCCAGGTACTTTGGCAAATGAAGTCTGCTGCGGGGTAGAGCCCTCCCTCCTCCCTCCGGTGTGGCATTCCGCTCTCTACCTGCCGACCTACCTGGGAGGGAGGGCAAGTACTTTAAGTAAGTTACCAACTTAAGCACTTAAGAAGTAGGTACTTAGTATTAGCAACACTGGCCACATCGTAGCTCTGCAGGTTGCAGGTACTTGCCCGCCCGTCTTGAGCCCAGCCCCCAGTAACTCCCACACGTCTGCTGGCAACTTGTGAGAAACATCAATCCGGTGGGAAGACGCCCATTTCCCAACGCCAACATTCGAGGCTCGATGCCCAGTGCCGAGTGCATCACCGCCCTTTGGACGCAAGACGGCCAATCGTCTGGCTCAACAACCCGGCAAAGACGAAGCAGCCTGCGGGTGCTCCCAGGGATGTCCGTACGGGATACAGACCGACTGTACTCCGTACTGAGTGAGTACCGGACCGGAGGACTCCACGAGTTCCATCCAGATCATGGCATCCCTTGATCAATGTGGCACAAGATCTCGCTTCGAGCCAGGGTTGCGACCTCTACCACCTCCGTCACGCTGTATCGACGAATCTCTCGGCAACTGTCCAACACCCTTGGGCCGTGGTATTGCTCTTCTTATCCAGTACGGGCAAACGCCTTTGTTCGAATGCACTCCCTCCCTCCTGACCGGACCAGTCGCGCGACGCACGCCTTCACACCATTCATCTGGAGCGAATCAGCCCGGCCCTCTGCTGAGTAGCCCTTTCAGTTATCTGCAGGTGGTGTTGCCATCCCGGCACACAGATGCTTCAGACTCAGCTCCAGGCCAATGCCGAGCCATCATGGTGGCGATGATCCCAAAATAGCCACCCGTGTACGCTGCACGCTGAGTATCTATCTCGTCACGGCATAACTACTCCGTACAACTAGTTATGGCCTAAATACTTGGCTGAGTCGTAGTAGTGTCATCATGCCGATTCCTTCTACTTCCAACCATCAACCCTTCGTGAAGCTGAAAGTCCTCCCTGACCGAGCAGCAGTTCAATGTTTCCGTCTCAAGATACACCCCGTGTTTCACATTACCACCAGTCCAGAAACATCGTGGTGGGGACGTTAAAGCTTGTCACATCTGCCTCCTCGTTACCGTCCGCGTCCTGCTTTGCCTGCACTTTGCTGGCAGCGTACATGTTGCATTATCCCTGTCAAGTGTGTTTGCACGTTCATGCGTCGTCAACTGTCCCTGCTCCTCCCTGTAGGGGTCGCTCGAGGAATCCGACTTGATATCTTCTGTCGGCTGGGTGCCATACATGATACCTGTGCCTGAGTGAAGCATGCCGTAGTTCAAAAAGGTACTGCTTCTAGTCAACTACCGCACTGCGCTACACATGCATAAAAAAAGGTTGTCATGTGACTTGGCACACGAGTTTCTCACAAATTTATCCATTTATCCACGAGGAGATGACTCAAAAAGAAAGTCAGCCAAACGTTGGCAGATTGAGTTGTACATGATTCCCTCCCGTATATCAGAATTTAAACTGGTATCTAGTTTGCCCCCCCAAAAAGTCGATTTTTCCGGCAGCGAGACGTCATCCCACTCGTTCATCGTTCAATGCCGCCACTGGCAACTTCACAGTCCCACCCTCAACCTCACCTACATCAAACGTGACATGATGACCTAAATCTACACACCTAAAAAGACAAAGGAAGAAAGAAAAGCACATCTAAGCACCCGCAGCTGCCATGTCTACGGAAGGCGTCTGGATCTCTCCCACCGGGCGCAAATCATTCATCCCCCTCGAAAACAACCCCGAAGTCTTTACCAGCCTGGTCCACGATCTCGGCGTGTCGCCCGCCCTCGGCTTCTACGATGTCTACAGCCTGGATGAACCGTCTCTCCTCTCACACATCCCGCGCCCAGTGTACGCCCTCATATTCATAGCCCCCAGTGAAATGCAAACAGCCGTCCGTCGACAAGACGGGCTGCCCAAGTCCGTGGCCAACGGCGGCCTCACCTATGACCAAAGCGGCCCCGACGAGCCCGTCGTCTGGTTCCTGCAGACAATCGGCAACGCGTGCGGGCTGTACGCGCTGGTCCACTCGGTGGCCAACGGAGACGCCAGGCAGTTTGTGAGCAAGGACTCCGTGCTGGCCAGGCTGATTGAGACGGCTGTGCCGCTGAGGCCGCACGAGCGAGCAAAGGGCTTCTACGATAACCAGCAACTGGAGGAGGCGCACATGCGGGCGGCTCGGCTCGGGAGCTCTCGGGCGCCGCCGGCCGACGTCCACGCGGGACACCACTTCATCTCGTTTGTGAAGGGGACGGACGGCCATCTCTGGGAGTTGGAGGGCACGGCAGATGGGCCCATTGATCGGGGGCCCTTGGCAGATGGCGACGACATGTTGAGCGAGGGGGCGTTGGAGCAGGGCGTCAAGAGGTTCATCAAGATGGGCGAGGGAAACGTCAACTTTAGCATCGTTGCTCTGGCCAAAAACGACAGACATGCGTCGGGACATTGACGCGACTTTCACCCCTCCTTCTGCGGTTGTCTCTGACCATGGGCCAGGGCCACATGGTCGATGTTCGAGGTCTGGGGCTGGGAGGTTCTGGGCCATCTATGCCCGTGATCCCGCGATAGTTTCGACCGGCTGTTGCTCAGCTTGTACTTCATAATTCCAGTGGTCACTACATCACACGTTGGGGCCGTTCTGTTCCCGGGCCTCGTTGCTCCGCTATTCTTCACATGCATGTGCTCGAATGCAGAAATTGCCCATCCACGCCGCTCAGCTGTGGCCGCCTCACCTCTTTCTAGCGCTGTCTCGAACACGGATTTCCAGCCTCTCCCCGAGTCGAAGCAGAAATGCGCCTTGCTCGCCTCGAAGAGAAAAATCCCCGTGCACGTGGACTGAACGGGCCATCTCCAGCGTGCAATAACCACTGTGCAGCAGCAGAAGCTCAAGGTTCCTTCACACCCTTGCGTCGTCGCTCGTGACCCAAGGTGCGGAGATTGATGTCGTCGGTTCCCAGGTCGCAAAAGACGGTGGCCGGAGAAGCCGCAGAACGGCACAGATATCTGCAGTCTTAAGAATACGACGGCTGCGAATGGACGAGCCAGGAATACTGGAGAGTTTGGCCGGGCCATGAGCCGTGGCCGCGTCCGTGTCCATTTAAACAAGTCCTCTTAGTGTCGAGTCAAATTTGCTGTCAAGTGTTAGTAGTCTACAGGGGCGCAAGGCGGTGATATGTACCCATCTCCTGGCGTGAATCTTTTACGTCCCAAATCTGCTTTTTACATGTCCATCATCTGTCCGCAGACAAGAAAACTCTGTCTTGCCGAAATCCAACCGGTAGCAGATTCGTATTTTTAGTGTGACAGATGGCTCCTCTAACAACTTGGTGGGGGGAGAGAAGGAAAGCTTTATTCCTTATAAAGGAGACATGGGGAAGAAGAGAAAAAAGCAAACACGCTTTCTAAACACCCCAGAACGATGACCTTGGAAAAAGATGATCTGATCATCTCTGCCTTGACTGACCTGAGCCCGCCAATCAGCATTCGAATTTCAACAGATTGCTCGCCCGTTTTGGCGAGGCAGTCGCAACCCACGTCTATGCTTGGCGCGCCTGGCCCCTTCCCTTCCCACGTGTGGCGGATGTCACTTGACATCAAGCCGGTCGCAGGTCAACCGGCCGAACTTCAGACCTCAACCCACTCCTGGCTGCATGCTCATGCTCCCTCCAACACCTGCCGTTTTCCCTCTCGCCGAGTCTCCCGCTCTTTCTGGATAAGCCTTGGCACTCGGGCTGTGTTTGCGCAGACCATCCCATGGCTTCGGTTCTTTTTACGCTACAATGGACGGCGCCCAGGCACCATTGATGGCGGACAGCCACGAGGGCGACGATGTCGAGGATGAAAACAACGTCGTCCGCCAGGAACGCCTCATCAAAGATACCGAAGCGAATCCCGGTGTTTTTGTCGTGGCACTGACCATTGCAGCGGGAATAAGTGGACTCCTTTTTGGATGTTAGTCAAAGCGGTGAGAATGCGTGGTGCAAATTGACTCTGTTCTAACCAACCGTGCATTATAGATGATACGGGTGTTATATCTGCTACGCTAGTGTCGATCGGGACGTCATTGTCGAGCCGCGAACTCACATCTATCGACAAGTCTATTATTACAAGCTCAACGTCGCTCTTTGCTCTCCTCATTTCGCCCTTTTCTTCCGTGCTCGCCGACCGTCTTGGCCGCAAACGAGTCATCCTGTACGCCGATGTTTTGTTTGTCGTCGGCGCCGTTCTCCAGGCGCTATGCTCCACTGTGCCCGTCATGGTTGCTGGACGCTGCATCATAGGAGCAGGTGTTGGAGCAGCAAGCTTCGTGGTGCCGCTGTATATTGCAGAGCTGGCTCCAGCTTCGCACAGGGGGAGGCTTGTCACAGCAACGGTATTGTTCATCACCCTGGGACAAATGGTTGCCTATGTTGTCGGGTGGGCATTCTCGGCGTACGGCTCCAAAGAGACCGGGTGGCGGTGGATGGTCGGCCTTGGTGCTCTGCCCGCCGGGTTCCAAGCTGCAGTTGTTGTCTTCATGCCGGAGACGCCCCGCTGGCTAGTCAAGGCGGGCAAGCCGGTACACGCAAAGGCCGTCATTCGGCGAGTCAACGGCGGAGCAGGGACTGCAGAAGAGGCAAATGCGGTAGTCGGAGAGATTGAATCAGAGATCCGTGAGGAAGAGGATCTTGGACGACACCGGGACCAGCAGCCCCCGAGATGGAAGTGGCTTGGGGCCTGGCGGGATCTCCTCGGCCAAGGCAAGAATCAACGAGCATTAGCGATTGCATGTTTGCTGCAAGGCCTGCAGCAGTTGTGTGGGTTTGTATGTGCACAGCAACACTTCAATTTCAGAAGACCCAACTGACAGATGACGCAGAACTCGCTCATGTACTTTTCGGCCACAATCTTCGCTGCCGTCGGTTTCAGCAGTCCAACATTGACATCACTGACAGTCGCAGTCACCAACTTTGTGTTTACGTTGGTGGCGCTGGGACTCGTTGATGGAATAGGAAGACGACGAGTCCTGCTGTATTCCATTCCGTTCATGATTTTGGGCCTATTGTGTACAGCGATTGGATTCTCCTTTCTGCCTTTTGGCGGCGCAAACGCTCAGAGTCAACATCCGTCGGAAGCCGGCAGTCAGGGGGCAGCATACGTGATACTCGTCAGTATCATGCTCTACGTGGCGTCATACGGAATTGGACTAGGGAATGTGCCCTGGATGCAGAGTGAGCTGTTTCCCTTGTCGGTTCGATCACTGGGAAGCGGCATCGCGACTGCGACTAATTGGAGCGCCAACTTTGTTGTTGGGCTGACTTTTCTACCACTGATGGATGCTCTCAGCGCGTCGTGGACGTTTGTTTTGTATGCATTGATATGTGGGATTGGATATGCATTGGTTTGGCGGATATATCCAGAGACAGCGGGCCTGAGTCTGGAAGAAGCGACTGCATTGCTAGAACGAGGATGGGGCGTTTGATGGCAATACATTCGACCTTGAGCATTCCTTTTTCCTCCTTGGTGACGGTTTCAGGTGGAGCAATAGCGATGCGGAACTATACGCGAGGCTCATGTCATGGACATTGCGCAGAAGCAAAGCCTTGCCTTGGATCAGAGCCCAGGGAGTCTGGTGTGGAAACAGGAAAACGAAGGACGGACTTTTGACGTGTCTTGGCGCCGGCCGAGCAACTGCAATGAGTACTTGCTCCGTACCTAAGTTCTCGATTGTTTTATTATGTATGAGGTAGGTATACGAGCCGACTGTGCGGAGTACCGAGTACGTACCTACCTACCCGGGTGCCTAGGCGCTTTAGTAATAGTACGAAGGTGCCCAGGAAGCTGGACATGCTAAGCAGAATAGAGTGGTGTGGTCCCACCAGCAGGCCCGGTGGGTCCTGGCGGCGTCGTCGCGGGATTCCGACGGCCGGTGGGCAACGCTTAACGCTTTATAAATTTATGAATTAACGGCCGTCGAGGGCGGCACGGACAAAAAGTGGCTTGTTATTGTCATTGTCGTGGGCTGCCCGCGTCGAAATGCCGAACGGCGCCCCATTGCAGAAAAATTATCATTGGCGCCTTCCATCTAGTTGCCCACATCGGGCCCGGGACCCTCGCTGTTTCGCCGTTTCGCTGTGCTCCGGCCGTCATGGCCCACGCTCCATGGCATTTGACGGTTCGGACAACCCGGACGATGCTTCCATGGTCCCTGTGTGCTCTCGGTGCGCGTCGCCGTCAAGCCATCTCGGCGACTGGTTTTCTTTCCTCTTGCCTGCCATGCAGTCTATGTCTGGTCTTGAACAAGATATTTTCAAGTGTCCTTGGCCCAATTCCGCCTGGCTCTTTCTGATCCGAACCCGGCGTCGAATTGGCTGGTTGCCCCACCGTCGTCTGGCCGAGCTACGACGTTATCGTCATAGAACGAAGTTCGAACCATCGGTAACAGAGATTAGCTTCGTTTCATCGTCCCGTCTCCTCCTCTCGCGGGAAGACTCTTTTTCTCCCCTTCCCCTTTGTTCTTTTTGACATTTTGCTCTCTTTTCTTCAATCGTTCTTCGACCAGTCCATCGGGGGGGATCCTTGGACTGTGTGGGCGGATCCTATCGTCAGAGATCCGTCGACATCAATTCAAGTCGGCAACCAAAGACATTCCATAATTTGAGGAAGGGAAAAAAAAAGGCATCACGCCATCATGCCGATGGACGCGTTGGACCAAGAAGTTGCCGACGCAGAAGCCGACGGCTCACCACAGCGTTATCAGCGACGGGCTAGCGACGAGATCGAGCGCGTTTTGACCTCCTCATCAGTCTCTACGTCCTCAGAGTCCAACGGCGATGCTGTCCGGCGGAACATGAGCCGCGTCTCGACGCAAAACGATCTTGAGCGTCACCCCACGGAACTCAGTCGAATCGCCACCGCGCGCAGTCAGCACAATGCCACCGTCGGAAGCGGCCTGCGCGGTCGGACCGTGAGCAGGGCCTCCAAGAAACCGCTGCCGGCTTTCGGCGCTGGAAAGCCGTATCCGCCGCTGTTGCCGGAGCGGGAAGAGTACGTCGTCGAGTTCGACGGGCCTACTGATCCCTTGCATTCCCAGAATTGGCCTATGCGGAAGAAGCTTTTGACCGCAGCCATGCTGAGCTACACGACGCTCACCTCGGCCTTTACGTCGTCCATCTTCTCTGCAGCCACCACCTCCGTTGCTGCGGAGTATCAGGTCGGCACAGAAGTTGGCCTGTTGGGGACCACCTTTTACGTGCTTGGTTTCGCCTTTGGCCCTACCGTGTGGGCGCCCATGTCCGAGCTGCGCGGTCGACGACTCCCCATTGTTGTGGCCATGTTTGGCTTCTCTCTCTTCTCGATCGCTTGCGCAACCGGCAAGGATATCCAAACCATTCTTATCTGTCGCTTCTTCTCGGGCTTCTTCGGCGCCTGTCCGCTCGCCGTCGTCGCCGCCGTATTCTCGGACATGTTTGACAACAGGACGCGAGGCATTGCCGTCGCCATCTTCTCCATGGCCACCTTCACCGGGCCCCTGCTGGCTCCCTTCATCGGCGGCTTCATCGTTTCGTCGTATCTTGGCTGGCGATGGACGGAATATCTGGCTTCCATCATGGGCGTTGTCGCCTTCGTTCTCGACCTCTTCTTCCTCGAGGAGACGTACCCGCCCGTCATCCTGGTCGACAAGGCTGCCGACTTGCGACGACGAACCAAGAACTGGGGCATCCACGCCAGGCAGGAGGAAATCGAAGTCGACTTCACCGAACTCATCCAAAAGAACTTTTCCCGTCCCATGCGCCTCCTCTTCACCGAACCCCTCATTCTCGCCCTCTCCATCTACATGAGTTTTATTTATGGCATCTTGTATCTGTTCCTCACCGCTTATCCTCTGATTTTTGTCGGTGTCCACGGCTTCAGCCCTGGACAGGGTGGTCTTGCTTTCTTTGGTATGATTGCCGGACAGGTCCTGGCTGGCGTCGTAGTCATCCTGCAGCAGCCCTGGTATGATCGCAAACTTGCTGCGAACAATGGCGTGCCTGTGCCCGAGTGGCGGTTGCCCAGCATGATGGTCGGCGGCATCTCTTTTGCCATTGGCATCTTCTGGTTCGGATGGTAAGCAACAGTCGGCGCAGTGGGCGCCCTTTTCCTCGCCAGCAAAAACACGTCAGAATCGAGCTAACAACCGTGGTTAAACAGGACCGGATACACCAGCAGCATCCACTGGGTCGTCCCGGCTCTCAGCGGCGTCTTCACCGGCTTCGGTCTCCTGTCCATCTTCCTCCAAGCCCTCAACTACCTGGTCGACGCGTACCTCATGTTCGCTGCGTCTGCCATCGCCGGCAACACGTTCATGCGATCCCTTGCAGGCGCAGGGTTCCCCCTCTTTGCTCGCCAAATGTTCCAGGGGATGGGCATTCAATGGGCGGCTACGCTGCTTGGCTGCGTGGCCGTAGTCCTGGCCCCCTTGCCCTTTGTTTTTTACAAATACGGCAGCAGGATCCGCGCGAGAAGTGCGTACGCGCCTACCTTTGCGGCGTCGACAGAAAAGGAGGGCGAGGACAATGCCGCATTGGCCAGTGTTCCTAGGAAGGAGGGTGACAATGGAGTCTTGCAGAAGGCCTAGTCGGAAACCAATGATGCCATGACATGTGCTGGGGTGGGTGCGTGTGCCTTTGTCGATACTACCGAATTGCATGGCGCGGTGTCGTTCAAATATTCCAAGAGGGGCTGACCTTGCTTTTTTGGGCTGGAATTCGAGTTTTTTTTTGGTTTTTTTGGTTTTTTTGGTTTTTTATTATTTTTTTTTGGGGTGGTTTGTTGAGTTTGCATGGCCTCGACAAAGGTCACTTCGTCCCATAGCAGTTGCATATGTAGATGTATAGTAGCGGCGGTCTTTTGCGGCTGACAACGCGGCTTGCCGTTGAACAGGATAGACTAACGTATAATTGGAATGAAACGGCCGAGTACCACCGCATCGAGATGTAGTTGCGCGCCGCGCAGTGATGGATGACGCGCAAGAGCAACGCGCCGACTCGAGGCGTTTTTTTGCTCCCATTCCCGCTCGGGCTCCAATTTGACACGTCCGGACGTGTGACAGATGGCGGTTCGGACAAGCTCCAGATCTGTCGTGACATTGAAGAGGTTCGAATTGAAACACGATGGAAAGGAGCAGCCAGGTCCAGTCCAACCCCGACAAGACGAGCATTCGAAATGACTCGTTGGTCGTTGGAAGCCACTCACTCACCTCCTGGTTGAGCTGAGCTGAGCTGAGCTGAGCTTGGAAAGCGACCCCGGCCGTGACTTCCAGGTTCAAACGGCAACCAGCGCCCCTATGGCGCGGCCCCGCAGAAGCTTGTTGGATTGGGCTGCGGAAGGCGCAGATCGATGCCCACCTTTTCTGCAACTGCCCCGGCCGGGCTTGCGCCAAAATACGTCATCGACTTCACGATGACGGGTCATGGCTGGTGACACGCAAACAGGCAAAATCGAAAGTATAATCGGTCAAGGCTGGCGCTTGGGAAAACAGGAAATACTTTTCCCGTTGCATTGATTCCTCCTCTTTCCCAACCCGCAGGCTCGAAATACCCGTGCCAAACAAAACACCAGCGCAGATACGTACGTACGGTGCACGGAGCCGCAGCGCAGCTCTACAAACCTTGGAAAGACGAAACAGAGGTTCGCCCGCACAAGCGCGCACCGCATCGTGTAAACGGCAGACAAGAGACTGGCGCCATCATGGACGTCGAAGATCACGTGGTCCCTTCGGGCCAGCATTACAGCGGGCGCAATCGCGTCCCCAACATCCAGCAATTTATGGACCAGCTGGACACGGAGAAGAAGGAGAGGGATGCCGCCATAGACGCCCAGCTCAAGGAGAACAAGCAGAGCAAAGAGGCTGTAGATCACAACAACGATGAGAAACCGCAGAAAAAGGGCCTGCGCACGGTGCGAGACCCCGTCACAGGCAAAGATGTTCAGATCCAGGACGCGAAAATGGACTTCAAAGAAGCCGTGGAAAACCCCAAGGTAAGAGGAGCACGCTCCGGGGGGGAGGGGGGAGGTACCGTCTCTGACTTGGCCGTGAAAATTAGTTGTGCATCCCCAATGAGAATTTGGGCAAGGAGGCCACCATTGCCACGTCGTCAAAGCAGTCCGGCGAGGAGTATCGGTATGCGCAGGACGTCACCGCACCCCCGGATCCCATCCAAGAAGGCTCCACGTCCGATGTGCCGATCCGGAGCGAGAAGACATCGGTCCTGTTTTACAAGACGCCCTCGGTCAGCTACGAGCCCATGTTTGCCACGTTGGAGAAGAAGGGCAACGTGCTGTGCGCTGGCATCTTCGTCGCCGTCATCGTTGTCGGCAAGTTCTTTGGCGGACGGCTGCTCGGCCTTGTTCCCCTGGGCTTTTGCATTGCGTCGGGCGTGTTTCTGTGGATCAAGGATCTCATCCGCCAGGGCCGCGATCTCGAGTGGTCGAGCGAGCAGGAGCGAGGCGAGACTGCAACTGTCAACCTCATCCCCGAGTCTGTGGAATGGATGAATACCATGATTGGCATCGTGTGGGGGCTGATCAACCCCGAGATGTTTGCCGCTGTTGCCGACACGTTCGTCAAAGGATGACACCCCTTGCACGTAATCTGGTCTGCTTTGCTAATGAACAATAGGTTGGAGGACGTCATGCAGGCCTCTGTCCCGGGCATCGTGGAAAACATCCGAGTCGCCGACATCTCCCAGGGCAGTAATCCGATCCGAATTCTCAACATGCGGGCTTTGCCAGACAGCCACGTAACGGATATCAAGGACGAAATCCACAGGCAAAACAAGGAGAAGATGGACAAGGACGAACTCGCAGCGGTCGAGCAGGCCGGGGACTTCTACAACATGGAAGTCTCCATTGCATACCACGCCAAGCCTTCGGGCGAGGATGTCGCGTCAAAAGCCAAGAACATGGGCATGCAAATTGTCTTTTATCTCGGCGTCAAGGGGCTCTTTGGCGTTCCTCTTCCCATTTGGGTCGAACTCGTTGGTCTCGTTGCCACGGCTCGCGTCCGCTGCCAGTTGACTCCCGACCCGCCATTCCTCAAGACTGTTTCCTTCACCTTGATGGGAGTCCCTCATGTCCAGGCTGGCTGCACGCCCATGATTGAAAAGGGCGTCAACATCCTGAACCTCCCCTTGATTTCCAATTTTGTGAACTGGGCCATCCGCGCGGCGGCATCCATGTACGTGGCGCCAAAGAGCATGACGCTCGACATGAGCAAAATGCTGCAGGGCGATGACATTCAGAAAGACACCCAGGCCCTGGGAGTGATATTCATCCGAATTCACAAAGCCACCGGGCTCAGCAAGCAGGACCAGAGAGGTAGCAAGGGCGGCGGTTCTGACCCCTACATCACCGTCAGCTGGAGCAAGTTTGGTAAACCTCAGTATTGCACGCGTGTCATCCAAGATGATCTGAACCCCATCTTTGAGGAAACATGCGGCCTTTTGGTGACGAGTGACCTCATCAAGGCAGACGAGCAGCTGTCAATGGAGCTCTGGGACAGTGACCGATCTTCGGCCGACGACGTTGTTGGCAAGGTGGAACTCAGCATCCAGAAGCTCATCCAGCATCCTGGAAAGATGTTCCCGCAGGTTTCGAAGCTCCGTGGCGTCAAGGCCGACAGCAGCATGCCAGGAGAGCTTCACTGGGAAGTAGGCTTCTTTGGCAAGACGCAGTTCCGCAAGGCTCTTCGCACCCACGGAAAGGACCTGAAGCTTCCCAAGGAGCTCGCCGACAAGCCCGAATTCCAGGAAGAAAAGGGCACCGTTGCCAACGACGAAGAGGATTCCGTCATACACACGCCGCCCGATCCCCTCTGGCCCTCGGGCATCCTCAGCATTGTCGTACACCAAATCGTCGGCCTCGAGCTGGCCAACATCAAGGGTTCTGACGGGAAGCGCAAAGGCAAAGAGTACGAGCCGGCGCGGCCCGAGGCGGGCGCGGTGAAGGAAGAGCAAAGCCGGAAGCTCCCGAGCTCCTACTGCACGATTCTCATCAACGACGACCTGGTGTACAAGACTCGCGTCAAGGTGGTGTCGTCTCAGCCCATCTTCAACGCCGGCACGGAAAGGTTCATCCGGGACTGGCGGTCCGGCGTCGTCACCGTTTCGGTGCGGGACTCCCGCAACCGCCAGCACGATCCGCTGATTGGCGTCGTGCCGCTGAAGCTGTCGGATATCCTGCAGACGAGCAGTGAATCGACCCGGTGGTACCCCCTCGACGGGGGCATTGGCTTCGGCCGCATCCGAATCTCCATCCTGTTCCGCTCGGTCGAGCTCAAGCTCCCGCCTGCCCAGCTCGGCTGGGACATTGGAACCTTTGAGTTCTTGTCCGAAGCGCTCACCACGACCGGGTACGCCCCCGGCTCCAAGGTCAGTCTCAGGCTGCGAACTGGAGGGTCCTCGGCGAGTCTCAAACGCCGGGCTTGCACAAAGCGCGCCGATGGCCTCGAGATTGATATCTCCGGCGGCCAGGACGGCAAGAAGCTGCGTCTTCCGGTCCGCCACCGATACCGGTCGCCGATCTTCGTCGAGTTCCGACCGTCGGGCAGACGGCACGCAGATGCGTACGCGGCCCTGTGGCTGCTGGAGCTCGTGGACGGCGAGGAGCGGGACTTTGACGTGCCCGTCTTCAAGTGCGACAACAGCGTGCGCCTCTCGCAGAACTACATCACGCAGGAGAACTACAAGGAGATCCCGGACACGCACATCGAGGAAGTCGGCAGGCTCAGGTTCAGGGGCCGCTTCTCGCCGGGCACCGACTCGGACCACGTCAGGTTCGTCAGCGACAACGACTCCCGCGAGACGATCGAAAGCTGGGAGGCCTGCTATGCCGAGGGCGTCAGGCAGCAGGAGGTGCGGGCAGAGGTGCCGCCGCTCGTGCAGAAGCTGCACGACCAGTCGCTGAGCCAGGGCCGCGACGTGCTCGCGCAGGCGGGCGAGGAGGACAAGGAGAGGTGGCTGGCCAAGGACGGCACCGACTGGAGCGGCGCGTTTGGCCAGGATCCCAAGCAGCTCATGGCTCGACGGAATGGCGATCAGGCAGTCGGCGAGGAGGACGATGACCTTGAAGACGGCGGCGGCGACGAAGACGAAGACGAAGACGAGGAGGAGGAGGACGACGACGAGAATGGCAGTCCCAACCTTGGCATCCACGACGCCATGTCGGAGCCCCCCGAGGGCGGTGATGCTGGCGGTCGCCCGTCCGTAGACACCGACGTCACCAGTAGCAGCGGCTCCAAGAATCCCTACAGGGCGTACAAGGACTACAAGGACAACAGCAGGGACCTGCACCGCAAGCATAGGGGCCTGATGCAGTGGCGTCCGATGCGCAACGCGCAGTTTGCCAAGGACGAGGCCAAGTTTGCGCTGAGAAAGATTACGAAGCTCGGGGCGCTTGACGGTCGTGAACCGGACGTGGAAACGGAAGTCTGATTAAAAACACGGAACGAGGCCTCGGCAGCCAACGTACTGCGTACTTGAAACTCTTTGATGATTTCCTGATTTCTCACATTACACGTCTTGTTGAGGGAGCCCATGCTGTGTATTGGTGAGAACGAGTGTACTACTACTATTACTGCTGCTTTGTACCGGAAATGAAAACTCGAGACTGCATGGCAAATATGACGTCGTTTCTTTCAACCGGGCTACTTTGCTGCCGTCTGGTGTCGTAAAGGTAAAGGGTATCATTACTAGAACTTTTCTACGTACGGCCTAATGTCGAGTTCGTGGGTAAATGCAGACCTTGGCTGCGTGTGTAAATGCCAGTAACTCTGGGCAATCTGCGGAGCAAATCAGCACGACTTCTGACATGCATGTCATGTGCAGGGCGTCGGTTGGTTTTTATTAGTATTGACAAGTTGCACTTACAGCCTCGGCGGCAATCTTGCCGTCCGCCACGCCATTGTTCGCGGTGCGCTCCTTTGCCCAGGGGACATCGATGACGCCGTCGATGATGGCCAGTGCAACGTGCACGCCCTGGGGGCCGAATTCCCGCGCCAGAGACTGCGTGATGGCCCTCTGGGCAAACTTGCCTGCCGCAAAGGTGGTGAACTTGGCGGCGCCGCGGACGGACGCTGTGGCGCCGGTGACAATGAGACTGGGCGGGTGGGGCGAGGACGAGACGGCGTCGAGGAGCCGGGGGAGCGTCTTTTGGGCAAAGTAGAATAAGCCGTTCCTGGTAGCCGTCACTGATTGTCAGCAAAGTCTGCTCCGTATGTAACTGACGTACGGAGTACGTCTGGTGGAATAGGCCGCCAGCCACCCGTGGATGAGACAGTCCGGACTTACGCGGCGGCCCCTAAGCTAGCGTCCAAATCGTCAATCTTGAGCTCCAAAAACGGCTTGTACGCGAACCCGGCATTCGCGTTGTACACGGCCGCGGCCAGCTTGTGGCCCCGGAGATCCCTGTCAATCTGGGCAAATGCGCCGTCGATGGAGGCTGGATCCGACACATCCGCGGTGTATCCGTGTGCCGAGCCGCCCGCGGCACGAATCTCCTGCACAATCTGCTCGTAGCTGGCCGGTTTGCGGGCGAGGAGGACGACGGGATATGTTTTGGCGAAGTGAAGGGCCACCGACGCGCCAGTGCCGGAGCCTGCGCCCGCAACGACGGCGCAGAACTTGGACATATTTGGTCCGGGTGGGCGACTGCTCTGGGGAAAGAAGTGGTATTCGCGGTGGGTTTCTTGGTGTCGATAGCGGTGCTCGGGCTCGGGGAGTAGCTTATATACTTGGTCGAGAAGGTTTGCACGGCTCAACTCGGTCTGGACCAACGCAATTGTTGATTATGAAGCAGAAGATGGGGAGTTGGAGGGCTGGCGGCTGGCGACTAGCGGGCAGCCAATGGGTGGGGCTTCCGCGGCGATTCCAAATATTTCGAGCTTGGGCATGATGCCATTGATGAAGAAATGGCGAGATGCAGCTGGCGGGTTGAGAATGAACATGGTTTCTTTTCTTTGATTTCATGCCGTGTTGTGGTGAGCAGCGACAAGATTTAAGGGTCTGTCTGTCAGTGTGCAGCTGTCAAGAGGCAGGCAGGCCACTGCGTAGTGAATGGTTGGCGTGCTCCGTCATACTCGGCAATAAATCACACAAATTGCGAACAAGGAGATTTGAACGACGAAGACGGAAGTTGATCCATTCCTCTCTTTTTGCTTGTGAGGATGCAATCTGTCCCGTCCTGTCTAATAATTAATGTGTTGAATGATGGTCAGAGCTCTGACCATCCACGGCAGGCAGGAGACAGGGACCAAAGCACCCTATTGGCTCCTGCGCCCTCGAGGTGGCACAGAAGCACGTCGACTCGCACCTTCGCGACAGTTACCACTCTCTCGACCCCGAAATCAACCCTTGGCCACATCTTCATCAGCCAACGTATAAACCTGAAGACGGTTCCAATCAAACCCGCCTCATCTGCATCAAGCCTCTTCTCTGCTCGCAAGCTAGTTCCGGAGGCAGTGGACAACCAAAACAGAGCACGTGGCGCGGCGTCGGAAATAATGAAGCCCGTTTGGACGAAATTTGGCGAGAGGCTCGGCAGCCACGATGCACCTGACAGTTTTCCCTATCGTCAAGCAACTCTAAGTCCATATTGGAATCCTGAGGTCACACCTATAGCTCAACAGAATGGACCCAGCGCGACTGGCCCTCACCATTCGACTACATCCGTTGGTCCAGGAATCACCGGGTCGCTTCCCGCGGCACACTCACCCAGCAAAGCGTACGCTGCCCCGAAACAAGAACCTGGAAAGGACGCCACTGCTATCAATACGTTGGAGCTTGCCAAACGAGTCAAGAAAAGTGCACGTCTCCCATTTCAATCCCCTAGACACGACGCTGCCCAGTCCCGCGCGACGCCTCCGCCGTCATCAACCTCAACACCAAACTCTCAAAGTCGAGGACGGCCGAAGGGATGGAAACCTGGAATGTCATACGCCGCCATGCGCGGAAACACTCCCCCAACCTGGAGAACATCAGCTCGCACGCCTCGCCAGCCTCGCACCAAGGCACCGCTGCCAGGCTTTGGGCGCAGGCCGGGACGCCCGAGCAGAATGCCTTCACCATCCCCAAAGGAGCTTTATCATAAAGCCAATCCGCACTTTGTCAGCTTCATATGCGAGTGGGCTGGGTGCAAGGCCGAGTTGCACAATTTTGACACCCTGCGAAGGCACCTCCACATTGTTCATCAACAAAATGGCAAGTGGCCCTGCCACTGGGCGCATTGCGGGCTGGACGCCTGCGCAGATGGTGAGCAATGGCGGTCTCATTTGGAGGATGCTCACCTACTTCCGTTTCGATGGCATGTAGGCGACGGCCCAAGCAACACCAGCGGAATGCGCGCTGTGCTGCCTGACAACTCGCCAGATCAACTTCCAGATTTCCTGATGGGCTCGGATGGGCGACAAGTGACGCCATCTATCAGGGACCAACAAATAGAGGACTTTGCAACGTGGAAGGCAAATCGCCGGAAGCTGAAGGAGTTGCTGATCCAACGAGACCAGAATCTACCAGATGAGTCTTCCGAATCGTCAGAGGAGACGGGCTGATACTGGAGGAGACAAACCAAAGAATCTACGCCTTCAAAAGTGCCCCTCCTATGGCGGACACTGCGTGTCGCCACAGGCCAACAAAATAAATAGGCGCCAAAGCACAAGATCGCTTTACAAGATGTGGCGAGACTTGTGGTTCTCGGCCAGGAAATAAACGGGAATAACACCCGGCTCTTGAAGCTCGTCTGACGCTGACACGTGTCAATCATGTGCAGGGGCTTTGGGCCGCAGGTTTGTTGTCGTGAGGGTGTTGAAGATGGCGCGGCTCCCAATTTGTATTGTATGTGGGCCAAGAGGGCGACATCATGTTGGGCAGTCCTGGCGAGGCTACAACCAAAGCCTGAGAGGTGCAGACAGTAGTTTCACTCCAAAGAGACGCAACATAGTTTTGTGCCCAGTTTGGACCCAAGATGCCTGCGAAGCAGAGCAGCTGAGAAACGCAACTCTAGTTGATGGCATCGTTGGCGCCGCAAGTTTTGTGCTGTACCACACGTGACCAAGGACTCGACGTCGTCGGCTGAGGCGGTCACTTGGCGAGCGGAGTAACTACCAAAGAAGATGAGTAAGCAGGTATCTACGGAGTAGGTACCTTGGCAACCGGGCAAGTCGGCGTTGTGTGGGGGGGAGGGTGACAGATTGATTCAGATGCGCACGTGAGAGAAAGGAAGGGCGGTGCAAGTCTGGTGGACCGCCTGGTTACTCCGTACGACAGACTGACTAATGAGTGAAGTTATGGCACTGGCATTGACGGCGCGGAATGCATTGAATAACCAAGTACGTACGGCCTGACTCGGCGACGGGACGGCATGACGCCACAGGGCCGGATGCTCATGATCTTGGAAAAAAATAAAGGAAAAAAGAAAGGGGCAAAAGTAACCGCCCACCACTAGTGGTATACGAAGGAGCAACTACGTAATAACTATTGGTTGCTTGCGGTGGTCGTTGGCCGTTGGCTCTCGGGCTGCTGTCAGTGTTTGTTTGTTTGTTTTGATCCATGATTTACCGTCATTCCTCTTCCTTTTCTTCTTTCTTTTTCGCATTGTGCCTGCTGGGTGTTTCGGACGGATGGCACAATGCATTCCTCGAGTGGCCAGGCCAGGCCAGTCCGCCGAGACGGATGAGACTGTCATGGCTGTCATGGCTCGATCGACTCCATCAAGATCCATGTCCGGCTCGGCGCCCAAAAAATGGTCGGCTGGTCGGTGCTGAAGATTTGAAGACGATGGAGCCCTGGGCTCCAGTGCTGTTGCCGGTGGTCGAACAGTCGGGGCTTACATGCTGCGGCGCCCCTGCAGCAGAAGCCGTGCACCCCCACCGGACGCTCGCCTCTCGCCCACTCGACATGGCCGCCGACCGCTAGCCGCCGACCGCTGGCCGCTGGCCGCTGGCTGTCTGTCATCCGCCAGCACCAAGCACCAAGCACCCCAAGCACCGCCGCCACGGCCACTCCCCTCCCGCCTCCCGCCTCCCGCCTCCCCTCGTCTCATCCCATCCCCCAAGTCGTCTCCTTCCGCATCATTGATCCCAGGAACAGAGTCGACCGCTCCCAGAGTCCGCCTGAGAACGCTTTGCACTCTGGCCTGAATTGCGAACAGACCATGGCATCAACTGATTGATCCGGCTCCTCACCTATCCAAACACCGACCGTCTTGATCCTCGTCGTCGTCCGTCGTCCGTCGTCGTCCGTCGTCCGTCGTCGTCCGTCGTCCGTCGTCACCAGGCCACGCCATGCCCTCATCAAAGGGCTCAAATGGCTCCGGCGCGCAGGTCAGCCATCGTCTCCGAAACTTCTTTCGCATCAACAGCGCCGCCAGCACCGCTGGTGAAAAGGACAAGGCCGCCTCCAACAATGCGTCCCGCACTTCTGCCTCTAACAACGCCGCTGCCTCCGACATGTCTGGCCCCAAGCCCTCCCGTCATGCCAAGTTCTTCAGCAACACCGTCGGCAGACTCCGCGCCCACACCGTCGCCAGCGAGGGCAACCAGCTCGAAGAGGCCATGAGCCCTACTGCTCACGCCAACCCCTACTTTGCCCACCAGGGCCAGCCCGACCTGCGCCATCACAACGAGGGCTCCGTGCCCCCCAGTCCTCCTGATACTCCCGAGCTCAACGCCAGCGGGCCCGATGGTGTTCCTGCCGACCAGGCCGCCAGCGAGACCAAGGAGGAGCTTGCTCGTCGTCTGCGCCGCGTGGCTAGTGCCCCCAATGCCCAAGGCCTGTTCGCCAGCGCCCAGTCCGACGCGGTCCCGGCGCTGCCCGTGGCCATGTCCGCCGCTGGCCAACGACCTGCAACCGCCGAGCTCGGCAGGGATCCTCTCATTGCCGATCCGGAGAGCGGCTCCATTGGCCTTGCACAGTCTCAGTCGGAATCGTCCAAAAGCAACAGCCATGCCCGTGCCGCCGAAGACGTCCTCTCGGCATTGCCAGCCCCTAGCGCTTCCTTGGCTTTCCGGAGGACGTACAGCTCCAACTCCATCAAAGTTCGCAATGTTGAAGTTGGCCCTGCCAGTTTTGACAAGATTAAGCTCATTGGAAAGGGTGATGTTGGCAAGGTCTATCTTGTGAGGGAGAAGAAGAGCAGCAGACTTTATGCCATGAAGGGTATGTGTTGTGTTGTATTATGCCGCCCTTTCTCCCCGCTCGACGAGCCAAGGCACGCTGACATGTCGTCTATTTCGCAGTCTTGAGCAAAAAGGAAATGATCAAGCGGAACAAGATCAAGCGCGCTCTCGCTGAGCAGGAAATCCTGGCAACGAGCAACCATCCATTCATTGTCACGCTTTATCACTCCTTCCAGTCTGACGAGCACTTATACCTGTGCATGGAATACTGCAGCGGTGGAGAGTTCTTCCGAGCCTTGCAAACTCGCCCTGGGAAGTGCATTCCCGAGGACGACGCTCGTTTCTATGCGGCCGAAGTTACGGCCGCTCTCGAGTACCTTCATCTCATGGGCTTCATCTACCGTGATTTGAAACCTGAGAGTATGATGAATCCCGCATCTTGCGCGTGCTGGCGTCGGCGTCTTTATTTTTGCATTTTTCTGTGTCGTCGTCGGCTAACATGACTGTGCCCAGATATTCTGCTTCACCAATCCGGCCACATCATGCTTTCAGACTTTGACCTTTCCAAGCAGTCAGACCCTGGCGGCAAGCCCACCATGATTATCGGAAAGAACGGTGCCCGGACAGATGCCTTGCCCACAATCGACACCAGATCCTGCATCGCCAACTTCCGGACGAACTCATTCGTCGGTACGGAGGAATACATTGCCCCCGAGGTTATTAAGGGTTCCGGGCACACAAGCGCTGTGGACTGGTGGACGCTGGGCATTCTCATCTACGAAATGCTGTACGGCACCACGCCGTTCAAGGGAAAGAATAGAAACGCCACCTTCGCCAACATTCTGCGTGAGGACATTCCGTTCCCTGACCATGCAGGGGCGCCTCAAATTTCAAAGTACGTTGGACCTCGGCAGCTGTTGCGGCGGCGTTGACTTGTTGACCTGTGTGCCTTACAGCCTCTGCAAATCGTTGATTCGAAAACTCTTGATCAAGGACGAGAACAGGAGGTTAGGAGCCCGGGCCGGCGCATCCGATATCAAGGTGCATCCATTCTTCCGCTCAACTCAGTGGGCTTTGATTCGCCACATGAAGCCGCCCATTGTCCCCCACCCTACCAAGGGAATAGACACAGTCAATTTCCGAAACGTCAAGGAGAGTGAAAGCGTGGACATCAGCGGGTCAAGAATCAAGGGCGTGCCGCTGGACAGCGGATTGGCAACCCCGGGAGCTGAGATGGAGGATCCCTTCAGCGAGTTCAACAGCGTGACGCTGCATCACGACGGCGATGACCATCACCAGCACATTGTTCATCACCCTTCGGTCAGCCAACAGGTAAGCGCTTCTTCATAGTAATGGGGCAGCACCCTTTTTCGGCTCGGTTGCATCGTGGGCCTGGCGAGGTGTTGACTGCTTGGTTGCCTTGACATTTGACATTCAAGGTGGTGGCGGTGGCGGCGGCGGTCTGTTTTCCATTGCCTTTTCTCCTTTTGTGTTGACTTGTTCCGTTGCGGTGCGTCTACATCGTTTCTGCATTCCCCTGAGCCAACGAGCCTTGTTACATCTGGTCACTCTTCCACGATTCTCGGCATGTTTTGCACTCAAAAGACACGACACCCTGGTGGCCTTGGCGACTCGATCACTCACTTGAAATCAGCCATGCGGCAGCACCCACGGGGTCGTCATGGGGGGGCCATCTCACCACTGCGTCTGCCAGGTTGATCTCTGATGTTTTCTGTCCTTCATTCTTTTTCTTTTTTTTCTTTTTTTTTTCGCACAGAAGAGCGGCGTTTTTACTGTGATGATTATGGATTCTGTCTGGCGTCATGGGAAGGAAACGGTAAAGAGTAAGGTCTGATGTATATTGTCACTCAGCCATGAAAGTTGAACGTCTACGCTTTCACAGATAGAGTAAGGAAGTTGTTTTCAGTCGCCTTCCTTTCTTTCTTTCTTTTTTTTTGGACCAATAAATCGATTTTGGCCATTTCTTTCGTCTTGCGATGTAGATGGCGGTTGATCGGTGGTGCAGACGATGCACATCATGATGATGCATTGCGATCAAACCCTTTGTGCCTCGGGGCCCTTGACACAGCTCGCCCACCGCCAGCGATGCAAGACGATGCGGCAAGTCCTTTGTGATTTTGTTCGGTGACACATGCGTGCCGTGCCGCCTGCCGCGTGGATGCCAAGGTAGACTTGAGGTGGCGCCGGCGATGGGAGAGACGTGGACGTGGCGTTGGGGTTTTGCACCCGTGTACGAAGCCCAAGTCAAAACAGAATGCTTCTTGATACAAAGCCAGTCGTGCAATCTCATGGCCTGGCCTGCGTCCTACGCCTCCTCGACGTGCCCGTCCTTCTGGGTAAAGGTGACCTCGTGCGCGTTCCTCCTCCTGCCCACCCTCCCGATGCGCTCAAGCCCATCCATCCACGGCCGCAGCACCTCGGGAATGGCCACGGTGCCCGTCTCCTCGTCCCAGCCGTTTTCGAACAGCGCCGCCATGACACGCGGCACCGCCAGCGCCGTGCCGTTGCACGTCCACGGGAAGCTGACCTTGCCGTCGACCCGCGTGCGCGTCGCCAGCCGCCTCGTCTGGTAGTCGGTGCACGTGCTGGCCGACGTCAGCTCGCCCCAGCCGTCGTTGATGGACTGCCTGCTGGGGAACCAGGCCTCCACGTCCACCTTGCGCGCGGCCGAGGCGCCCAGGTCTGCCGCCGGCATCGACAGCACGCGGCAGTAGAGCCCCAGCGACTGCATAATCTCGGCCTGGACGTCCAGCATTTCCTGGTACACGTCCTGCTCCTCGTCCCGGCTCGGGCTCGTCCACGCAAACATCTCGACCTTTGTAAACTCGTGCACGCGGTAGAGACCCTTTGTGTCGGCGCCGCGGGCGCCCGCCTCGGCGCGGTAGCACCGCGACACGGCGACGCGCTTCATGGGCAGGTCCTCGGGGTCGATGGCGGCATTGGCCTTCATGCCGGCGAGGGCAATCTCCGACGTCCCGGCGAGGCACAGCTCGGGCACGCCGCGGTCCGCGTCGGCCTCGGACCGCGCCACCGCGTAGACCTGCTGCTCGCCGTGCTGGTCGCGCGGGCGGAAGCCGCACGCCGCCCCGATGTGGCTGTATACCATTGTCGGCGGCGACACCTGGGTCCAGCCGTGCCTGGTGGCGACGGCGAGCGCGTACTGCACCAGGGCTTGCTCGAGCTGGGCCGCCTCGCCGACGAGGTAGTACCACCCCCAGCCGGACGCTGCGGCCGCGCCCGAGAAGTCCAGGAGCCCCAGCTCCGAGCCGACGTGCACGTGCGACCGCCAGACCTTGTTCTCGGGCGACTTGTCAAACGCCGCCGGCGGGCTGTTGATGTAGCCCAGGACGAGGGCCTCGTGGCCGCGCGGGGTGTCGTCGCTCGTCAGGTTGGGCATCTCCAGCGCGAGCGCTTCCATCTCGGCCGCGGCCGCGGCCTCGCCCTTCTCGATGCCGGACAGCTCCCCCTTTAGCCTCCTCGCCTCGTCTTGCACCTGCTGCCTGCTCATCTCGCGGATGTCCTGGACGTCGTCGTCGCCGCTGCTCGTGGCCGGGTTGGCGAGGAACTTCCTCAGGAGGTTCGACCTCTCGCGGAGTGCGCGCCCCTGTCTCTGCAGGGCCTGCCATTGGGAGTGTAGCTCCAAGATCCTGGCGGGGTGCGCTGCTTGATTCCTGTAGTTGCGCTCCAGGCACGTGCGCTCGTATAGCTCTGGGTTTTGACGGACGTGCTTGATGTCGATGATGGGCTTTGGCGCCGTGGGCGGCCGCTTGTTGTCTGCAAACGTGCGGGCCGGGAGGGCTCGGGCCTTTGCCCTGAGGCCCCGGCAGCGTAGACATGCCAGCGATCGGTTCATGGCCCTGGAGCGGTGACGATGTGAGCTCGCCCTCGTTCTCGTTGCGACCAGACTCTCTCTGCCTGCGTCGAGGTGGGCGGGCAGTCGGGACTCGGGAGAACGAGAGCCTGGAGCACCGGTCTTATGCAATTAACCGAACTTTGCCATGACGACGCCACAAACTTTTATACTTGCCCGTGGAAGATACAAAAACGACCTTGCTGATGCAAATCCTACATCTGCGTTCCCGTGCATCCAATTCAAAGTGGTATCTCTCTCCGTGTACATCAACACCCCGCCAAGCTCGCTGCACCTCGCTGCACCATCGCCCCTACAAAGCACCCCAAACACCAAGGGTCCAGTTTGTGTGATGGCCTCCGCTCCCTCGGATGGTTCCCATGCTTTGCCGCTGCTGGTTCTTGAAATCAACATCACACGGCCGGGACGCTCCGTTTGCGCCTTGCTGCAGCCACGACTCTCTATCTATGGTAGCCATGGCCGGGATCTTCAGCTGGCACATCAAACTGGCCCCTGCCCAAGCTCCCAATGAGTGAATGGCTCGTAGCTGGCCCTGGAACTGGTGCCGAACTGGCCTATTGCGCGTCACCTTGGCTTCGACCCGGTCCTCCTGAGAATCCGCAGTTCCCGACTCGGACCGAGGTCCATCAGAGTCGTCACCGCCCGACTCCGACGTTCCAACTGACGACGTGCTTGACCTTTGTACGCTAGTTTTTCCATCAGCCCTGCGTCCGCTTCGCAAGCCCTCGACGCCTTTGCCAGACACGGGCTCCCAGCCTCTGCGCTGAACTATGCTTGTGATCTCGTCTAAAATCCTCTCCTTTATGCCCAGTATATTCGAACAGCCCCCCGTGAAGGTGATTCGAGACATGCAGACTGCCCTGACGTCAAGGGGCAACTGGAGCAGGTGCTGATATATCAGTAGGTGAAGCGGCAGTTCGTGGTCATCAAAGGTGGTCTGGGCCGCTGAAGGGTCGAAGAAGGTATCGTCGCAGACCTCAGCAAGCTTGTTGAAGGGTATATGGATGGTGAAAGGAGGATTTGCTGACCGAAGCGGCACCTCGGCTATGCCACTCGGTTGGTTTGGCTCCCCTTCGTTTTCGTCTTGTTCCTCAACCGTGTGCAACTGTGTGGGCTCTCGTCGAGACGATTTGAAAGCCGAAGGTCGACACCACATGAGCCGACACAATATGTCCTCGCATTCTTCAAATGCCACCGCTCTGTCTCCCGATTCATCATCTTCAGCGGAAGGAATGAGGGCGCAAAGCAGCTTGTAGAGCGCGTCGTTCAGGCTCCTGCCGCCCCTGACAGTCCTTGAACTCTTCACCTCCCTGTATTCGTAGACGCTGGTCACGACAGTCTCGTTCCAGCCCATATCTACCACCAGTGCTGACCGTGTCCCAGCCGCAACAGCCACCATTGTAGGGGTCGACATGAGAGAGATGATTGGGGTTTGAAAGTTGGTAAATAATGTGTCCAGTACAGAAGACAGAAGAGGAAGAGGGACGGCAGAATCCAGGACAAGGGCAAGCCGTCTCGGCCTGGAATCAATGAGCAGAAACCTAAATACATGGTGAGCGCCGGTCGGATCGCGGTGGCGTCACTGCACGCTACCTTGTGAATGCCTCCCGCAACAGTCGGTCTAGCTTATCTTGGAACAAGCCCAAGTCGACATGGCGCAAGTCGTAATGCCATATTTCGTGATCGGCGGCCCATTTTCTCGAGCGACCCGAAGCTGGTTCCTGCCAGACTCGAAAATCACCCACCCGCCGCTGCTGCCCTGGTCCGCATGACAAGCATGCCTTGGGTAAGGAGTCGCCTGCAAAGCCGACCCGGACATAGCGTGAGCCAATCTCTAGAAGCACAAAATCTTCCTCTGCACGGATCGTAGTTGGCGACCCAAATGAGGATGTGACGGTCCTTGGCGGGGTGTGAGGCGTCGATGAGCTGGCCGGCGCTTGTGATGTCCCTGATCTTATCGTGGCCACGCTCCTGTGTGCGACTGTAGTGCTTGCGCCGGAAGACATGGCCGCAGACGCAGGTCAATTCTCCACAGTGAAGTTGAATTTCAATCTTGGCATTGTGCTTCGGGTTTCCAAAGCTCGACGCCAAAGTCGCGGAACGTGGTCGGCTCAGGCGATATGCAGTTAACAGATGTGGCACCTAAGCGATCTTGCCTTGCTTGACGGCCCCGTACTTCCTGCCGCCCGTTTAAGTTCAATGACGGGCCGAGTCAACAACGCCAGACGTCACCTCAGCAACGTGGGGCATTTTAGTCGGCACCTCATTCATCCATCACCTCGACCGTGAATTCTTCAGTTGCAGCCTCTCACAGGTTCGGGTACAATGCCTCTCTGGAATGGGCATCAAAGGGTACATCTCGCCCCTTTATTCCTTGTCTCTGCTCATGGCTGACCGACTGAAGCATTTACAAAGAGCTCGGCCCGGGCAAGCGAATATCGCTCTCCAAGCTTGCGGCTGACAGCTTGGAGTCGACAGGTCGACCTTATCGTATTGCCATCGACTTTGCAATATGGCACTTCCAGACGCAGGCTGCGCAAGGTTTGCATGTCCAGCTCGTTCTACACAGTCACGATATACCACCGTACTGATCTGTCCAGGTGGCACTAATCCCGCATTGAGGACTCTCTTCTATCGTCTAGTCCGACTCCTCGGAACCCCAATACAGCCAATCTTTGTGTTTGACGGGCTGAATAAGCCCCAGTTCAAACGAAATAAACGATCAGGCCGAGGAGACGGTGCTGCAACGGCTGCGGCTAAACACCTAATACGACTATTCGGATTCCCTACCCACGATGCTCCAGGCGAAGGAGAAGCAGAATGTGCCTTGCTCCAGCGGCACGGAGTAGTTGACGCCGTTCTTAGCGAAGATGTCGATACAATAATGTTTGGGTGTACAAAAACGCTCCGCAATTGGTCATCCGAGACGAAGACTTCGACAGCACCGACCCACGTTTCACTATATGACGTTGACGACATGGCCTTGGGGCCCTTGGGTCTTGATCGTGAGGGCATGGTGCTGATTGCGTTGATGAGTGGCGGTGACTATCTTCCTGACGGGATTCCCGGGTGCGGTGTCAAAGTAGCTTGTGAGGCGGCCCAGGCCGGCTTTGGCAAATCAGTTTGCCGCCTCAAGGCATCCGATAGAGACGGTATACAGGCATGGCGGAATTCTCTGCGGCACGAATTACAAACCAACGAAAAGGGCTGTTTTAGGACAAAACACAAAGCGTTAAAGATACCACAAGACTTTCCAAACATCGAAGTTCTCCGCTACTACACCCACCCGGTTGTGTCTTCAGAATCCAATATCGAGGCGATTCGTCAGAAAATGGAGCAAAGGCAAGCATTCCATCTAGAAGCATTACGCGAGTTCACGCGAGAGACTTTCGACTGGGACTACCGTACGGGAGCTTTGAAGTTTATCCGAGTCATAGGACAGGCAATGTTAGTCCGCAATATGGCCAACTCCAATATGCCCGAACTCCAGCACGTCAAGCGTATTTCTGGGCGACGAACACACTTTAGCACAGATGGTACGCCAGAGCTACGCTTGGCCTATATCCCCGAGGAAGTTGTACCCATCGACTGGGCCAAAGAGGTCGACGAGATTGTTGATTCTGGCCGGACGGGATTGGCGCTGAATAGCGATGAAGAATTCGACGTTCATGAGGAGATTCCTGCCGTTAATGCTCGAAAAATATTTGATGTTTCCAAACCCGATCTGGCCTGGGTGCTGGAAGGTTTGGTGAAGAAGCACGCCTCTGACGTTTTCCAAGAATGGCAACTAAGGGAACAGGCCAAGGCTGTCCGACGATCTCCTACAAAGACAAAAAAAACAAGGGGTATCGCCAAGGCTCTCAAGGCCTCGGACATGCCCCGAGGCTCCCTCGACAAATATGTCACAGTAACAAAGGCAGCTGTCTCTGGCAATCAGACCTCTTCAAAGGCTCGTGAGCCAAGTCTGTCTCCTCTGAAAAGCCTCGCGCGCCCCAGTGCTAGACCGAGCATAAGTAAGCAATCCTCGTCCTCGCCTACGAGGAGTCCGAAACCAACGACAACCAGTGAAGGAATCGACGGCTCACCAGTTACGCCTAGATCGTCCAGCAGGCAGCCAGACGCGATTTATATTTCGTCAAGCCCACCAGCTCCAGTGTCCAACAGTCCTGCCCCGCCTACGTCTATTTCAGCATCAACCCCCAGCGTGGTTTCCAAACTCCAACTGTCAAAGGGGGTTCCTGAGTCAATATGCTCGATCGTTGAGGCGAGCCACTCCTCTGCGGGTCTGAGAAATCCGTTGCAGCGGCAAAGAAGACGGCAAGAAGCTGAAACGTGCAGCCCCGTCCCGAAACAGTCTTGCATGGAACTGTTTCTCAGTAAATCCGAAACAAGGGCGACGGAAAAGCGAGCAACACTGTCAGAGAGAGAGAAGGGAAGGAGGATAAACTACGACTCGGACTTGGAATCAATACCCGCACGGCCCGTCAGGCATACTCGGCAAGTCTCGGTCGAGGAGGCGGCTGCAGTTGGCGGAGAGGCGGCGTCGTCTGAGAAACCCGGACTGTCACCAAAGAAGAAGCTTTTTAGGGCAAGGGCTTCAGGGTCCGGGTTTTTCGAGGAAGTTGAACTATGTGAGGAGGAGCGCCATGCGGAGCTGAATGCGGAATTGGGCAGAAAAGGAGTCGCCGTTCGATGGAGTGATGTGTCAGTCATTGATTTGACAGGGGATGAAGAGCAGCAAACACGCGCCGGGCTTGGTTTGCACGGGGATTGATGTACGATGAAGCTGGGACATATAAATCGAGACTATGATGTGGCTTGGCGTCACCCGTGCGGCTATTTGTTGCGTGGCATGGCGACGTGATGTGATGATGCCGTGCGGCTCTGTCAACAAGTCTTTTGTATAGATGAAACAGTAACAAGACACAGTGGACAAACGCTATGCTCGCGTCAACTTTTTATTCTCTCGCCCGGCCAAAGTAAACAAGGAAGCCTCCGGCGGGCTACTCGGCCTCGTCCATGACCAGGTCGGGGTCGATCTCGGTCCCGAGATGCCGCTCCTCGAGAAAGGTGCGCCCGGCAAGCTCGGCGGGGAGGTAGGCCTGGCGGACCCTGCCGTCGCGGTAGTTGGGAGGGTACTTGTAGTCGGGGGCGAGGCCGGCGGCCAGGCCCGGGTCGCGCGCGAGGCGGGTCGGGGCGTTGCGCAGGTGCGCCGGCACGGGGAGGGCGGCGACGCCGGGCTCGCGCAGGGCGGCGCAGGCGTTGTTGAGGCCGCGGTAGGCGCGGGTGCTCTTGGGGGCGAGGCACAGGGCGACGGCGCAGTGGGCGAGGGGGATGCGGGCCTCGGGCATGCCGATCTGCTGCGTGGCCGTGTAGGCGGCGACGGCGAGCGGGAGGAGCGCGTTGTCGGCGAGCCCGACGTCCTCGGAGGCGATGACGACCATGCGGCGCGCGACGAAGAGGGGGTCCTCGCCCGACTGCAGCATCCGCGCGAGGTAGTAGAGCGCGGCGTCGGGGTCGCCGCCGCGCACCGACTTGTGGAAGGCCGAGATGCAGTCGTAGTGCTGGTCGCCGCCGCCGTCGTGGACGAGCGTCCGCGCCAGCGACGCCTTGACGTCGTGCTTGGTGAGGGCGTCGCCGCCGCGCGCCGCCAGCGACAGCGCCAGCTCGAGCAGGTTCAGGGCCGCGCGGGCGTCGCCGCCGCCGAGCCGCGCCAGGTAGGCCAGCATGTCGTCGTCGACGGCTGGGTGCGCCGCCGCCTCCGCCTCCGCCCCCTCCGCCCCCTCCGCCTCCGCCGCCCTCGCCCTCCGCAGGATGCCCGTGATGGCCTCGGCCGTGAGCGGCTGCAGCGTGAAGGTCCGGCAGCGCGAGAGCAGCGCGCCCGTGATCCTGAACGAGGGGTTCTCCGTCGTCGCCCCGATCAGCGTCACCGTCCCCGCCTCGACGGGCTGGAGGAAGACGTCCTGCTGCGCCCTGCTGAAGCGGTGCATCTCGTCGCAGAAGACGACGGTCGCGCGCCCCGTGAGGCCCAGCTCGCGCGCCGCCTCGTGCAGGAGCTTCTTGCACTCGGCCACGCCCGCGCTCGTGGCGTTGACCTCGACGAGGCGGCTGCCGACCGCGCGGGCGATGCACCTCGCAATGGTCGTCTTGCCCGTCCCCGACGCGCCCCAGAGTATCATGGACGGGACGCGCCGCGCCTCGATGAGGCCGCGCAGCACGCCGTTGGGTCCTACAATGTCCTGCCCGCACACCTGGTCCAGCGTCGTGGGCCGCATCCTCTCGGCCAGCGGCGCGGGGCGGACCGTCCTGGTCCGCTTCGCGACTTGCCCGTGGCCGTCTGGCTCGCCGTCTTGGCTCGTCCCGCGCTCAGCGGCCGAGGGTCCCGGGCCCGTGCCGTCGTCGTCGGCGCCGGGCCCTTCCTCGAAGCTGCGCTTCTTCCCAATCACGGGCGGCAACGTCCCGCCGACGACGGGGCGGTCCGCCGCCTTGCCGTCCGGGTGTGCTCGTTTCGGCGCCGGCGTCGAGAAGAAGCTCGACGCGCTGCGCTTCCGCTGCGAGGGCGTGGGCGTGTGCGAGGCGCCGTTCTGCTGCTGCGACGTCGGCGGCGGCGAGGGCCCGGGGTCCTTGTCCACGACGAAGCTCGTGCAGCCAGAGTCGATGTGGCTGTTGATTTCGGAGCATCTGACGGGCTTGTTGCAGATGGGACAGTCGACTGCCATGGTCCATTTGGCTCTGGGTCCCAGACGCCCAGGCTCCGACCGAGGGGGGGGCTGATGTAGCGCGCCAATACGTCTGTCTGGGTCCAAGGTGTAGCGTGGTGTAGCTGGACTGCGTGCGCAGGTTGGTGGTGTTGCAGATTTGTTGCAAGCATGCAGTGTTGAGTGTTGGCTGGAGAAGCGCGTAGACGCGCATCGCCACCTGGTTGGGATGGAGTTTTTTTTTTATTTTATTGCAACTTACATAAGATATTGGATATTGGCTGCGACGCGCTCCCCTGTCAAGCGACATCGGCGCTGAGGGCCGACGGGCCGAGGCCCTCCATCGGAGGCATGCAACACCTTTTCTTGGGTTGAAAATCTTTTAAAAAAATCTAAATTAATAATGACAATTTGCGTTACAGATATATGTGTGTGTATATTTGAATGACGGGCCATCTGGCATCCATGGACGAGTTGTAATAACACTTGACTGGGAATCCCCTCTCGGCCTCTTTCTGCGAGGGGGGGAATCTTGAATCCCTACATCCCAGACCAGCTTCCCGACATCATCTGGTAAGCTCCCCTGTGTAAGTGGGTTGATTTTCCCACGTTTTGGCATTTGTAAACGTCTCTGCCCATCAACCCTCCCTCCGTCTTCCCACTCATCGCCATCGCTCCCCAGGCCCGTGTTTGTTCTTTGGCCCGTCAAGTAAACTTCTGGCAAAGAGCCCCCCATCAAGTGCATCCAAACGCCATCTCTCATGCATGCTAGTCATACCATAGCCTCCTCCGTGCAACTGACCGCTCCATGTCCTCGATGTCTGTCGTGGCATTGGCAGCAGCACTCGCCCATATATCTACATATACACACACGCAATTCGCTGCCTTTATGTTGACGTTTTCAAAGTCCGAATCTTGGGTGATAAAATGGCACCTTCGGCCTTCCTTTTCCCCAGGACAGGCTCCGGTGTTCGCCGGGACGCCCCAGGAGTGCCCTCACGATCCCTGGTGGCTTCGGCGTAGCACGACGCATGGTACGCGCGGTTGCCAACCAGCACGGCGTCCAGCCAAACCCATTCTTGGGCCGTGTCGAGCCACTTGTTTTCGAACTTCTCTTGGCAGATTGGGCATACGTTGTTGATGCCGCTGGCAGAGTCAGGCACGGGAATGTACTTGGGTCCCTTGCTCGCATCGGAGGCCTGCCCAGCCCCGTCGTCGGGCGCTGCGATGTGATCCGCGTCGACTGCCTCGCGAGAGCGAATCCAATCCTGCATTCGCCTTAGCATTTCCCTTTGCAACATCGCTGAGGCATGGGCGTTTCAGACATACCTGACTATCCACGTACCAGCTTCGGTGCGTGCCTCTCTTCTCGGCTTCCGTTATTCTCTGGTGAACACCAAAATGCCAGTCCATATGGGCCATCTTCTTCTGCCTTCCCTCCTCATCCGTCTGAAATCGTCGTCCACATTGCGAGCAGGGCGGACCAAGATTCTCGTGAAGCGCAGCAATAGCATCAGGCCGGAACCTGGGACTTGTCAGATATCGTGTGAAATATCGTGTGAAGGACAGAATAAAAAAGGGGCGAAAGAGGTGGAAATCAAAACACGGCACGTTCAGGGGGGGTAATTACGTACTGTTGTTTCAAGGCGGCCGAGTTCAGAACAGACGTCTGACGACCATCAACTCCCTGTCGGCTGGCCGTTGCCTTTGCCGTAGCCAATATGCTCGAGATGTTCGGAGGCAGGACTGACTGGCTCGGTGGAGGAGGAGCGGGAGGAGCGGGAGGAGCGGGAGGAGCGGCCGCGACAACTGGCGCGCCAATGCTCGAAGGTGTAGCAGACGGAATCATGCCTGCTTGGCGAAGCTGTTCCAGCAAGAACATCGGGTTCTGCCGAGGCGGCTTCGGTGTCTCTGCGAGGCCCGGAGGAGGCGATCGAATGGGAGCGGTAGCAAATGGGGGCGCAGCAACGGCATTCTGTGATGATGCTGCCGCCGCCTGCCTAGCCATTAGTGCTGCCATGGCTCCTGGTCCCAGGAGAGAATCGAGCGTTACTTGAGGCCTCAGCTCAGGCGCCGAAGCTGGGACTGAAGCTACAGGCGCAGAATGAGGTGGTGGGTGGCTTTGAGGGGGCACATATCCAGGAACTGGCGTCGAGTTCTGGGATGATGTTGCCTTCATCGTCACGGCAGCAAGTTCAGTTACTTTGTTTTTAATAAGCTCCAGCTGATCGGGCGGCAAACTAGCATTGCGCACCACGCCTTGAAGATCCAGCAGGGCTTTTAGTCTGTTTTGAACACTATTATCATTTGGGTTCTGTGCGAACTCTGCCCTCATGGCAACAATCAAATTCTGAATGTCATTGCTCAACGTTTCTACACTTATCCCAGCCAGTGTCCCCGCCCCTGCAGACCCATATGGTCCGGAAAGGGGCGGTTGGAAAGAGGCCGGTATAGAGCCATGTGGTTGAGGAGTTGAGGAGATGGGGAGGAACTAAGGGGGCCCACGGTCAGTACCAGAGCGGTGTACGTGTAGGGACAGGAGCAGAGGGCGACTTACCTGCTGTTGGCCGGGGTATGGCGGCTCGGCGTGTCTGCCGCCGTTGGGATAGACGTACTGCTGCGGAGGAAACGGGCCAGCCGGACCGCCAGGCCCTCGCATGCCCGGCGGCGTGGGAGTGTTCCGGTGAGGTAGCATGGCAGAGCGCGGCAGTCCGGGCATGGGTCCCGTCTGCGGCATCGTCGCGGCTCTGGCCTTTAACAGAGCATTCTCTATCGGTCGAACGAGCTCGTGCGAGAAGACGGGGCGTGTGTCCATGGATCCGGGAACAGGATCCTTCCAGGTCCTGAGCATTTCTTCCATCTTCCTCCGCACGTTGAAACCGACGGCGGTATATGATTCCATGAATGTCTTGAAGAGATTCCGGCCAAAGTACAGCGTGTATGGCGTGCCGACATTCTTCACAATCGAGTCGAGCACGTAGAGGGCGGGTAATTTTTTGGCCGGCGGTGCCTACTGGTGGGTTAGATACGCAGCTCATCACAACACGTGGGTTTTGCTTCGTGGGAAGATTTGTACCTTCAATATGTGTTGCTGAAGAACCTCGGCAATAGCCAAGGCGTGTTCTGTATTCTCTCTCGCAATCACGGTCAAGTTGCTAATTTCGAACCTCATGTTGGAAGAGAGATCTTCCAGAGCATGGCGATAGTCCTCCGCAACCTCGTCGGCTTCCGACATGATTGAAGCTGAATTCAAGAGATCTTAACTAATGCCAACTGTTTCTTCACGCCTTCTCTGCCTGCTGGGGCAATCAAACTGGACCGTGACAAAGCCCTTCTCGGACCTGGGCCGATCCGCCGTGGCAGGCAGCGAGCGCACTTGGTTGGACCCAGGGCTAGGAAAACAAAAGAATGGGGAAAGAGCCAAGCATAGACGAGTATGTTTAGGATGGTAGAATTTATATCCAGAGATTCCCTCCTGGGTGCATCCACCTTTGCCAACAGCAAACAGCCGCCTGCCTCAGCTAGGGCGACCTTTCAAGTACCGCACGCAGTGGTATCGCAGTCGGACATGCTTTAGAGGATGCCAGACACTGCAAAGCGCCTCCCTGAGGGGCGCTTCTACCGACAGAAGGTGTATCCGGAATCCCCAGAGTCGTTGTTCATGCGGTGGTCCAGGACGAAGGGCAAGTTGTTCTTGTTGTTTGTTGTGAGCCACGGGGACAATCGGGGCAAAATCTTACGAGATGCGCTGAGCAGGATGGGGGAGGTGTGTCGGTACTCAAGGACATCAACGGGTCGCTTTGTTCATGTGCACGGCAAGGTCGATTTCTGTTGGATTGAAGGACATGCTGATCAAGGGCAGTTTGATGGAAAGGAAGGGCGTTCGGTCGTCGTCGTTTCGGTGATGAGGCACGGGTCACGTGTCGCTGCGGCTGGCCAAATCGGTTAGGTTCAGTGGCGCGCGTCCGTGAGGTCAGCCAACGAGACGACCAAGGTTCGATTCGCCAGAGTTCGCCTTTATCTTATCCGCAATGTTCAACGACACAAAGGCATTCATTCTGGGACACGATATTCAGCCCTCTGAGCGTGGATGGCATTCAACAGCACAAAGGCATTGAATGGGCATCCCGGGACAAGATATTCAGCCCTCTGAGCGTGAATGGCATTCAACAGCACCAAGGCATTGAATGGACATTCCGGGACACGATATTCAGCCCTCTGAGCGTGGATGGCATTCAACAGCACAAAGGCATTGAATGGACATTCCGGGACACGATATTCAGCACTCTGAGCGTGGATTCAGCCCTGACTAGCGAGGACTCACGCTCACTTCGCACGACACTTGTTTTTCACGTTTTTTATTCCTCTTCACGTCATGGGAAAATGATGTCTTTCACATCGCAATTACTCGTCTATATGTGGCTTCAAACGCCGAAAACCCCAGAGGCAGATAAATGACTAGCCAGATCCTCGCGAATCTGGGTTATACAAAAGGAAAATGCAGCGAGGGACTCCTCCGCACGCCAATCTTGGCCAGCATCCCATCTTGCAGTGTACAAAGGCACGCGTTCGATTCTTAGATTTGATTCATGTCCGCCGCGGAATATCGACTGCTGGTTGCAGAGCTTGTGTTCAGGTTTATCGGGTGCATGGCAGTGTCGGGTCGCTGAATCTCAGGCGCGAGGGGGCTATAGCGATCCTTTTCGTCGTGTCCGCTTTCGAGGTCGACGGGGGGGCTGATGGCTGGCCGGGCAGACTGCTTGTGCTTCTTATCGTTTGCGTCCCTGGCCTTTGGCCCGTTCCAGTTGACCGTCTCCTTTTTCCCGTAGCAGGACGAGGCACTGGAGGAGTAGCCCGGCAGAGACGACCGACGGCCCTTGGCCAGGGCGCCGTCGGCGCGGATATCGCGGGAGGTGATGCCTTCGCCTTTGTTCCGCCACACCAGGGCGCACACGATGTTCAAAACGCCAAAGATGAAGGCGAGGACGCCAGCGGCAAGGGCGAGGTTGAAGAGAGGCGGCGTGAGCTTGTCGCCCTCGTTGTCTGGCCTGTTGAGTTCCCCTAGCATGTTGCATCCCAGCAGGAGAATGGCAGCTCCCATGTATCCTACGCCGTGCGCCTCGGACAGCACTGGCCAGGTTGACCTGAAGTAGCCTCGGACTCTTGGGTGCACCGGGAACTCGGCGGCACTGAGGACGAGGCAGAGGATGGAGCTGAAGCAGAGCGACGCACACTCGAACACAAAGTAGGTGCGCGACTTGTCCACCTTGATGATGACGACCCAGTATGCCATACACATGACGAGGAGAGTGATGACGGTGCAGATACGAAGGCTCTGCAGCACGATCATTCCCACGGCGTTGTTGGCGGCAGGAGGGCAGCAGGAGCTGAACATCTTGCGCGGGGCGGACCACATTTTTATGCCTCGGGCTCAGAGGCACGATGACAGCCTGTAGGGGAAAGGGGACGTAAGCAAATGGTTAGGCCTCGCCGGCATGTGGCTCGAGAAGCGGTTGGCACATACATACAGGTCGGTGAAGAGATTGTCTCGTAATGAGAAGGAAGTGGGAGGAGCGGTCAGGTCGAGGCCGCAAGGAGGCGATGTGATGCCTACACGGTAGGTCGAAAAGACTTGTGGTTTTGTGATGAAGAGTCAGGATCCGATAGGTCGTTCTATAGGAGGAAGCAGCCTCGAGGTGGTTGTGTTTTTTTCTCTATCTTCACTTTTATCTTCTCTTCTCCAAAACAGACACGGGAGAAGGGGAAGGGAGAGGCAGGATCAAGAACGGCACAGAAAAGGCGATGGGGGAGAAGGTCGAGGAGAATAAAATAAAATAAAAGGAATGCGTGACGATGAAATATCAAAACTCAACAAAGGAGAAAGGCACCACTAGTGATTGTTCACCAGCAGCACACCATTGTCTACACGGTTCAATAGCGAAGAAGAAGACGCCGCCAAATGAGAGCGCAGCAGAGAATCAGGCCCGGCTGGGTCTTTAATAAGTCAGGGCCTCGCACAACCTTGCACCGTCAGTCAGAGAACAATCATGCGCATCAAAGGAGTCGGGACAAGAGGCCAACGACCAAGGGGACTCGTCCTTGTCAGCCCGCTCGCCCCCGTGTCAAGCAAAGCGGAAGCGTGTTTGACGGAGGCGCGCAAACGCAAACGAACGCCGGAGTGTACGTGTACACGCGCGGCAGCAAAGAGGACCTTGGCCTTGGTCGACGCGGGTTTCTGCGACGAGGTGTTGCCGGCGTTGCGATGCACGGGAGCCGGTGCAGCAGACACACGCTGCACACGGTCCACGACTCCGTCCATGGGACCAGTTGACATGAATTCGGGCTCGCGAGATCCAATCGTCCAGGCATCAAGACGCACAGGAAGCTACGGGGATGACGTCGGGCGGAGCGTGGATGGGCATCCAAGGTTTCACGGCCGGCGCCACGGCCCAGGCCAGAGCAGATGATTGCCCGGGCGGCTGCTTCACCGGCCAGAAGAGGCCAACGGTGAAGACGGCATCCAATGTACGGAGCGCGTCGACGTCCCAAGGTTTGGTTTCGAGTTGTCGCGGATTGGCCGAGAGCAGAGGGCAGCCGAATCGACGACGCAGCCCAGGTTCGACCCGCACGCGGCGCGGGGCGGCTACTGACACACGTCAGAAAAGTCGGGCGGCAACAAGTACAAGCGCCTTCGTCAGTCTCTTGTGCCACATGCCAAGACGAAATGCCTCCCAAGACATGCATAGTGCATGCACGCGTGCATGCATACAAGGCGCCCTTGTGGTTCCTGGATTCCCATCCTCACCAGTTGACCACCATTCGTCCACCACACCGTCGTCACGGTCCGTGGACATGGCCGCATCACGTCCCTTTGACGTCTGCGGCTACTCGGCTGCGTGGCCTCCCCGGCGTCGCGGCTCGTGCTGGGAGGAAGAGCGCAGGAGGATGGAAAGCAGAACGGGACAGGACAATCTTTTGCTTGCAAAAATAGAAAGACGTGCTTTTTTTCTTCCGCGCCTCACCGTCACGCCCATCCGGCCGCATCGCGTTACCACGCACGCGTGCGCAGTCAATCCCAGTTTGCCTCTCTCAACGGCAAACATGGTCCGTGATGCGGCGGGCTGAAACTTCAATCGTCAATCAATACCGTCATTAAGATGATACACGTGCGTACATCCGCCACCGTGTACCGAGTACGGAGTGCGGCAGTTGGTCGTGCACACTTGACGTTTGGTCAACTGGCCACGACTCACGAGTCCACGACCCACAACACCGGATTGGCTCCCTCAGACCTCCCTCCCTCTTCACCACTCCCCATCCGGCCGGCCGCTACTCCGTACTCCGTCCTCTACTCTAAACCAGCAACCAGCGACCAGCAACCAGCAACACCGTGTCCAATTCATCCTACAGCCCTTCTAATATCTGCCCCCAAAAAAAAAAAAAAAAAAAGGAGAGAGAGAGAGAGAGAGAGAGAGAAACCACCCGCCCAAACACCCACCACCATGGCCCGTGGCAACCAGCGCGACAAGGCCCGCGAGGCCAACCTGAAGAAGCAAGCCGCCCAGGTACCGCATCTGCCCTTGCCCTCCCTCCCCTCGCGGCAATCCCTCTCCCACGTCTCACGCACACACGCCACTGACAGTCGGGCCCCCTACAGAAAAAGGGCAACAACATGACCGGCACCGAGATGCAGCGAGCCAAGGAGACCGCCGCCGAGATTATGCGCCAGAAGCAGGCGGCCGGTACGTCTCTCCATATCCCGCCCGTCCCCGTCAAGACTCGAGACGTGCAAGTCGCTGACGGCCCACGCAGCCGAGGCCAGAAAGGCAGAAGCCGGCGCCAAGAAGTAAACCAAAACCCCCCATTGCTCGAAAACAACATTCCACCCGCCGGGTTTCCCATTGTCCAGACGTGAGAAGAAGCGGCGACGCAGAAGCTCAGTAATGGCTCAACGGCGAGCATCTACGGCGTATACAGGTAGGACGGGCAGCTCATCATTCCAGGATAGCCATGGCGAACAAGGGCGTATCGATTTTTTGAATAGTTTGGCGCTTGGGAATTCCTTCATGCCGGGCGCCTAATAAACATGTCATCAAACGCTCGGTTCGCTTGCATTCGTTTTGGGTGCCCAAATACTAGCGTGCTTCTACGTCTTGGGATTTCCGCCTTGAAGCCGCTCTCTCTCCCTTCCAAGTCCCAAGTCACGCCATGACGACGCCCTGCTTTGCACCTGCAGTACCATGCACGGGTTTTGGGTCTTGGACACAGGAAAGGAAACGAGGAAAAACTGGCAATTATGGTGTCCGTTATCCTGAATCCTTCTCGGCCCTTGTTCATCAAGAACGTTGTGCCGGCTTCCTACACGAGGTGGTCCTGCTCGTGCACACCAAAACTGACCGATGGAGGAGTTCCCCCCAATCATCACTTCTCACTATATCTGCCTTGCCCTCTCTGAAAGGAAGAAAAGAAATTACTGAACCGGCCACGTACGTTGCCTACATGCTCTTGACCCAGGACTTCGACGAGTAGAGGGTTTGAAGCAGTCGCATTTGATTATGGGAAATTTCCATCTCTATTGGTTTCATGGGCTAGAAAGCGAGTCTCGCTACAGTACAGCAAACTCATTTCCTGGTGCCCATGTTGATGGGAAGTGCACCTGGTAGTTCCAGTCAGCTAGTGCACAGGATTCGAGGGCGAGACGAAAACTGGGGAGGAAGCGGACTCTTGAGCTTACCAGGCATTCCGCCAAATGCGCCAACGCCTTGGACAGCGGGAGCAGGGAATGCCCCAGCGCTGCAAGAAGCAATACACTGGCAAGATCCATCACCATTGACAGTTCCCTGGCCAGGAGTAGCGCCAGGGCCGCGGCCAGCGCCTGCAGTAGCATTGCCCCCGCGAGGAGGAGCAACGCCTTGCTGTCCGCCGGTGATGGGAGTAGCTGAACCGGTGCCGTTCTGGGCGACAGCCATTGCTTGGAACATGGCATGCGTCTTGTCAGCAGTAGGGTTGACAGAAAATACCATGCCCTCGCCGCAGTGGCTCTTTGGAGTTTTTTGCTTGCAGTAGAACCCTTTTTTCGTGTGTGTTAGTCTTCTCAGCTTCCACAAAACACGTCTCGGTGATTTGACATACACTGAGGGTCGGTCGTATTGACCTGCCACATTTGCTGAGGCGGTGGTGATTTGGTATTGTTAGGATTGGGTTGGAAGCCAGAGTCTGAACCACCGGGTTTGGCCACGCATGGCTTTGCAAAAGTCGACTGAGTCACAGTGTGATTCTTGGAGAGGAACTTGAAAAGAATCATATCACCAGTAGCAACGTTCTGCAGTTGCTCCGGCGTAAACTTCAGCGCGTCGCCGCCAACCGTGACAGTATGAGTGGTTCCAGCGGCAAGGGCAGACGTGGAAGCACCTCCTTGAAGCGCATTTCCTTGAAGTGCATTGGATGCTTGGCCGCCAGCAGGAGCGGTAACCGTGGCGGTGACAGTGATTTTGTCGTTGACGGTAGTCGTGTCCGCGCCGATGCCGCCCGGGTTGACCCAAATGACAATCACGTCGCCGGGATTGGCAGAGACTGCTTTTCTATTGACGCCCTTGGCGGGGCTGACTCCATGATCGCCAGCTTCGGACTTGATGACATTTCGACTGAAGATTCCTGCCACGGGCGGGAAGACATTGGCGCCTCGTCGAGCCATGGCCACGGGCGCCACGGTGGTCAAGGCGGCAGTTGAGAATTTCATTTTTTGACGTGTGTAATTTGCTTGTGTAATTCCTTTCGAGATTGTACAAAGCTCGCACATGTGACGGGTTGAATAGCCAAGGCTCGTTAGCTGCCGTGGCCGGCTTAAATCCTATCAAAGGACACGAGCGAAACGAGTAGAGGACCTGCTCCTGGTTGGTAATATAAAATATTGAAGAGAACGAATGAAAAATGAAGTATGAAGAATGAAAAGTGAAAAGTGGTAAAAATTAAAATAAAGCAAGACTAAAGAGAGACGCTTGCCCAAGGCAAAAGGAAGGCTGTATTCAAAAGAAAGCGAAAGGCGGAACCTGAAGAGTATAAAACGAGTACGGCGGAAACGTTCGGAACTTCGACGCATGTTATATCTGTACAGACAGCATACTTTCTCGACAACCCCTGGTCATCCCTCGTTTTAAACTAGGAGAGCGCTGAGGGTCCCCCAGGTAACGGGCAAGCCTCCTGACGCAATCTATGGGGAGTGAGACAACGTATCATCAGCGCCTCTGATGAAGTGGCCTGCACCCCCCGGGGAGGGGGATGGGGGAGGCTGTTCACAACGCTCGACATTTGGAGAAGCAAGTTGGCCTCACGGCCTCACGGCCTCATCCCCTCCAGCCTTGCTGGGGGAGCGCAAATCTCGGGACCTGGAGCATCCGACTAGAAATAGGAAAAGGGCACCGTCGATTGGATCCTACCCCCGTGCGGTGGGAACCACGATGCCCAAGTGGCAGGCGCGGTGACAGATTTGTCTCGAGAGCTGTTTTGACATGGACTCGGTTGAGATGAGGTGAGGTGACTGGTGAGGTTGGCGGAAGTCCAGATGTTCCTGCAGGGTCTTGCCTGTTTTGAGCAGTGAGGACACTAGGATAACTAGTAGGAAGCAGCATCCATGTCTCTTTCCAATTCCACGAAACCCCTTTGAATGTCAACCTTGTCCCATCAACTCGCGACTACAGGACGGCGAAGCATGGAGTCGTTGACCGCATTTGTTTGTTAAGCCAACCGGTCTCCTACGGCACTCGGGAACTAGGCCTCCTCTGCCAATGGCCGCATTGATGTGGATTGATTGATGCATGTGGACAACATTCATCAGGCACTTGCATTTTGCACTTGCAGCCCCGTCTGTCAGCCATTGGGATATTTATTCCAGCCGCTTCATCGTGCTGCTTGCCTGCTCAGCCCTGTCTCCAGCCTCAAACCGCCAAACTTGGTGATGAAACGGAAGCTCGCTCCTCGGCGCATGCTCGCCATCGTCGGATGTCCGCCGATTTCAGAAGAGTCGGGTCAATTCCAGGCACGCCATGAGACATGACCGGCTATATGTTTTGCCGCATAATTGCCAGGTAAAGCTGCTGCGCGGTGTGGAAATGCAGCATGGTGAAACAAAGACGGGCAATGCGGCTAAAAAAAAACATACTGCATGGCTACCTCGGGTCATTGGCTGGGAATCTTGCACGACGAGGTGACCTCACAGCGGCTCCACTTTTATATAACTACCACATGACATTCGCTCTACTTTTCTGCAGCTGTAAAAAAGGCATACAGTAGTACAAGGATCTAAAGCATTTGATTATTTTTAGTTAAGCAGCACTGTGAGTACTATTGAAGGAAGAAAACAGAGAGACGTGAAATCGTACATTTATCAATGAGTAGACAGTCCTACTGTGAGTTGGTTGACAAGAGCGGGGGCCAGCGGGTCGCGGGCCAATTGTCAGGGGAAAATGGCCGGCCTACTGAAGTGTCACGCCACGCCGGGAGTCGCGGAGAATATGTTCCAGCCGCAAGGATATGGAACCGCTGTCGTCGCGTGGTCACTGATGATACCCACTGTGGGACGCTGTCGCCCACGGGCCACGGCCACGGCTTGCGCAGCCCTCTCTCCGCGTCGTCCAACAATGCGTCTGCTGTCTATTCCATCTTTTACCGTCGACGCAGTCAAGACTGTGGTTGTTGCTCTTGCTGGGCTTTCTGTTGCCCTTCAAAGAGCCCGGTGTAATAGCCTGCGTAATACCACGACATGAGGAGTCTCTTCAGGTTGTCATCCCGTACTGTCCTCGCGAGGAGGGATGAAGTTAGCACGTTTCGTCCATGTTCGACAAATCCAGGGTGACTTGATGGGTCCCGCAGGCAGCCGTCAACTTACTCGAGCCAAGGAGAGCTTGCGGCGCCGGCCCAGCCGAGGCAGTTTCCGATGCATCGTTTTGTGATGGCCGGGCTTGGTCAGAATATGACTCCTTCGTCTTGCCGTCAGCAGTGTTGGATGAAACAAGATGTTGTTCGGCGCCGCACAACGGATCGCCCGTGATTGACGCCGTTATACCCATAGTCCAGGGCCCTTACCATGACTTCCGGGTTTCCGCTGCCGGCAGAGACAGGTTGGGACGTGTAGGTTTGTTTGTTTGCTCCGGATGCTGTATCCCGCCTGACACAAATGTTAGTTGATGCGACGGCAATCGAGGCAACTTGAGCTGGTTCTGCTGTCCATTCACCTACAGAAAGCCTTGAGATTCTAGGTCTCTGACGCTTCCCCCCTTTGCGTGTATACTGTGATATTTCTGAATACCCATGGTATCAGTGGTTGGTTATACTTTGATGAGAAGACTGGAGTAATCGATACCTTGTACTCTGCCAAAGCCTCGTTCCAGGAGTCGATGAGCGCAGAGTCATCCCATACCTCCTCATGACTAAGCTCGACCTGTTCCGTGCCCATTGTGCAGGAGAATTGTATCATCAATCTTGGCGCTCGTTGAGCTGCACCCGACACCAACCAGCCCTGTGGCAAATGCAGGATGAAGCACGTACTGCTGAGCTCGAGTAATGTATGTCCAGGGTTGGCCGACGGTGTCGAGTCAAAATCTTCAAATGACGTATATAGCTTTGCAAAGCTGAACAGTATCAAGCGAGTATATCAAGTGCTGATGTATCGACAGCAGAGAATCCGGCGACAGCTCAGCCAGTTGCAGCGGCTATGTTGAAAAGGTTACGTTCAATGCAGACGGATTCGAGCCATCCAAACCAGCGGCTTCTCGTGCGGGCGTATGGTACGTAGCGGATGGACATTGGTGTAAACGTCCAGTGTTCAAAGTCGAATGTTTCAACCCGCATGACATCTGGAACCTGAGCAGACACGGACGGGCCAACTCGCAGCGGCTACCTGTAGAGCCCCACAGCCACCACCACCATCCTCCAAGTTTGCAACGACGATGCGCCTTCACCGCTCGCAACGCCGGCAGAATCTTGTTTTTTTATCTCTTCTTGCCCACGTCAGCTATCTGCACCGCTGCCACCACTTACCAGCGAGGCGGCAAATATTTGTCGTCGAAATGGCTCCAGAACTGAGAAAAAGAAAAGGTAAGTTTGCATACGTGAACCACAGAAGGTATAGCCGTTAATTGACTCTGCACAGCTGTTTCCGAAGTCCAGAAGAGCAACAGCGTCACCAAGACGGCTGACAAGTCCACGCCCAAGGGCAAGAGAAAGGGTACTGCAACGCCGCACATCCTCCAATATTGATACTCATATGCTTACCGCAGCAGCTGCCGAGGATGCCTCTCCAATCTCGTTGAAGAAGCAGAAGCCCTCTAAAAGTCACGCGGCACCCGAAAAGCCTGCTGCAAAATCAACAAAAGTATCCAAACCTAAAAAGGCAGGCAAGGAGGCCGAGCAGACCGAGGAGGAGGAAGAGGTGTTGGAGTTGGATGACTCTGAGGACTCAGAAGGCGAGGACAATGACAATGTGAGGAATCTCGCTGCAGAGATTGACTCGGGTGATGAAGCCCCCGTCGACAAGGCCCTGTCCTTCAAACCTGGCCAGGACGTCGGCAAGATTCCTTCTGTCCCCAAGGAGCTCGCCAAGGCACCTCATGGAGCAACTGGCGAGCCGGGCGTTCTGTACATTGGTCGGATACCCCACGGCTTCTACGAGCACGAAATGAGGCAATACCTCTCCCAGTTTGGACCCGTCACGCGCGTTCGCCTGTCGAGAAACAAGAAGACCGGCGCCAGCAAGCACTTTGCCTTTGTCGAGTTTGAGGAAGCCACCACTGCTGAAATTGTTGCCAAGACCATGGACAATTACCTCCTGTTTGGACACATTCTCAAGTGCAAGACGATCCCCAAGGAGCAGGTCCACGAGGATCTGTTCAAGGGCGCCAACAGACGGTTCAAGAGGGTCCCGTGGAACAAGATGGCCGGCCTCCATCTGCAGAAGCCATTGGCAGAATCTACCTGGAAGGCCAAAGTGTCCAAGGAGAAGACTAAGCGAGCCAAGCGGGCTGCCAAGTTCAAGGACATGGGATACGAGTTCGACGCTCCGGATCTGAAGGACGTACCGCCTCCGCAGCCAAAAGATCAGGTTGAGGAACCAAAAACTGTAGAAGCTGCCCCGGTGGCGGAACCTGCCGAAGCAGAGACCAAGGCATCAAAGAAGCCCAAAGTCAAAGCGCTTGCTGCCGAACCCGACAAGTCGATACCCACGCCCAAAGCCAGAGCCGCCAAGGGTGCCAAGGGCAAAGCGAAGAAAGGGAAGGCTTAATTCTAGGATTATTGGCAAAACAGTCTTCTTATGCGCATCTTTACGTCTTGGCAATAGCGTATCAGGTAGTAATGTCTTCACGTTTTATGTCTAGCCGAAGCAAGTACTTCCCCTAAGCCCCAAGAAAATCTTGACCGTGTTGAACCCACGAATGCTCATGTGGCACTTGTGTGGCCATGTTTTATCATTCAGCAGATGTAGGTAGCACGGTGTACCTCATGAGACATACAAATAGTCCGGTCGGTGAAATGTACGCGCATAAGCGAACCCACGGCACTCACAGGGACGCTACCCGCTGGTCCGAAGAAAAGAGGGCAGCCGAGCAAGCAGTGGGATTATGAAAGGAGAGTCCATCTACTTCGCGCGAGATTGTGAAGAAGCCACGGGCATATATGGTCTTGTTCATTAACGTGATGGCGAAGATGATTGTAAGATGAAGAGAGAAGACAAAAAAAAAAAAAAGGAGCCGCAGGATCCACACCGGCTCAAGTGCCAGCTGGAGCTGGAGCCCCGTGATGTGAATGACTAAGCAGGTTCCGTCCACGCTCGCTTGGCGTACCTAATATAAGACACGAGAACGAACTATGAGAGTTTATTCAATTAAATACGATGGCATAGGCCAAGCTGCCCTCTTACGGCCATCAGATACATGTACGGACAAGCCAGACTCGTCTTGGGAAATTATTGCGCCAGTGTTTGCCAAGGATGAAGCCAAGGCTTGGCGTGGATCTCGTACAAAACTGGTCAGCACATGTCGGGCCAAGGATACGATGCGCGTATTGGAATTGAGATGCATCCACGAAGTATCGTCTGACGACGAGAGAGAATCGCAAGCAAGCATATGTTTCGTTTACTTGTAGTTGGATTTTCTCCTCTTTCTTTTTCCTTTTTCTTGGTGGTGGTGGTCGTGACAGCGCAGGCGGCGGGGAGGAAAGTTTCAGCGACTTTACTGTGCCAAATCTGGTCGTTTCACCACTAAAACAGGCGGCAAGTTGACTGGCCGTGGCCCCCGCGACCCGCTAATCCTACATTCCATACCCGCTATTATTTCTGCACCTTCAAACGTGCTGCCTCGGCGAGGCTCGTGCTGCATTTCACCGTTGCAGCCGCGTCATGCCCATCGTACAACCGTCAACTCGATATTGTTCTCGTCGCCACCGCCCGTGAGCCTTGGATACACGAGCACGATCAAGCGGGCCGCTTCACCACCGCGCTGTGCGGCTAAGATGTCGTCAACAGCTGCGGGTGAGCCCGCCCAGGTCGCCAATTCGGGTTCGTAACCTGTCCCCTTGTGCCTCTGTCAATGGGCCACCGTGTTCTAACCGCTGCCACGGCATCTACAGCTTCCAAAAAGAAGAACAGCAGAAAGAAGAAGAATGCCAACAAGAGCAAGGATGCCGCACCACTGAGCAACGGCGATGCGGATCACCAAGACGCCCGGGATGGCAATGATGACGAAGACGACCAACTTGTACGTGGTAGATGCCGCTTGACAATAACGGATGCGCGAGGTACATAAACCAGCTGGTCACGTTTGCTAATAATCGAGTCCGGCACCTTCAGAGCACTGCTACAGGAAACACAAATAGGCCAGGGCCAGACGGCAATGGACACGACCTCGAACCATCCAAGCCCGCCGACGGGGCTACCGACGCAGACCCGACTGCGAAACTGGAAGCGATGGGGAAAGAACGAGAGGCACTCAGGGCCCAAGTGGAACAGTTTCGCAAACAACTGGAGACCATTCAGGAAACACACCAGCAAGAAGTCTCGCAGCTGAAAACCGACCTTGAGGAAAGCAACTCCGCCAAGGAGCACGCCGAAGAGCAGTACCAGACCCTCCTGGACCGCGTCGAAAAGATCAAGGAATCGCTCAGCGGCAGGCTGAAACGGGACAAGGCCGAGCTTGAGGAAGCCAGGGAGAGAATAGAAGAGCTCGAGGCGCAAAACGAGCAGCTGCAGGGCTCGGCACATTCCACGGGGGAAGATGTCGAGAAACTCAGGGAAGAACTCCAAGACGCCAATAGGGAGCTGACCACGCTGCGAAGCCGCAGCAACCTCTCCACCCACAACTGGCACAAGGAAAAGGAGGAACTGACGAGGGCAGTGCAGCACCTCAAGGAGGAGATGGAGGCGACAGCAAATGCCATGGGCGAGTGGGAAGTGCTGGCCATGGAGGAACGCTCCATCAAGGAGAACCTGGCGGATAGAGTCGGTGATCTCGAGGAGCAGATCCGGACGCTGAGGCAAAATTACGAGGCTGCTGCCGCGGACCGCGATAGCCAAGCCACCCTCGTGGATAACCTGCAGAATGCCCTGCGAGAGATCCAAGACGCCCGCAAGAAGGAGCTGCGCGACATGGTTGAGACGACAGAGTCGCAGCTGCAGGCGCAGAAACAGGCCGCCCAAGAAGCTGAGGCGCGGGCTGCAGAAGCCGAGGCGGCCAAGGACGAAATGTCCAAGGAACTTGAGCGAACGGCGCCATTTGAGAAGGAGGTCAAGGAGAAGAATTTGCTCGTTGGAAAGTTGAGACACGAGGCCATTGTACTGAACGATCACTTGACGAAGGCGCTGCGGTATCTAAAGAAGACCAAGCCAGAAGATAATGTCGCCCCCCCCCCCCCCCCGGGGGGGGGCATCGCACACACGTTTTCACACGCCGTCGCTAACCTTGCATACAGACAAGTCGTAACGAACCACCTCCTCCACTTCCTGACCCTCGACCGCGGCGACGCCAAGCGCTTCCAGGTCCTGCAGGTAATGGCCGGCTACTTGAACTGGACCGAGGAGCAGCGCGAGCAGGCGGGCCTTGCCCGTCCCGGCGGCTCAGTCGGCAGCTTGCGGCTGCCTTCGTCCCCTTTCCACAGGATGCCCAGTTCGCCTTCGCTGAGCGCTGACATCTTTTCGGAACCCACGTCAGCCAAAGACAAGGAGTCTCTCGCTGAGTTGTGGGCAAATTTCCTGGAGAGGAGCGCGCAGGAGGGTGCCGGTGACGTATTGCCAAAGGACCCTGGGTCACGCAAGGCAAGCACGAGTAGTATGACGACGGGCACGACAGTGGCCAAACCCGCGTCCGGACCGTGATGGAAGGTCGGTGCACGGTTGCAAAATAGGCGCGGGAGCCGCTGGGTGTCTAGACGCCTCTGCGTGCGGCGCCAAACTTTGAAACACGGGGCATTTGGGATATTCCCGTGGAGTTTCTGTAGACGTACGACGGTGGGAATGCATGGCAGTTGCCTTCTTTTTTTTTTTTTAAGAAATGGGGTGGGGGGAAAAAAGACCCATGTCCTACTTTACATGTGCAAATCATGATGCGTAACCAGACCACTGAGACCACGTACGTGTGAATTCACACCTGTGTGGAATATGCGACATGCTGCCCTGCCCTCCCCAGCCGACCTACCCTACTCGTTTCGCTGCGTCTGCCGCAACGGCTCCAAGACGCTGTCGGTGTACGTCTCGGCATCCTTGGCGATGTCGTCAATGTTGATGCGATGGCCCAACGCATCATTCACGCTCTCCACCACCTCCCTCTCCTCCATCATCTCCCTCATCAAGTGCCCCTCATGGGCCCAGTAGGCCTGGCACCTCTTGCGCAGCTCCTCGTCCCTCATGGCGGTGTTGTTGATGATGCCAACGGCGTTGAGCTTGCTCTTGACCGTCAGCAAGGCCTTGGTGACGTCCTCGACGCGCTCCGACGTACAGGGCAGCCGGACAAACGCGCGGTTCGTAGAGGACAAGTACAAGACGAGGCCTAGGACGGCGTCGAGAGCAGCCAGCGCGAGGAGCCTGCAGTTGCGCAGGGACCAGTAGAAGAAATGGACGTCGTCGAGGCGCAGCGCCCTGGCGTTGGCCTTGTGGTTGTACGACGCGACGGCGTAGACGTCGAGCGCGGCAACGGCCAGGGACGCAATGGTCGCGAGGGTGCGCCACCGGGCGCCGTGGCTCCCCGTGAAGGAGGGGCTCGTCAGGACGGCGACGGCGGCCAGGTTGGCCAGGTGCGGCCAGAGGAGGGCCGGCAGGGCGTAGTAGAAGTAGGTCTTTGGCTCGTCGGCCTTGCAGAAGGGGCAGTCGGAGAGGACGTGCGGCCCGAACTGCGCGTACAGCAGGCGGCTTTCGAGGTTGACGAACCTGGCGCGCAGGGCGGCGTCGGCCTCGGTGAGGGCGTTGTCCCGGCGGAGGGCGGCCAGGCGCGTGAAGAGCACGTCGACGGGGATCTGGAGGCGGCTTTGGGTGCGGGCGAAGAGGTTCTCGGGCGCGAAGGGCGGCAGCGTCTTGACGAGGTAGGTTGCCGAGAGGACGAGGATGAGGGCGAGGGCGAGGCGGACCCGGGGCGGCGTCGCTTGCACGGGGAGGCTGCGGGACGGGGTGCGGATGGAGCGAAACCACGATATCGCCTTTGGCAGCAGCATGGGACCCAGGAGGAGGAGGAGGGAGCGGATGCTGCGCGATGTCAGTCGGGCGGGATGTTTGGGGGACGGGCGAGCGAGCTTACGTGTCCAGGGTGACGGCCATGACGGCGGCTAGGGGCGACGGTCGGTCGGTTGGTTGTTGGAAGAGGCTTCGCGATGCGAGCCCGGGCACATGGCGGCGTGGTGGAACGAGGTTGGTTTTAAGCTGTCCGGTTGGCTTTTTCCCCACCAGACAAGACACAGTGTCGTCACGGCGGGGCGGCTCTCGGCTGGCCTAGCCGTGCCGGGGGGGCTTGCAACGTGGTGCCGCTGCACTGGTGCGTGCCTGTGCCTGTGCCTGGCGCTGGCGGCTCCCGTCGGCGGCTGCGGCGGCTGCGGCGGCTCCCATTGTTGGCGTCCATGTCTGGTCGTCTGGTCGTGGCCGTGGATCAGCAACGACAACGTTCGAGCCTTGCCATGGCTGTTACTCCGGGCGCTTATCTTCAAAGATGCCTTTGTTGACAATACGTCAAGACGGAAACAAAACGCGCCCTGCGGCAAGACCACAGGCGCCTGGCGACGCAGCGCCCGTCGTCTCGTCCTCGCATCATCACGAGCGGCTGACCGCTGGGCCGGAACAAGTTTCGACCGTTCCCGAAACGTCGACGTTGTCTTGTGCCCTGAGTCCTGGCAGCATTCAAGCAGCCGCACAAGCGTATGAAGTGCTCCCATTGTATTGTTACTATAATACCCTGAGTCGGATGCGAATGGCCGTATTTCTGGCTATTTTGTGAATTTGCGTAGTGGCGATTGTTTTTGGGTTGCATCATGAATTTGGCACAAAGATTCGCATGTCTATCTGGCTCCGTACTCCGTACCCATTTCCCGCATCAATCAACACCCGAAGTATGTGGGGCCGACGCCCAGCCTATTTCAGACCGAAAAATCTCCCTCCTCACGATCCGCCTTTCCAACTCTTCATCCTTCAACTACGACCAGACCACATGCATGCAGGCGCAGCGACACGATCAACGACTCCCGTAACATCAGCTAGCAATGAAAATGCGTCATACCGTGCCGTTCCCCCTTGGCTCTCTGGACCCATCTTCCGTGACTGCAATTTGGCACTTTCGAAGCTTTGGCGGCCTCTCCGTGGTCGTCAGAGTCAATATGCTGCCTAGATTGACCCCCAAAGTACCCTGCCAAGGGTCATTCTCTGTCGTGTTACAAAGTCTCAGCATTTTTGCAATGAGGAATTTTGCGTCAAATTATCAAAGAGATACATGCTGTCACCGTGCGTCACCACCCACCACCCGGCCCGTATCGTTGGAGAAGCCTTAAAATTAACAACTTGCCGTGAATTACTTGTCGGGATTGTCTGGTTTCCTACACAATCTACAGTGCCTTCTTTTCTTCCGACCCGTGCCCGGTCTGCGTTCCGGGCTTCTGGGCCTTCTTCGCCGGCAGTGCCACCCTCGTCTTTGACTGCGCGAAGATTTGCCCGCCGGCAAACATGACGATCTCGCCGAGGAGGGCAATGACTCCCGAGCAGGCAAGCTGCCACGACGGAGCGCTGACACTGCCCATGGGCGCCCGGGGGAAGGAGATGATCCATTCGGCGTAGTACGGGAACCAGCCGTACGGCAGCCAGAACATGGGTTCCTTGCCGTACCAAAAGGGGAGCACGTATTGGGGCACTTTGATGGCGAGCATCCGCATCGCCGTGAGGTAGCTGTCGAACCGGGCTCGCGAGGCCTCCATTTTTTTCTCTGCAGACCCAACAGCCGATTAGCACTTGTCTTCTCACGTAGCCCTCAACCGTCGTGTTGTTCTCGTGTTGCACGTACTGGCTGCGTCGAGCTCCTCCAGCAGCTTGTCATGCTGCCTTCGCAGCTTGGCCCATTTCGCAAACTCGTCCTGGCTACTCGTGGCGTTCAAGTCCCGCCGTACTCTGAGGTATTCGGCCTGGAGCCTGCGCTGCTCGGCGGCGGCTTCAGACGTCGAGACGGGGAGATAGTTTATCAAGGTCCAGATCTGCCACGAGTGGTGTCATTGAGCTGTTCTTCTCGTGCTACACGTGCCATCGCTTACCAGGTTGTTGATCTGTGCCGCGCCCACGGCGGTGGTGAGCTGCGCCAACACCTCGACGGCAAATATGAGGACCAGAATCGTCGTCATTTTGTTTTCCCAATGGCAGGTCGAACAGGACTCGTCAGGGTCGGCGTCAGCTCGTCGAGTCGTCGCTGAGCAACGTCTGTTCTTGTGGCCCACAGAAGCGACCCTGGCGTTCCGCGGCCCCGATGGATTGCATTTTCAGAACCAAAACTACGTAATGCAAGCGTGGACCAGTTTCCACCCATCCGCGCTACCCTATACATCGTTTCAGTTGCCGACTTCAACACTCCATGATTCATTCCCAAACTACATCTCTCTCACGAAATAATGTCGACTGTTGTTGACGACGGCCTGGGGCGGCGGTTGCAAGATGGCGCTCCAGAGGAAGTATACGACGCAATCTCCCAGGAGCTGTCACGAACATACCGTCCCTACATGGACATCGAGCTCCTGCCCAGGGGGTACGAGACAGAACTCGGGAGTTCCTTTTTCGTCAAGAAAGGCCACCGCCTGGCGATACCGAAATCTCGACTCGTCCAAGCATTCGCAGTTGCTCGCCGGATACTGCTCGCAAGCCACCTGGACGAGCCGGGCAGAACATGCGCCAGTGATGTCCGCAGAGCCACCAGCGTCATGTTACTCCTCGACTCGGAGCACCTCACGGCCGCCAACGCGAGAAAGCGGCTGCTGGGACAGACACGGCCGGCGAACGAGCGGGAGACACAGCTCAAACGGGAAATGTACTTCGTGAACAGCCTGTTGTCAAGCCACCTCCATCGACACGCGAAGTCGCCCATCCTCTGGGCCCACAAGCACTGGCTGCTGCGGCAGTACGCCGAGGCCAGGATACCCATGGATCTGCGGCACGACTTTGAAAGCGTCATCCACGTTGCCGCAGAGAGGCACCCCAAGAACTACTACGCATGGACATACGCAAGGGACCTCTTCGCGTCCAGGGCCAAGGTGCACGCACGCTGCTGGGACGCGCAGCAGGACGAAGACCTTGTCCAGATGACAGCCGGGTGGTGTCGCCGTCACCACGACGACATCTCGGGATGGTCGTTTTTGCTGCGCCTCGCGCTGGAGTCGCCACGACACGCACACGACATGTTTCGGCAAACGGCCACGCTGGTGCGCACGTACAGCTGGCGCGGGGAGTCGGTATGGAATTTCCTGCGCAACCTCGTGCTGGTCCCGGCGCTCAGAGACGATTCCGAGATCGAGCACAGTTTCGTCGACCTGTGGCAGCACGTGCGGCAGGACGTTCAGCATGTCCAGGCTCTGGATGCCAAAGTTTTGGACAGAGCTGCCGACTGGGTCGGGATACCGTCTTGCCAGCGTAATACAAGTTGACCGAAATGGCGACCTGGCCTGTTCTGGAACGGCGGGAACGGCGGCAGTTTCCCGGCGATGTGACGGCCGAAAAAGAAAAGGTGCTGTCTGGTTAATCAACCTCCACTCACACGGACAGGTGACTTGTACACGCGCCATGGCCGTGAGCGCGGTTTCCTGAAAGTGCAAACCACGGGCGTTGAGAGAGGCTCTGTAGTTGTGCCGTCTTTTTCTCGGTGTGCATGGCAACGCCCGCCGGTGGCATTCCACCGGCGGTGCTTGTTTGATCTACACACACGTATGTACCATGCTCTACGGAGTACGGCGACCGGGAACGCAATCAAGTTGTAGTTTGCCCTCAAGCCACAAGTAGACAAAATGAAGACCACCACTACTTCGAGAAGCTGCCCGAGGCAGTGCTCTCGCGTAAGCCTGCGGCAGAAGAAGCAGGACAGATCACGGCAGTAATGGACTGGCGTCACAACGGGATTTGGCTTGCCACGGCGACAGGCATGGCTTCTGGGCGTGAAAGAGGCTCGGGATGCTGCTCAGGGTGTAGCTTGATAATGAAGGGTCTGAAACAAGCCACGGCCGCATGGCGGCTAAGAATGGTGGGCGTGGTAACTAGTATGAAGTTAATGTTTATGCGGCGTTTCTGATACTTTGGAAGACGCGGCGACGCGGCTCTCGCGTGGCTCAATACATGCGCCGCTTGAAGCAGGATCTGCACACAAACTACGTAACGCTCTAGTACCAGAGTCATGGTCATGTATATGTTGTGCAATGGTGTTGATATTATTGTCGTTAGTCAAGTCGTGGCGCACAAGTGCTTACTACTACTACTACTTATCACTGCCATAGAGATCCGTGTCCCCCTGCCCCCTTTCTCCCTTTCCCTCTTTCCCCCTTTCCTCCGGCTCTTCCCTTTGACTGCCCAAGGTCATTGCCACTCATTGGTCAGTCGACTTTGGAGTGGTGTGTTCCTTGCCAGCAAACGGTTCACTTGTCCAAGAGCTTCGACGAGAATATGCACATGCAAGCGACTGCCTGACAGGAACGCTGCATAATAAATTACACGTATTGAAGCGGCGGACGGACGGCAGACGCCGTGGGATCGACATGGCGGCAACAACGAACGCTGTGGTAAAGGGTAAGGGCTGGTCAAGGGTCAAGGGTCAGACGGAGCTTGCTAGTGTCGCCACGAGGGACAGGCCTCCTGGCCTAGCGCGCCAAAGGTGGCCCGGCGGAAACGGATCTGCCGATGGAGACGGGCAAAAAAGGTTGACGACGCAAGAAATCGACGCAGTCCGGGGTTATCGTTTCAAGGTTTGGTGTGTGCAGGTGATGCCGTACGCCACCGATGCACAGCCAGCGGCCCGGCGCCAGTGCTTGTTCCTGATTGTGACATCAAAATTAACTAATTGTGCGCGGCAATTTAGGCACGCACAAGCATGAAAAGCAGGCACGGTTGCTGCGCAAGACATTCGCTTGCATAGCCGAAGCGGAAAATGGGCAACCAATGGTTCCTGGATACGTGTCCTAGGCGACCAGCACCCAGTACTCTGTGCCTGCTGCACTCATGCTTTCAGGTTCTTCCAGCGTCCCGAGATATTTGTCTTCTCGTTATGAACAGGCCCCTAAGCTGGGCGTATCAGGACTATGGAGCAAATACGAAGTAGGTACTCCGTAGTATTTAGCAAGCCTGCTCATTGCCACCGGCGGATCGCCAGTCCGAGAGTTGAGCGGCCACTCCGGAGCCACTTTGCGCCCGGGGGTTACCCAAGTAGTACTAGGCGTGATAACTACCTAGGTACTTAATGATTTAATATATTTTTCTCGTCCCAATAAATAAAGCCGCCATCCCTTCAACGCCGCCCCACGGCAAATGTACAGACGTTCAATTGAGCGCTCATCTTGACAAGGCACTTTCAGTGGCATATTGAACCACATGCACCAGAAGTACTCTCCGCTAGCATGGCCTCCAGCTATTAGAGCCACGTCGCACATGAGAGTAATATCATGACTCGATTGAGCCTGGACTTCAGATGCAATTAACTAGCCGCTGGCCAGGGTGGGTAATGTGGGATGAATGACCAAGTATAAGTAAGCAGGCTGCATGTACTCCGCACTGCGCAGCATCTCCCCGAAGATCAAAGACCTGGGTAAGTGTCTTTGAGGGTACAGAGCACAGAGAGTAGGGCTATCTGTAGGCGCAAGTACCCTCAAGTACTCAACTTGAGTACTAAAGCAAGTACCGAGTTACCTTAAGTAGCTACGTACTTAAGTACCTAGGTACTTCTTTACTTCTTGGCAGTACCCGTAGATGGCACGAGTCATTGTTCCTCCATCTCGAGGCCTCGACCCGCAACGCCGGGCTGTCGTCCCTTCTATGTTTCTTCCCATCAAGGATCCTTGAGCGGCTGCAATTCGTCGCAGTCGGCATCAAAACTATTACTCCGTACTACTTGCTAGTGCTGGCTAGTCTAGTACGGAGTGCGTGTGCGTATGTACGGTACGGAGCAGCCAGTAACGTTACCAGACAGGCAGCACTGGGCTGAGACTGGTTGACAACTTGAGACTCTTTTAGCCCAGCCAACCCGGCCAATCGCTGGCATTCCCCCCACATGTTCTCTGGAGTCTGGACAGGAGAAGAGGAAGTCGTCAACCCATTCAATCATGGCCTCGTACGGAGTAGCACTCGCTCTCCTACGGAGTACCGTTACAACTTACCGCTACGTCGGGCGCCAAGATGGGAAGGGATTGGCGCTGCTCCCAATCGATGTGCCTCGCAGGCCAGCAACCATCTCCTTTCCAAAGTTCACAAAGCGGTACTCGGTACCTGCCTGACCTGACCCCTGCCTGCTCCAGCTCCAGCTCCAGCTCCATCTCTCCCCTCGGGTCGGTATCCTCAACATCCAATATCCAACATCCAATATCGTGCCCACCGACGACACCTGAACTTCGCCGTCTCCAACCTCGCTCATTAATGCATCTTCTTGTTTAGACTTTTTCAACACCTTCGCGGCCTCTTCTCGTTGTGTATATTGGCTCTCTCTCTTCAGCATTCACGCGGGCTTTCTGTTCTCGTTTCGAGTTTCGTTGTACTTTTCTCATTGGGCCAAGGGCAGAACCAACCCATCTGCTCCAGTACATGGCCCATTTCTCATTTGTTCGCCCATCACTCTCATCATATTTGAATTTGGACGGCGTTGTCTCCTCCCGTCGCTGATTTCTCGGGGATTTACATATCGGCAACAGCCCGGTGTTTCGGCGGACTCGCTGTTGTTCATACACATTTTCGGCGTTCCATGTTCGGAGACGCTTCATTGGCTTCTTCCATCACATTGCGGCTTGCGATGCTTCATGATCACTTGTAATTGCCTAACCCTCTGCATCTTCTGAACGCTATCCGCTACTCGCTGCCGGAACTTGCATTCTCTCTCTCTGACCCCCGACCTCGCTTCTTGAATGATTGGACTGGGACCTGCCTCGTACCACGACTGCTCGCCAATTGCCACCTGTGCCTTTCGGACCGTGGCCGACCTTGCCGACCTACCGAGGGTAGACCAATATCGCACAACATTTGACAGTCTCACACAACTATCTCATCATGATACCAGCTGTGCTCCTGCTGCAACTGGCGTTATGGCCCCTGTCGGCATCTGCCTTCTACCCCTACACGCCCGTATGGCGCGAAGAAGAGGAGCATCGCACCCCAGCCGGCCAAGCCAGAAGAAGTACGGCTGAAGGGCAGGCCCGAGATGGCTTGACATTGAAAATCGAGAAGAGGAAACCGCAGGTCGGTAGCTATTCCAATTCCGGTGCCTAGCAGCTTCATTAATTCTGAGGCTGCGTAATGCTAATCCGTGGAACAGGGGAGTGACTCTCCTGCTCAGCTAGCCGCCGAGCAGGCTGCCTGGCTCAAGGGTAAGTTCAAGCATGCTCGTTCTGGAACGCCAGTCGATACCATGGAAAAGAGACAGAGTCAATACAAAGTCATGGAGGCCGCGGAATCAGGCGAAGCCATGACTGCCGGAATCAGCCAGGACGGAACGGACTATTCATATTTTGTAAAAGCAGGCGTGGGATCCAAGGGAAAGCAGATGTACCTGCTCGTCGACACCGGGGCTGGATCAACCTGGGTAATGGGATCGGGCTGCACCGACACACCTTGCTCCACGCACACACTGTTTGGTCAAGCTGATTCCAGCACGTTTACCAATACGGGCAAATCTTTCTCCGTCTCGTACGGCTCTGGAACGGTCCAAGGCGACCTCACTACCGATACAATCAGTGTTGCGGGCATCAGTTTGAGGTACACCTTTGGTCAGGCCTCAAAGACGTCGAGTGTGTTTTCGCGCTTTGCATTCGACGGCATTCTCGGCATGTCGATGACACAGGGCGACACCGACAACTTCATGAAGGCAGTGGCGGAGGGCAAGAGGCTCGACAAGAATTTGTTTAGCATCCACCTCAATCGGGCATCAGACCGGTCGAACGATGGCGAGATCAAGTTTGGGTCGACAAATCCCAGCAAGTATACAGGGGATATAAGCTTCACCTCGGTCGGCTCAAAAAATGGTGACTGGGCTGTGCAGATGGACGACATGGCCTACGATGGCAAAAAAGCAGGTGCTGGGGGCGTTCTGAGCTACATTGACACTGGCACTTCATTCATCTTTGGCCCTCCTAGTTTGGCCAAGAAGATTCACGATACAATTCCGGGATCCTCGAGTCCTGACGGATTGACCTACACTGTTCCCTGCGACAGCAACAAGCCACTGAAAGTCACCTTCTCCGGAGTCGACTACGAGATCTCTGCCGAGGACTGGATATCACCAAAGGACACCTCGGGCAATTGTACCAGCAACATTTATGGTCACGAGGTTGTTGGCGGGGCATGGCTCCTCGGCGACACATTTCTCAAGAACGTCTACGCAGTTTTTGATGTTGACCAGAAGCGCGTTGGGTTTGCGGTTCCAGCTGACTCCAAGGGCGGGTCGAGCTCCATGCCCAGCAGCGGCAGCAGTCCGCCGACGTCGACAACTGTAGGTCCGACGGCTGTTACTGCAACGTCACTGGCTACTGGTGTGACATCTCAGTCTGACTCTTTCACACAGTCCCAGCCACCAAGACTTGGTCTGAGCGGCCACGAAACTGGCTCTGCCGCATCTCGCAGTGCTCCTGCCAGGTCAACGGAATCGACAAAGTCTGCGGCATCAGGCGCGAGCTCGTGGCAAAGCGCCAAACTAGCTGTGATGATGTTGTTTGCGGGCTTGGCAGCTTCGGCCGTGTAAGGGATGACAATGGCGCTTCATTTTCCGCAGCGTCGTGTGAAGCAGACGGGCGCGAGAGGTGATGTTTGGCGGCATAATAATAAGGGCAGGCGAGTGCGATGGAAGTCCACAGCTCGAGGTTCTGGCATGATATTTGAGGGCGGATCTGTATATTTGTACCATATTCAAAATGACTCGATGGGACAAGCACATGCACATTATTATATATTTATGGGTTCTAGGTAGTATCACGGGCATTGCAGTTGCGCCCCCTTTTTCCCACAGCAATCTGTTAGTAAGCCGGTACGGAGCACGCAGTAGCGAGATGGAACGGGGCTGTTTGCGGCTTGTCACTGGCTGGCCAATCAAGATGCGGCTGGGGCGGGCGCTGAGAGCGGCAGCCCGCTCACCAGGCCGTTCAGCCAGGTTCACACAAGCAAGCTTTGTGGACCAGAGGCAGCCGCGTCCAGGCGTGGCCAGCCAAATGGGTTTCACATCCCATCCTCAGCCTGACAACCCATCTATCCGGTCAACCCAGTCACAAGTCACACCACAACCACGCTCTTTGTCTGTTCTGTTTCTTTGCACGAGCACTGCCACATCCAACACTTCAGGTCGCCTTTGCCCAGGTGCTCTTGGCGACGACGAGCATCCCGCGAACCTCCGAGGGTCACGCCGACGAGCGCATTCCGCTGCACAGAACAAAGGGGTCGGGTGAAACCCCTGCGTCTGCCCGCAAGGCGAAGATGTCTCTGGCGAGCGGCCGCACTCCCTCTGCTTAAAACAATGGCCGAGGGCGAGAACAATGGCGAGCCGGCTCGGCACGAGGAAGTCCAAGGCCTGCTGGCCGACGGCGACCTCGACGGCCCCCAAGAGGATGTCGTCGTCTACGGGGCCGACGAGGAAGGCAAGCAAGAGCACGACACCCGCGGCCACGGCCACGGCGACACATCACCATCGCCCCCGCGAGCAAAGACACCACGGGCGTCGAGCCGAGTGCAATTTGACCTGAACCCCGCCGTGATTGGAGTGTCCAACGGATCGGCTCACGGGGGGGCGAGGCCCTCGGAGGAGAGCTTCGAGTTTGACGACGATGTGGAGATGCACGGCCACCACGCGCACAGGGTGCCTCTGCTGACCGGCATGGAGGCACCCAGCGTCGCCGTTGCGAACACGCTTGGGGATGGCGCAGACGGCGACGGCCAACGACTGGAGCAGGCGATGCGAAGGCCCAAATCGGGACTCAAGTCGGCCTTTATGAACATGGCCAACTCCATCATTGGGGCTGGCATCATCGGCCAGCCATATGCTCTGAGACAGGCAGGTCTCCTGGCCGGCATACTGTTGCTCGTTGGGCTGACCGTGGTGGTGGATTGGACCATTTGCCTCATCGTCATCAACAGCAAGCTGAGCGGGACGAGCAGCTTCCAGGGCACCGTGGAGCATTGCTTCGGCCGCCCCGGCCTCGTGGCCATCAGCCTGGCCCAGTGGGTGTTTGCCTTTGGCGGCATGGTGGCGTTTGGGGTCATCGTGGGAGACACGATCCCCCACGTGCTGGCTGCCATCTGGCCCGATCTGGGCGCGGTACCAGTGCTCGGGCTCTTGACGGACAGGAGAGTCGCCATAGCCGTCTTTGTCATGGGCGTGAGCTATCCGCTGACGCTGTACCGCGACATTGCGAAACTGGCCAAGGCGAGCACCTTTGCCTTGATCGGCATGCTGGTCATCGTGGCGACGGTGGTGATTCAGGGATTTTTCGTGCCGTCCGAGGCCAGGGGGTCGTTTGGCACGCCGCTCCTGACCGTGAACGGGGGCATCTTCCAGGCCATCGGCGTGATTTCGTTTGGTGCGTTTCGTCCCTCTCCCTTGGCGGCTCACGTCGGCGGCAGGCTAACACGGGCAGCAAGCAGCCTTCGTGTGTCACCACAACTCGTTGTTGATCTACGGCTCTCTCAAGACGCCGACGATTGACAACTTTTCCCGCGTCACGCACTACTCGACGGGCATATCCATGATGGCGTGTCTCCTCATGGCACTGGCAGGGTTCCTCACGTTTGGGGACAAGACGCTCGGCAACGTCCTCAACAACTTCCCCCCGGACAACAGCATGGTCAACGTCGCCCGCCTCTGCTTCGGGCTCAACATGTTGACCACCTTTCCGCTCGAGGCGTTTGTCTGCAGAGAGGTGATGCTGACGTACTGGTACCCCGACGAAGACTTCAACATCCGGAGGCACGTCATGTTCAGCACCGGACTGGTGGCGCTGGCCACGGGCATCAGCTTGCTGACGTGCGACCTGGGCGTCGTGTTTGAGCTCGTCGGGGCAACGAGCGCCGTTGCCATGGCGTACATACTGCCGCCCATGTGCTACGTCAAGCTCACGACCAAGAGCTGGCGCACGTACGTGGCATGCGTGGTCGTGGCGTTTGGCGTGGCCGTCATGGTGATCAGCGTGGTCCAGGCAGTCGACAAGATGATTCACGGTGAGTCCCCCGCCTGTTGCACGTTGCGCACGCCTCGCAAGTCCCGGTTGCGTTCTAACTCGGGCAGGGTCCGACGAGGCGACTCGGTGTGTATGACGTTGCGGCGGGACATGTACATGTAATTAATCGTTAATTACCTACGTAACCATGGATGACACGGACACGACGCGACAGTGGACCGTACGCGTGAGCCAAGGTCGAGGAACCCCGTAGTTACTCCGTACCCCCAGCCCCCAGCCGACCCCGCATCGTCGCCGGTCGGCGGTCATGCCCCCCAACCAGCCGACCCCGCCCCGCTCCGACTTGAACACCAGGTACCTTAAGTAACCTACCTACTCGAGTGCTTGGGCAACTACTTCCAGCCTCCTCCCCGACAATCAACGAACCACCGCCTCTGCATTTGCAAACCTCACACGGCCAACATACACAACACACAACACGCAACACGCAACACTCAAACACAACGCATATATACGTGTCCAAAACCCAAGCACCATGCCGCCCATCACCCTCAACCACTCCTCCTGCCCCAAGTGCAGCGCCAGCATCCCCGGCGGCTCCAAAACCTGCTCCTCCTGCGGCGCCGTAAGTCCCCCCGCCCTTCCCTTCCTTCTATCCGCCCTCCGTCCAGTCCAGTCAGTCAAGCTCACCAGACGCGTGCTCGGTCGGCCAGACCTGTCCCAACTAGATGCGCTCCGTGACGGCGTCTCTCCCCCCCCCCGTGAGCCACGAGATGACGGCGTCCAACGGCTTGCGGCGTCCATGTACCGAGTGCGGCCGGGGGTACCTACCTAAGTACTTAACCTACCTATCTGTGTGCCTAGATGCCAAGTACTTTGCCAAGTACTTACGTGTGTGCACCTGACGGGCGGCGTTTCCGGCTCCGTCACGGGTACATTCGTCGATTGCATCCAGCTTCAGTGACGCGGCTGGTTTGGCCGGCGGGACTCTACGGAGTGCTAGTTACTTGCCTGGGTGCGCGGGCGGCTGGGCCTCGGAACAGCTCTTAGTCGCTAGATTGAACATCGTGCACGCTCTCCTTCCAACCAACCGTCCGTCCATGGCCAAACTCGCGTCCTCGTGGCAACATCGTCGTGTCAACCGCTGCCTCATCTCGTCGTGCTCCCAAAAACTGCAACAACTCGCCATACACGTGCCGTCGGCACTCCGCCAACCCAAAAAGAAGCAAGACGAGAACCAAAATTTGTAAAACACTACAATTGTGCTCTGGAAATCGAATCAACAACGGGAAAACAAAAAGATTTATGATGTAGCAGTCCTCAGCGCGCCGCGAATTGGCACCGCTCAATGTGCGACCAATCCACAACTTACACCCTGCCTTCCCCTTCATCTGCCAGCCACTTCATTCATCGCCTCGAGCCCCTAGAACTCAAATCAAAACACATCCCAACATCAGGCCCGCCTTCTTCCGCAACGACAAATACATAAAAATAAACTGGGCGTCCACCTGTCTGCCTGCCAGATCTGACAAGTCATCGGCGCTTCGCTTCCAGGCACTCCTAGCCGCCGCACATATCTTGTAGTTTCCGTTTCTGTGGTGGAATCGAGGGCAGAGGGCAAAGCAAGAGTGCCTTCTCATTACGTCCTCAAGCGCTCCGAAATCCTTCGCATGCGCAGCCGTTGCAGCCGTCAGTAGATTCAGGGGAATACACAAATATAGTAGCAGGTGGGGGAAATCGAGAGAATCCAGGCGCAAGTTTCGAATCGACCAACTGTCCACTGGCGGAGCTAAGACGCAGATGTGACGAGATATCAAACTCCAAATTCCGAGAACCTAAGCAGAGTAGAGCAGCCTGCACCATCCATGGCCGTTTTCAACCCTAATCATCCGAACAGACGTGCCAAAAAATTTGAAATTTACATTGGAAGATTCAATCACATGGCGAGGGCCATCGTGCCACAGAAAAAATCAGGTCCGGTGTGTTCGGTATAGACGGGTTCGCGACTTGGCCACTTTATAGAACAAGACACTTCTTGTCCCTCTTGCGGCTGGTGCGAGACAGGAGAGCGGCACGGGTAGCGTGCTCAAACACCTCGCGGACACCCTCGTTTGTCTTGGCTGAGCATTCAAGGTATTTGTAGGCTCCAATAGACTTGCGCTTCTCCTCGCCCTGTTGAAGCACCAAGTTAGTCAGCACGTCCACTCGCAGTCGATTCCATCCGTTCTGGCTAGACTCAGCAGCCCCGGTCCTCTCGGCTACTGGAATAAGTCCTTTTTGATTACACTTACCTCCTCGGGGGTGACAGGCTTCTGATCAATCGCCCGCAGCTCGCCAATCGTCTTATTGTCGTATCGCAGGTCCTTCTTGCAGCCAACCAAGATGATAGGAAGTCCCTGGCAGAAGTGAAGGACTTCGGGAATCCACTAAAAATGTGATTGGTTATCAGCTTTGCTCCCAGCCATGGCCTAGCCCCAGCATAAATCGTCTTGGGTCAAATGCTATCGAACATTTGGAGGGGGGTTGGAACGGTGTACCTTTTCTTCAACGTTTTCCAGAGAATCAGGCGAGTCAATAGCGAAGCAGATCAGAACAACGTGGGTGTCTGGGTAAGAAAGGGGGCGGAGTCGGTCGTAATCTTCTTGTCCAGCAGTATCCCACAAGGCCAGCTCAACATGCTTGCCATCGACCTCGACATCGGCGACATAGTTCTCGAAAACGGTGGGGACGTAGACCTAAGCGTGTGAGTCAGCAAAACAGGTCCAGGGAAGACCAAAATTCAAAGTCGCCTGAGCCGTCTTGAGGTTGGAGGTTGGATGAAAGGGGCTGCAGCGGGGGTGAATATGGTCATCGAGTCGCTCGACGCCACGTCAATGGCGGCTGCAATGATCCTGTTTCGATGCTCGGGGATGCTGATTGCGCGTTTTCGGTGATTTTGGGTTCGGGGGGCGAAGATTGGAGATGCGGAATTCAAGAGGAGGCAGCACAGTGGTATCAATTCCTTACCTCGGGGAATGTGCCCTTGGAGAAGACGCTGCATGCACAGTTAGCAAATTGATTGAACGAGTAAGCTGCATGGCGTTGATGGTGATGATGAAGACCCAGCGATGATGATGGAGGGGATGGCAGCGCTAAACGGCGGTCTCTTGGATCAGGGGCATACAACCACATGGTGTTGCGTGTGTGCGTGTGCAGGTAATACGGCTGCGCGGCGGATGGACGCCAAGGCAAAGGCGGAGAGCAGCAAACTTACATCAACAGGCAGGTTTTACCACAGGCACCGTCGCCGACGATGACGAGCTTTCGGCGGATTTCAGCCATGGTGTGCGGGTGTGTGTTGTTGATTGAGGACTGGTGGGAGGTAAAACGGCGGCGTGGACGGAGGAGCTGTTGAGATGCACGGAGGCAAAGGGGAGGCGGATGTTGGGAGTTGGATAGTTTTGGATGGGGTGGAGGAGCAACGAAGTAGGAAGTATGGACCAGAGGAAGGGATGGGAAGGAAGTGAGTGGCAGGAGAGGGAAGGAACCAGCGAGGCAGCTGCCACCAGACTAGAGGGGCGGGCAGGAGGCAGCAGGGCTGGCGCACGTCAGAGGCAGAACGGCAGCACGGGGCAAGCAGGCAGTGGACAGGCCAGGCCAGGCCAGGCCTGCGTTGTCAGCTGGTGAGCTGGTGAGCTGGTGAACCGGTGAGGTCCACTGAAGTCGCTGCCGCCGCTGCTGGCATGGCAGGCAGCTCACTCACCAGGCGGCGTCCGGGAGCTCGAGGCACGCGGCACCGGCACCTGGCATGTGAATGGCCAGCAGTCACTGGAGGCCTGTCACGGGAGGCGGGTCGCTGGCCCACCGCCCCGACAGTGGGCAGCGGACAGTGGGCAGCGGAAAGTGGGCAGCGAACAGTGGGCAATGAGCAGCGGGCAGCGAACAGTGGGCAATGAGCAGCGGGCAGCGGGCAGTGGGCAATGGGCAGTGGACAGTGAACAGTGGACACAAGGGTCATGGGCAACTTCACATGCCTCACCCCGAGTACTTAAGTACCTAAGTTATCACAACTAACCTTGGCACTGGGCATCCAACGACCGTGTTATCTACAGCCCTGACTGCTTGCACCTTGAATCAGCGAGGCGGCATTAGGACATCTGGACCGACAGCGCACACTCCAGCTCTTCTCTTCTCTCCGCCCCATCGCTGTGCCCCGTTCTGCGGACTCAACCGTTGGTGTTGCTCGTGCTCTGCACGGAGTACATGCTCAAGTACTTTGGTTGCGGAGTACTGAGTAGAGAGGACAGCTGAGCTGAGCCAGGTTACAGGGGTTCGGGGTTGCGCTTCAGTCTCAGATGAGCGGGCAAGGACAGGACTTGGGGGCAAATTCCCGTCAGCCGCGAGGCCCCCTATGCCGAGTCCTGAAAAAGTTACATGCCAAGTACTAAAGTACGTAAAGTAAGCACGGTGTATTTTGTTTGTCGGGCGGACTAGCCGACAGTGCACTCCAGGGGGGCGCGCCTGTTGACTATGAATGTTTTGGCGTCATAGGATCATCAATGGATGATGACACGGGCAGACAACGGGAATTCCGAGCCTTTTTTTTTTTCTCGGTCGTTGTTCATCAATGGCGTTGGCCCATCGAAGGCCCAGGGCATGCAGAGTATCAGGGATGTAAACGCTCTTTTTTTTTCCCTCAACACCCCAGCTCTCTCTCTATCGCATGACTTATTATTAAGTACCTGGGCACATGAAGCCTGGTCAACCATGTCTGTTGTTTCACACTGGCCCTTGGAGGCCCTTGTGCTGCCGCCCAAAAGGTTGGGAAAATATAGAGTAATAAACGACAGAAAATGAAACGGGGCAGCACTGTACATAAATAGAGTCAATTGATGGCAAAGTACCACTCCGTACGTTGGGAGCAATACAGACAGTGTCACGGTTGTGAGGTTGTGAGCGAGCGGGCTGTGGCAGTGCCGTGATGGCGGCCCAAAAATAGAGGTGGCAATCAAAAGGTGACATCAGCAGGCGAGGCATGCCGCATCGTGGGCTGGAGGCAGCCTGCGGTGCGGTACCTTGCCGTGCACCCGTTGTGCACGCGACACCAGGTAACCACGACACAAACATCACTCTGTGATTCTAGGACTCTAGGACTCCGCCAAGTACTCAAGTACTGGGTACTTACTTAAGGACCTGGGCATAGGTCAGCGGGTACCGAGTATCGAGTACCGAGTACTCCGAACTTGCTAGGCCTACGTACGAGTCCTTTCACGCAAGACGGCAACAACGACGCGTAGGCCCGAGTCCTGCCAGCCAGCCATCAGTCACCGACTCACCGTGACCACATCTCATCCGTACGTCAAAGGGCTGGCTGGCTGCCCACCTCAACGCCGGACCAGATGCCGAGAACGGGGAACAAGGACCAACATGACGACCTGCCATGCAACACAACCGGCCCCAGAGCCTCAGACCGGCACTTGTGTACATGCCATCCGTGCGCGCCCACGAGATAGAAACCACGGCACGCTGCGCCATTCCGAATCACTACGGAGTACTCCGTACGAAATGCGCTGCAGAGACTGTTGTGCGACCTCAACCCCAACCTCACGCCGTGCTGCGTGCAACTTCAAACTTACAATACATATTTCGTACTCCAGAGATACCGAGCACCGAGCACCGAGTACCCTGTACCTTCCTGGAGTCTGCGGGACGGCACGGAGAAGCCACGCCCTCCGCCCATCGCCAACCAAAAGCTGCGTCTTGATGAGACAGCTCGACGGGTGCACCGCGCCGACTGACCGCTTAATCTTACATGCTACACGGAGCACTTCGGTTTGATTCCCGCCCTCAGTTCTGGCCGCGCCGACGCAGCAGTACTGCACACGCCATTGCCCCCCCCCCGGGCAGTGTGCCACTTCAGGTCCGGTTCCCTATTCACAACATCAATGACTGTCACCTGGAGCGCTCCAGGGCTTGGTACTAGCCAGGCTGTTTCAGCACTGTCCGCCGAGCGAGAGAGGGACAACGTGGGTACCACGTCTTTGTATGATTATCAATTGAACATCCAGCACGTTTCACAAGGGCATCGTAGGGTCCGATTGTAATATAGTGCAGTCTGCTCTCTCTGCACCGTTCCAGCTGGGACGACCCTCAGTTGTTGGCCTCGCGTCCAGGTCAGATAGGTCCCAACGCTGCCGAGTACTCCGTATCTCGACATGACGCTCACATCATCGTTGGTCGGTATCCATCCCACGGACGTCGGACATTTGCCCTTCTGCTTGTTGCGCAATGTCTGCGTTCGATAACGCCCAATGCCTCTGTCCTGTACTCCGTACGTAGGTCTTGATGCCGTGTAACTGGTCGAGACTGCAGGACTTGGGGAGGGCTTTGTACTGTCCTGCCATGGACCACGCCACGTTTCCCTGCTTCCATGGAGGAAAACAGAAAAGGCGGCCGCTGCAGCCTATGCCGTCGACACGAGCATGCGCTATTGAAAAGCCGCATTCGGCCACGGGCTGCCCGGCAGCTTGTACTCTTTTCGGGGAGAGAATCAACAACTTGACAAGCTGACAGAGCTGTCTTTGAGGTGCGGAGCATATACCCAATCGTAGAAGCCAAGCCGAACTGTGCTGGGTGTCACTCTTGTTCACAAGGACGTTCCTGTACATGCCACGCGCCATCTCCCAAACACTGGTATTCCAAATTCAAAACCATCACCGTGACACTCAAAGACCAAAGGCCGGCTGCAGAAGGGTATTCTGGCTGCGCAGACGATGCCTACCCTAGACCCATCGGCCGCCATGTGGGAAAACGTGGAGCCCGCCACACAGCCGGGGGGTCTCGGCCCGGCTGGTTCCGTGCCCATCAGTCAAATAATTTCCACTCCATGTTCTCGCGACGTTGGCGGGCTCCTGTCACGCCGACTCCGAATTGCTCGACAAGGCGTCCCGGCGGCATATATTCCCCCACCGCGGGAAGGGACTGCTCTTGAAATAACACAAAGTCAAACACCGGGCTGCTCGAGCCCCTCCACCGTCAATTGACGGCCAAGCAAGGATGCAGAAGCTCGCAAAGCGAGCCGCCCAGGCGCAGCGCCAGGCGACCCGTCGAGCACGGCAGCAAATGGAGCGGGAGAAAATCGACCACCGAATGCGAAACCGCCAAGCCCTGAGAAGTGCCGTCTCCGAAGTCTGGCAGAACCTGAAGGATGCCCGACAGGCCCGGAAGGAGGACTGGGAGATGGGGCCTCTGGCGCCGAAGCGAGATCTGGGATTCAACAACTACGGAGCGTTCAGGGAGACGGCGCGACAGGACTGGACTAACCATGGCCTGCACCAGGCACGGCCGCAGCTGATTGAGAAGAGATGTGCGTGGGCTGGCGGTGCTGGGCAACTCAATCTTGCTCCTCAAGACCGAGTGGTCATCATGGACGGGCCTGACAAAGGCAAGATTGATCGCATCAGGGATGTTCATCCAGAGAATGGAACTGTCACCCTGGAGAATCACCACAGGGTATGTCGCCTTTTTCTCTTTGATGTGGCAGTACTGTAAATTTACGTGGCTTTTTTTTTTCGGCTCAATTTTTTGTTCTTCAAGAAAATCTCCCTTCACCAACTTACCTGGCTTCATGCAGGCACTATCCGTGGGCTTGTTTGATGGCCCAGCTCGGTCGCAGGCCATGCCCATCTCGGTCGGCTCGATACGACTCGTATATCCGCTTCGAAACCCGGAAATCGGCGTCACCAGGGACGTCATCATCAACCAGCTCAAAGCCGTGCCCCCCAACATGCAATCGCCAAACATGTCCCTCGACCGCTGGCAGTACGGCAGGAAGTGGGACCGGCTCGTCCCCGGGCTCAACGTGGTCATCCCCTGGCCCGAGGTCCAAGCACCAGTATTCGAAACCATGAAGTGCGACACCGTCCGCGAGCAGGTCGAGCAGCGGACATTCTACTACGGCCTCCTGTCACCACCCATGCCAGACCAGGTCCTCGACGAGCTGCGCAACAAGTACTCGCGGTTCAGAACTCGCCACGAGCCGTGGTACATTAAGCAGAAGGAGATGGAGGAGGCAGCCAAGAAGGGCCGCCTCGAGGCCACCAGGTCTATGCAGACGCCCTTGGCGGAGTTCCACGAGAGACGGAGAGAAGTACGCGACACCCTGGGCGAGCCGGAGCTCTCAGAAGACATGCTGGAAAAGATTGGAGAGTACATGGCCAAGAAGAGGGATGCGGCTTTGAGTCAGGGGGGCGTCTCGGAGGTTTCGTCACGAGCACCGGCAAGCTAGCCGTGTGCCGGGGCTGGGCAGTACAAGACGAAAGGCGACAAGCGATGCCGGGAAAAGTGTAATTGTATTTCGAGGCAGTCGTTTGTATGTCGCGAGCGCAATAGACGCACCGCAGCAGGTTTCATTGCCACGGGCTCCGTCTCACCAAGCCGCCGTCATCATTACCATCACCATCACCATCGCCATCACCATCACCATCACCATCACCATCACCATCACCACCATCATCGGGTAGGGTACCAAGGCCCTGCGTTGACCATCCAAGTTCCCCACTCCAGCTCGTTGGGATCTCGCACACGCAGCCAGCCCCTCCTCCACGCGCACACACACACGAGCCTTTGCCCCGCTCTCCCCGATCGCCTCTTATTTATTCCCTTCAGTTCCAAGCTCTTGGTGTTCTCGTGTCATTGGGAATTCGCGCTCGCCGTTCCCGTTCCCCGGTGCCTCAGATCATTTTTGCCTACCACTACTTTGGACTTTTGGGACTCACAAGACACGACCACCAAAAAAAAAAACCATGCCCCACAACCACTCTCACGACGGCGGCCATTCACACGATGGCTTTCCGGCACAGGACCATGGCCATTCGCACGAGATTCTCGACGGACCAGGCAGCTACATCGGGAGAGAGATGCCGATTGTAGAAGGGAGGAATTGGTCCGAGAGGGCCTTTACCGTGGGCATCGGAGGGTGAGCTGAATCCCCCTTTCCGCCCTTTCATCGTCGACGCCTCCTCGTACAGTCCATCACTCCGAGGGAGCCGCAAGAAGCAAGAACCACATACGCACAGTGCGCCTGCTGCC